TGAATGTCCTCAATCTTGAATAAACTGGCTGCTAACCTCTCCTGCGTTCTTTTTCTGGTATTTTAATCCACTAAGTGAAAGTCAGACAGAGTTTGAGGATGCTAAGATCGATTTGAATACTTATGGGTCAACAATCTCACTAAAATCAGATCTTACTTTTCGCTGCCACTAAACAAAGATCGTCACGTCTGAACGACCTTTCACGAATTTTGACCGACCAATGAAATGACTGACAAGAAATCGACATTAGCCAATCAGAAGGCAGCTTTCTCGAGCTTTAACCCACTAGTTTCAAACTGGCGACTACACTTCGAAACATATTTTGACTTATTCTCGATTAAAAAAATTAAAACTGATAAGAAGAACATTCTGGAATGGCTTATAGAAGGCCTAGATTGTATGGATATAATCATAAAACCTGTAACTGTCGTTCAGAATACCCCGTGTTAAATATTTCGTGGTTGCATGATTAGAAAACACATTCCGACTGTCACTTTCATGATCTGGTTTGTTGGATGAAAGGTCGTTCTGATGTGACCCTTAATGGGATGTCCTCAGATCTTTGTTTAGCATAGCAAGAACTAAGATCTGATTTTAATGAGATTGATGGGTCAAGAAACGGATTACTTGTGATGATGTTATTAAAATAGAGCTTGATGTCCAATATTTATGATTGCACAAAAACGTAAGTGCATATGTTTTTGGAGAGGTCAATGCCCGGCACCACCAGGCAATATTCAGCACAGTCTGATATGGAAGTAGCATCATCTTTCAGTATCAAAATTAACATCAGAATAACGTGTGCAGACGAAACAAATCCGATAATACTCTAAATCGCTATCAAAGTTTAATGTGTTTCTAAGCACAGTATCTGAACACTAAGTCACTAAGGTCAAGAGACTTGTTTGTCAAAATACATCAATTTATTGATTATGATGATGATAATCAATATCACAGAAAATGATGATCACCTTAGAATCTGCAGACCATTCATGGAAATATATAAAAAAAATACATGAGATTAATGATATGTATCAATTTATCAATATTTGTTCATACATTAAGAAATCACATAACTTTGTTTTGAAATAGGACCTTTTGATACAGTAACCTCAGTTCAAAATTTCTCGTCTCACAATGCATCAAGCTTATCCTACCCAACCCAAAACACCACCTATTTCCTCAAATCCCACACACCACATCCACCCAACCCCATACCAATAAAGATCCAGGTTAGAATTCACAGGTCTTCAGCAACCCATGCTTGTGGTAACAGGCCACTAACGAGATCGGATTGTCAGACTCGCTGACTTGGTTGATGTCATCTTATCCCAATTGTGTAGGTCAATGCTCATGATGTCAATCGCTGGACTATCTGGCCCAGATCGTCATAGAGATGGAATATTGCTGAGTGTGGGATTAAACAACAAACACCCTCGACTCTAACCACACAGCATCTTATATCAGTATTCATAAACCTGAAGTCGAGAAGCCTGAAACTTCTTCTCTGCGACCGTCTCCGTGGTCTAGTGGTAGAGCGTCCGCCCGGAGAGCGGAAGGCCCGGGGTTCGATCCCCGACCGCGTCATACAAAAAGAAGTGGCTAAAACAAGGACTGGTCGGCTCGGAGTCAGTATACTGTGTCTGAGTGGGGTATTCATGTTAAACTGCGGCATGGTATCTCAGTAAGCTAGCACTATAAATCGGCATCAGTCCGGGCTAGTACAAGCAGCCACACACACACACACACACGTGCATGCACTTCGCTATATAAGTGCAATAATCTTGGACTCGATTTTAAACCCCATTTCACCTCACCATCTTCTCTGCTAGCTTGACTGCCGTGAAGTGATATAATCTGCTGTAGAACACAGCCTGTGATAAGTGGGATACATCTCCTATAGCTGTTTCACTGCTTCTATTTCTTCACCTCTGACCTACTTGGAGCCGCCATGTTTTTATAATGCCTTGAGTTCTACTACACTTCCTGAAATCTTGAAATACTTGCTGACATGTGATTGTAGTTTTAGAGAGGAAAAATACATCCCTTTCGCAAATGCGTTTACATATCTGGGTACAAAATGGAAAAGCTGAACTGATTAAAACAACTTTAAGATCTTGAGATTATTTTTTTAGTAGATTGTTTTTTTTAAAATATTTAATGAAGTTCAAAACAAAATCATTTTAGACATGTTAGAAGTATGATATTTCTTTTTTTACGATATCATCCAACTTAGCTTTATTCGAGCATATGTAACGATCGCCTTTAATTTAATGATGTTCTAAGGTAACTGAATTCACGTTTAAAGGATTCACAGTATACCCAAGTTCCTGTACCAAACAATATGGGGAGATTGTAATGTAAGTAGCGTTCAAGGTCTGGGAAAAAATACCTGAGGATCTAATCGTTACTCCGACAAAGAATAACAGATTAGCTTATTGACAAAAGGAAAATAAATACAGTCTTGTTCATGTTGTTTGACTCACGTAGCAAATATTCACTAATCTTTAAAGGAATTTTCTTCCTGGTTTTTTTTTTATCACTACCTGCAGAACATGTTGTGTTGGAGACCGACCAGGAAGACACACACACAACATGGACATGTGGAAGTCCTAAAACAATGGGAAAAGAAAAAACATATTTGAACAAGCTCATTCACAAACTGAGTACATATTGTCTTCTTCTTGTGGTCAGATGCAGTTTGTCAATGAGTTGCAAGTGTGATCCTAGACATACATCAACTCAGCAGTAACAACTTGACAAATGACAATTAAGATGACAATTTGGTGAAAGAAAAGACAAAAAGGTTAAACTTTTCATCAGAAATAAGCAAATACCTTGAAAAGTTTTTTGTAAGAAAATAAATCATTATAACCATTAACAAATTTGACTTAATCCCAAAACTTGAAAATATCTGAATACTTTATTCTCTAAATATTAAAGCCTGATCAGTAACTATAGACATTTCTATATAGATGGAATACATCACGATAGAGAGATTGTAAAGCTTTGGAGGGAAAAAAACACATGTCAACCAGGATCAACACTCTTCCTGAATAGTTAACGCTGAATGGTTAACACAAACATATTTTCTCTCATACAAAGAGATCTCTGGTTACCATTGCTGATCCATGCCCAACAGAAGATCAAATAATTCCATATCAACTGGACAAGTTGGTCAACCAAATGGAGAAGATTATCCTGCCATTGCTGTAAATGTACTTGGTGAGGAAATAAAACTACTCCCTGTCGTGTCCTTGCCAAGGATAGATCACCCAGGGCAATTATTTTGTGTGACCAACCAGACAACCAAGTTCCCCTCTTGAATAATGACAATACCTCTCTCGTTCTACATAATGGGAGAGTTTGTGTGGAGATCTTTAAGATAAGTCCCACACGGTTAGAGAGAGTTAATTAGCGTGGTGAGGATTTTAGAACTAATAGACAAAACGTGACAAATAAAATATTTTGTTATATCAGACTTGTAAGTCCACTGAACTTCAATAAAATTACATTTCTAAAGAAACGTTGATGTATTGCTTGTTCAAGTATACTGTCTCTCTTTTTTATTGAACAAGTTTCTTCTCAGAGGTGACTTCTAATGTGTTTAACACAGATATTTAAGATGTTGGGTGTAGTGAATTAAACGCTTATCTGGTCTGGGTTAATTTGTCTAAATACACAGGCGAATTGAAGACGAATAACTCGGCGCAACATGACTTGAAAAATATTCTAAAAGGAAACAGAAATATTATGGGAAAGTATCATTTGGAAGTATTTCAGTGTGTGCTGGGATGATAACGAAACGGTAGCAATAACTGTTCCTCTTTTAAGGCAATAGAAAATGTTTAAACTGTATAGAAAATTAAAAGGTTCGTATCACAGAAATATGGCAATGGACATAAAAGACTGTCCTGTAAATACACAACAAACTACCTGTATTCGTCACATGTTATCAACACGTCGGCTGAAATGTGCATGACCTAATCCTATGTCAAGTAATAATAAGTCAAGAGAGGATCCTTTGAGTGGTACTCTCTTGTCCAATATTACTATTTCTGTTGAATATTCGTTAAAATCAAATAAATATACCAATAAATATACACAGCATTGTAAAATATAAGTTCAGATAATTTCTACATAATCATATTATCCCATTTTATTTGTTCTTTCTTTTCATTCCACTCAAAAAGTCAGGCTTGTAACACTCCACGCATTAATTACCTCATTCAAAGACTAACACTTTCTTAATTACATATGTCTATAAATAGACGCACTACACTTTTCATTACCGACTCTTTCTATTTAGGTTCTATTAACAAAACTTATATTCCTAGAAATGTATTACAGAGAAATGACAGCTGGACAGCCAAATTCATCCTCCTCAATGCTTACACTGCTAAAATTAACACTGAGACTTGTTCACGATCTGCGACCAATGTGCGATGTAGAACTATTGTCTACTGATAGGGATTTCTATAGCTTTAAAGTAACTGTTTGTATTGGATCAACAGTCCGCCATTATCAGCTGTTCAGATATATCTACAAAGGTTGTACAAATAGACTGTACACATTCATTATAACATTTCAGAAATCAAAATTATATTACTTAAGAACTTTATAAATTCATTCATATAGCCTTAATAAATTCTGACATATATTTTGCTTTTTGAATAAGCAAATGAGGTCCTTTCTATCTACCTTGCCGACAAGTTAGCAAGATCGTTGTAACATCCCAATGTGTAATTTCGGTGACAACACATGACACACACACACCGTCCACCCTGAGATCATCTCTGCTCTGGGATAGCCAATCGCTTTTGGATGTGTCAAATTTCAACCACCTGTTAAACACGATTATCTTTGTTAAAAAGACAAACTAACTTGAAAAACTGCAGTTCAAGAAAGCACACCTGGATATTTGGGATCAAGGATTACCTGATTGCGGGCAGGTGAACCAGTTGTCGAACGATCGATATAAAAATAAAGTGACATCTTACCTTCCAGATTATCCATTTTGTTCCCGAGTTTTAGTATAATCCTCAGCTGTCTCTATCCTCATAATGACAAATGTCAACAAAATATTCCATCAAGTCTGTGTAGAAATATGTATTCCATTCTTTCACATCAAGCGACAAGTTGATCACAATGACTACACACGAACAGGTTCCCTACAGAAATGAGGTCGCTAGCATGCTTGTGTGTTGCCTCTGAAGCTATTCTGGGCCGTTACTTATAAAACTGGGATTCACATATGGAACGAGGATATCCCCGAGAACATGATTAGTAAAGGCAGAGTTACGTCCCTTGTTAAAGCTCCTGCATTTGCGAAATGCAGGAAGGATTCTTTACAAGAAAGTTGATGTCTTCACCACAGGCATATAACGTGGATATCGCTTTCCATTGCGTTATTTTTACGTTAAATGATATATTTTACTTCACAAAATAACGGATATCGGGGCGATCATCAAACCGGCTATCAGAAATTCAGAAAATCAACACCATACGTAAGGGCAAACATGTCATCATTGAGAACTAGGTTTGTAACTAAAGCATTTATCCCTTGTTTAATCAAACTTAGCCTCTGTATTTGTGGCCTGTCTCGATCGATATTCCTTACTCATATAGTAAATCTTGGATTGTCTAAAATGAAAGAATGGTTAAAGACAAATTATTTCAAACATAGCGTTAAGAAGTATGCAACTCATCTGAGGGTCAATATCATAAACTTATATTAAGATTCTCCATTGTTTGAAACTTACACCAACTTTCCCGTGAGGGCATCTCAGAACCTATTGAAACTATCGCGAATTACAAAAGGAAGATGGCTGAATATCCCTTTGATTGTGGGAGAATGCGACTCGTATAGTACCTCTCATAGAATTTCATTATATTTTCTTCTTCTTTTCCGATAAAACTAGTTAACGATTATCATTGTACTTGACCAAACGACACTGCGGGTCGTCTTCAAGCATTGTATTGCAGGTTATATTTAGATATTATATCGTGGGTAATATTTGATATTGTAAATGCAGGTTGCTCGTGTGACCCAATACTTATGTTTTTAAATATGTGATTTAATTTATAATTTGTTTATATGTTAAATGTCTCTCATAACCCTGAATGGGTGGCCATGTTTTATCTTGTGGTGTAATGTATTTTGTGACCATGGGTGAGACAAAAATAAACAATTTCTTCTTCTTCTTCTTCTTCTTCTTCTTCTTCTTCTTCTTCTTCTTCATGCCGTTAACTGTTTTCACAGAAGTCAATCAACCAAAAAACAACCCAAACTCTTCACAGGAATAAATAACCAATTGAAATCGTCTTCCGACATCTTGCTGCACATTGTCATATCTAACTCTTAGGGTCTTCCAGTTACTAAACACAAACTGCAGTTTGCATTAAGCAAGAAAACGTAAACTTAATAGATAACAACTTATGTTTTTTTTGCATATATGGCCATACGCAATAAACCAGAAGTTGTTATCCATAAAGTACAAGTACGTTTTCTTAGTTACTCACCAACTTCTAGAATGCCAATCAAACAGTTTGCATGTGTGTATTGTACCCCAATTAAGCAGAGTAATCAATAATGACGAGTTAATTGATGGGCCATGTCTAACAATATACAGAGTGTTCAGTTAACAGGAGCAGGTGTACACAGGTACACTCCTTCATGGGTGTGACAATTATATACCCTCACCCGGCATACTAATTTGGTTTAACTGGTACCAATCAGGAGACAGACAAGAACTCGGCCATCAATACTTTGTGACGACGACGTCCACAGACGGACCCGAACTTTATTATTTACAAAACGTTTTCCATGTGCAAATTGACCGACTTCGTGAACATTGCAAATCTTTGTATGTAATTAAAAAATAATGCTTCTAAATAATGTATTCCAAAGAGTTTCACGGTAAATACACTAGCAGCATCTTTTTAAAATATAGTATATAAACTGATATTTATTGCCAATTGCCTGTCATCGTATTCCAATTGCGGAGATCGATTCTCGTGATGTCAATCACTGGATTGTCTGATCCAGACTCGATTATTTACAGACTGCGTTCACATAACTTGAATATTGCCGAGTACGGCGTTTAAAAAAATAATAAAGACATATGACAACCACTGCTTATGGCTACTGTAGTGCATTAAAAAAACTGACTGACTTAATTCATTGATGGATGGGTACTTTATGTGTATGGAATCTGCTTGGAAAGATCTAATGGTACAGGAAATGTATAAAAAAGTAATAGTACGTGTAAAACATGGAGGAAAACTGTGGCATCTTTAGTTGAATCTGTTATGTTTTCGAATTTCTAAGCAATTACTGCATCAGAACAAATGAGTTTGTTTTTTAAGAACATATTGGACAAGATAGTACCTTCTCGATAACAGGAAATGAATGAAACAAAATTATTTGTGTTGACTAATTACAAAGATATTCATTTATATAATATAGAATCTAACTGGTTTTGGTTTTGAGGTCAGTAGTGTGGTGTAGACGGCGTTTCTAGTCTTGATATCGCACCATTTTATGAACTTCGAGATCTAAGTATAGATCTACTGGTAACAAAGGAAGGAAATAATAATAAAGACTGTCTGTTGAGAAAAACAAGAAGAAATATTTTAGACAGTGAATGTGTGAGCTCTCAGATTCCACTCGGCATATTCCGCCACCTACGGACGAGCCGAGTGTGTTTGAAGGAAATGGTATTCATCAACTTCCTGTGCAAACGCCTGCGCAGAAGTCGAAAACTGCACGTGTGTGAAAAGATGGCGGTACTTTGAAAACATTGCGGTTTAGTTATGGTTGATCATCAATTATTCTGATCATATTTATTGTACAGGATTTGCATTTATTGAAGGTACGTCTACGAGGCATAATCTACCTATGCAAACCCCTACGTGAGGTTTGTGTATACGCTATGACAAGAAAAATGTCGTCTGTCTGTTGATAACGAAGCGAGTTTCTCCGATGGAGTGATGCCGGTGTACCACTAAGTCTGTGAATATCCATGGAAATAAAACATAGGACGTATTAATGTTGTAGGGGCCCTGTTGCATTTTGTTGTAATAAATGGTTACATAGTATTTGAAATGGTTACTGCACTATCTGGATACTCTTTATTTGCCATCAGACGCTTATGTGAGGTCTTCGATATTTTAACTGAACTGAAGCATGTGAATTATAAAGGCACAAGACATTTGTCATGACTGTACACCAACATGTCCCGACTGTAGCACAGCTTGGGTCATGTTTCATTCTGAAATAAGGCATACATGTTTATAAGCATCCAAAATATCCATCACAATTTAAACTAAATGACACAGTAGCTAAAGTCGGAAATGTTATTGCTAGATACCTGACAGTAATCAAAAACAGGTTACATTTACAGATTATCTGATTAAGAATAACATGTTTTTGCACCCACATGTTCTAATCTTCAGAATAGGGGAAGTAACTGGAATTATTATGCAGTGTAAGTTATAATTGTTTGGGGCATTAATAGATTGCATCATTTGGAGGGGGGTTAGGGGTCTGTTGTTGCAACTTCCCACCCGTCAAAATATTAGATATGTTTACACTGTCAGCATGGTCAAACCATGTCAAATAATTTATTTGGTTATTGTTTCACTGAATATAATAAATAATACATCAACTGCTGACTTGTTATTGCATTCGCGAATAAATACTCATATTCGTTATGCTATATTCGTGATACTATAATATTTGCCTCATATTGTATTTGATGCAGCCCTACTCATATTGATAGTAGATAATTTTCTTTTTAAATCTTCCCCATGTTCAAATAAATGATCGTGATAACTAACCTCATTATAGCCAACATGAACAATTAAAGCTTTCGTTCCTTTTAATTACAGAACTCCAATGCTTTCAGGGTGCAGCCCTTGATCAACTGACATGAGAAATCTGCTGACTCCTAGCAATGTCTCCGCACTGCAGCCATTCCAACCAGGAACTCAAAATGCTTTAGAGAAAGTGGAAATTGCCGGCATCCATGCCGGTACAAGCAAAAGTATGCAATTATTATTGTGTTCATGTTATTTAATCATGTTAATGTCTGAAGAAAATGATTCTTTGATGTAACAGTAAGAAATGGCAGGGATTCTGATGATTTGCCTCAGGCCCTCCTATCTGTTTGAATGAAAAGAAACATTATTTGAATTAATGTAAGCAGTATCATGTGTATCATGTGTATAGCTACGAAGTGCAAAGGAATAGTTTTAAATGTGATGTAAATGCAGTAACTATCATTGTAACAACGGTTCTCATTAGAATCACCACACAGCCACCATTGCAACCGAACACATTCGGTCATATCCACATTTTGTGACCTTCCCAAGCAAAGAGAGGTGACTGACTGTAAAAGTCCAGTTTCCACCCTTGTCGAACTAGGCTGAAAATTTCTGGGCCCGATCGTAGCACCACCAGTGGCTATTATGAGTTATGTCCCTTCTATTCCCCTCCTTTTGACCAATCAGATTCCACCTCTCATATCTCTTGCATTTGCTACAAACGAAATGGTGGTGCCCAGTCAACATGGTCAAGCTCCATGTCCATGGTCATGGCTGACAAATATTGAATGATGTCATCACTGAAGTGACTTTTTTAGATTGACAAATCATTCAGTCACAGTTTTCTCTTTTTCTTTCGGATATTTCATTTTGGTTTCAGACTATGTCAGTACAAATATATATTTAACCTCAAAGCAAAGCAAAATGTTATTTCCTTGCACTAAAAATAGATGGGAATCCCTGATGATCAACAAGATAAAAAAGACAGCTGGCTTCATTCGAAAAAGTATTTTTAATTGAAGTTTTGTTCAATAACAAAGATTTATAAGGTACTTTATTTGCTGGTCCAGAGGGACTGACAGTCACATAATTTATCGATCAAAGCCTAATGTTACCAGTTAATCTGGTAATTACCGATAAAGGGGAACACTAATCTTACAGGTATTATGGCACAGTCAATAGTACATGATAATTTGCCTTCTTCCAGATGGAAAAGCAACATGGATGTACCATGGACCATCCCTTGAAGTAATTTCAACCAACACTCGAGACAGACTGGCTTCCTGGCAGTTTGGGGCTGTGTTGAAAGATGTGGGTACGTTCATTACGAGTGTGAAGGAGCTCAGCCATGAAGGGAGGCTCAAGCTGGTGGTGGGCCTGCACACGTTCTCAGGACAGGGGATGGTGTGTTTGCTGGACGTTGCTACATCACAAGTGGTCAAGGCTGTGGAACTGCCATACAAGGTGAGACAAAACGTGTGGGCAAACTACAATATAGTTGGTACTCGTCTCAAACTCATGTCAAGTGACATTTATTTCAATCATGTAATCTAAGGTAATAATGGTTGGTTGTTACGTTCAGAGTTGTGTCCCTTTGGCGCGCCAGATACCTATGATCGTGGGTTCGAATCATGGTTCGCCCTGATAATGTTTCTAGGTTAGTCAGCACCATACTGTGCTCGTGAGTTTCACCAAAGTGGTAAACGTCTGAGATCTGCATCACTTCAGGCTTTCCTCCCACATTAAGCTGACACGCCGTGATATGTCTGGAATACTGTTAAAAGTGGTGTAAAACTTAACTCACTCACTCTTATGTTCAGATTAAATTCCACTTTAATGACAAGTTCAATTCGTGTTAGGTTGAATGTTTCAAGATCCCTAGAATCCAATGCTTCTGATTGGTGTCTGAAAGGAGATTGGTTGGTCAAAATGTCAGCTAAATTGGTAAGAACTTGGATGTTCGTGAAACTGTTCACCTCAAACCGGCAGGGATTTATCTAGGATTCCGGACTAAGTGTCCTTGGCGGGCGGGTAATTTGAGATTGCGAGAACCGCAGGAATTTGATGGATGGTGATGGAGATTCAGAGGATGATGGAGATATAGAGGGTGATTGTTGACTTTTGTTGATCTACACTTCCTCCCCAGGTGACGAGTGTTGAGACTGTGCTGTCCTGTGGCGGAGACAGAGTCCCGGACTGGGCCATCAATGAGCAGATGAGATGCTTCCACGGCATTGTGGCGGCTGGGACACACGGGGGATATGTCTACCTGATAGGTACAGTACATCAACGTTAACTTGTTTTCCTAAGAGCTCCTAATGTTATTTTACATGTTTTAGGATGATCATGATGATGGTGATGATGATGATAGTGAGCCATCAACATTCACTTGTTTTCCTTGGAGCCACTTGGCTCCTAATGTTATTTTCCAATGCATTATTTTACATGTTTTATGAAGATTCAATGTTCTGACCACACACTGTTTTAATTCTCCCTGTCTGTGAAGATCTGGCTTAGAATTGATCTTCAGCAACCCATGCTTGTCATAAGAGGCAACTAACTAGATTGGGTGGTCAGGCCCAGTGACTTGGTTGATGCATGTATACCAATTGCATAGATCAATGCTCATGATGTTAATCACTGGATTGTCTGGTCCAGACTTGATTATTTACAAAAAGGCAGTCTTGTGGCTGGATTATTGCTGAGTGTGGCATTAAACAACAAACAAACCAACAAACGGTCTGTGAATTGCTTGGTTAAAAAGGATGCAAATTGTAGAATTTGGTTGTATTACATGTATTACACAGTTGTCCAGATCTATCCCATCTTTCCAAGGCAACTGAGTTAACTGACTATATACATCCAGTTTATGCCCTTGCCAAACTAGACTGGAATTTTTGGCTCGATAGTAGCACCACCAGTGGCTAATGCGAGTTATGTCCCTTCTACGTCCCTCCTACTGACCAATCAGATTCCGCTTCTGAGAGCAAAATGGCGGCGCCCGCTCAAGATGACATGATCAAGTATTGTAATAGAACGGGTCTTACCTCGCGAAGTGCATCAAATCACGTGAGCACCTTGATTTAAAACATTAAAAGATTTGAAAAATATCTGTAGACACCCAGTTGACGGTACACATCCTTTGCAAATCTTGCAGTCGACTGAAATCTGCACATTGAAATCCATATTGTTTATGAACCGGATGTCGATTTCGTTACGCGATTTTGATTGGACTATGCATAGTCCAGCCTAACTGTAACTCCATAATACCAGCCTGGTTCAACAAAGGTAGAAAGTGGACTTTCATAGTCAGTTAACTCCCTTGCCTCGGGAAGATGGATCTATCCCCCCAGTTTGTGTAAAGTACACCATGGTACAGTGGAGTAAACAATATGCAAGTGTGGTGCTCTAACTCAAGTGACTGCTACTGTATCCCGTTGTGTTGCTCTAACTCAAGTGACTGCTACTGTATCCCGTTGTGTTGCTCTAACTCAAGTGGCTGCTACTGTATCCCGTTGTGTTGCTCTAACTCAAGTGGCTGCTACAGTATCCCGTTGTGTTGCTCTAACTCAAGTGACTGCTATTGTATCCCGTTGTGTTGCTCTAACTCAAGTGACTGCTATTGTATCCCGTTGTTTTGCTCTAACTCAAGTGACTGCTATTGTATCCCGTTGTGTTGCTCTAACTCAAGTGACTGCTATTGTATCCCGTTGTTTTGCTCTAACTCAAGTGACTGCTATTGTATCCCGTTGTGTTGCTCTAACTCAAGTGACTACTATTGTATCCCGTTGTGTTGCTCTAACTCAAGTGACTGCTACTGTATCTTGTTGTGTTGCTCTAACTCAAGTGACTGCTACTGTATCCCGTTGTGTTGCTCTTACTCAAGTGGCTGCACCTGGAAGAGCATCAGGTTGTCATGGCAACAATCCAATGTGTTTCAGATATGAACCTTGATGACGAGGAGGAGACCTCAGACGAGGTCAGTCCAAGCAGCCTCTACTTCATCACGCCTCGCTGTCGGAACGTGAAGGACACACGCAAGGAGGCTTTGTCCAGATCCCAGCATCTGTGTTTGGTGCTTGATGGTACTGACAAATTAAGTTTAACTCTGCTCACATGGCTAGTGGAAAACACGAAAATTGGAACTGTCTTGTTTATTTTTATCACCTACTGACCCTAATGTTTCTCACTTAAATCTACAAAAATAAGAAATGAAAAATATCTGCCATCAATGATTAATTTGCTTTGTATCTTTAGATGAATATCATTCTTTACCTAATTTCAGTTTGATCATGTCACGTCCACGTTTGCATGTTTACAAAACTAGTATCACTGGTACGTGTTGATCCAAAACGAAGTATTTCTTTCTGTTCCAGAAAACTCACATTCCAAGGGAGAATTCTGTTTCCGGCGACCTGATGACTCCATTGTGAAAGAATTCAAAACAGGTACGCAAATGCCAAACAAAGTTTTCAGGTGAACAACACTTATCATGTCGTGATTTTATCGTGATTTACATATCGTGATTTACGTATCGTGAAATACATATCATGATTTACATATCGTGATTTACATATCGTGAAATGTATCAATACATGAGCTCGGTGTATCGTGACCTCACCCTCGATTATCCGGCGTATTATATCTTCATTCTATGCTTATCACTTCCCTCGACCCATTTGTCATCACGTCTTTGTTTTGAAAGTCACAGCTCTTTCTTTTGTATCGCTGAGTTCTCCTGCTATTGACCTTGAAATCAACAACCATTCAAAATGTGGATTCAGTGTCCATCTACATTCAAAGTCGTGGCCTTGTCGGATCAATCCATCGATGTATTTAAGCAAATTACACAGCTATTATGAATGATTTTTGTAGCTGGAAAGATGTTTTTCTGAGAACAAGGACGCTCTTATGCCACAAGAAGATGAGTATTAGTGATAATGCTGCTGGTTTAAATCCTGGAAGACTAGTTTAATTTTGACTGGAGTTCTATTTTAAACTTTGTGTCAAACTGGCCTCAGAACAAAGCTCAGGTGGTGAAGGGGTCCAGTTCAATATCATACCAGAATGGGACCTGTGAAGATTCCGGGGTAGAATAGGTCTTCAGCAACCCATGCTTGCCGTAAAAGGTGACTCTGCTTGTCGTAAAGGCGACTCACGGGATCGGGTGGTCAGACTCGCTGACTTGGTTGATGCATGTCATCGATCCCAATTGCGTGGATCGATGCTCATGATATTAATCACTGGATTATCTAGTCCAGACTTGATTATTTACAGACCGCCATCATAAAACTGGAATATTGCTGAGTGCAGCGTTAAACAACAAACCAACCAACCAACATACCAGAATGGAGACACATACATTCGGTAATTGAGGATACCTGTTTCTTGAGTTGCCTTATTTGTTTCAGCTGTTAGAACGCTTACTTTCAGTTGTGACTTCGAATTGTCTTTTGTTTTCTCAGACTCTATCAGCATCACCTGCCTGAAGTACATCCCCCAAGACGGCAACCTGGCTGTCGGGTTCAGCTTCGGGGGTTTCCAGCTGTGGAAGCTGTATGCGCCGGTCATGGAGTAAGTGGACAAGTCTGGAACAATCTCAGTGACACTTTTACCGCGATACAATGCCTCTCTGCGTGAAGATCTCACGACACATCAGCTGAACACCAAACTTTGACCTTCTATATGAAGGATGTGTGGGGTTTTGAGCCAATCAGATGTCACTTTTCTGAAATTTGGCATTATTTCTTTACCACTTTGATTTGGGAAATTTTCATCTTAGCTAAAGAAAACAACCACAGAACACAAGTATACAGTTGATGGTAGTAGGTGTAGATACTTAGCAGGGTTAGAAATTGGCACTAGTCCTATAGTCCTTGCCAAACTGCCCAATGGTAAAGGTATCATAAGGACAAGTAGAAAATTGCCATTTTTAAGGGTTTTGCTATATGTTATCATTATAAGGACTAGTTGACGAAAACTGTTAGTTTCCAACGCTGCTTAGTATCGTGGCCTGGATGTATGAAATACCCACAACAATGTGATTTCACAGCTTCATGTTATTTCTTTCGGAACTCCCGCAGTATATTCGTTTTTGTGAGACAGGAAGCAGATGTCCTTGTCTGAATGCTTGTCCCTCACCTACCAAGAATTTAGAAAGCTGAACACGCTGACTGGCTGATTCCTCACATCTTCACGCAGAGAGCATCAGAGTTAATGTTGGGATTTCATAAAGACTGAGTCTCAATGTGCAAAAAATACACAATAATGAAAGTAAAAGGATAAAGTCCGGAGACCCGTTTCACAAATTTATTTAAAGCTTCCAATTTATGACTCAGCTATTTGCCTGAAGCTCAAGTCGTGTAAAAAGATCAGCAATCTTATGAATATCAGATTGTCCAGACACCTCTTTGGGGGTGTTTCTCAGATCTTCAAACAAACAGGTAACATATTGGAGTAAGAGATCTGATTTTAATGAGATTGCAGGGTTAGAAACAAACAGTTTTTGTCCACAAGTCCTTATAATGATAACATATAGCAAAACCCTTGCAAATTTCTACTAGTCCTTAGGATACCTTTACTATTGGGCAGTTTGGTAAGGACTACAGGATTAGTGCCAATTTCTGATGCTGGATTGTTAAACTCAATATGACTCCATATATGACGACAGACTCTACTGAATGTGTTGCTGAAAGACATGTTGTGGAGATTCAGACATTTTTGGCTCCATGCCATGGAGTGTTGGTCAATACAAATAGAAACATATTTACAAATATGTACCAGTACTTTAGTGTAAGGTTAAGTTCAATGAGGAATTACAATTTTGTAGAATTTTAGAAAATGTTTTCACTTTTCTTGTGTAGGTACTCAAGTCGTCTTGAAGCAGAACCATCAGCTGTGTCTCACATTCTGTACCAGGAGCCCGAGAACGACCCCAAGAACTTCTGTTACATCTGGGTGGCCAGAGACAGCTCTGTTGTCAATGTTGGGTGGGTAGTTGTATCTTTTGGCCATAGGTGTCCCTCTCGTCACTATTTCATGTGCAGAGTTATGTCCCATGGGCCGCCAGATATCTAGGTTGAACCCAGATTCACCCTCATCATGCTGCTTGGTTTGTCTGCACCATACCTGTGCTTGTGGCTTTCACCACAGTGGTCATCATCTGAACCCTGCATCGTGCTGGGCTTTCCACTCACTTCTACTTAACATGAAATACTGTTCATATTGTGTTAAGCCAAACACATGGAGCAGTCTTAAAGTTAAATGATGGATACAAATTTCATCCTTTAGTTCGAGATTCCCATCCGACACAAAAAATAATTTCAAGTTGAAAACACATTCCTTGTGTAATGTGTTGTGTTGTGTTGTGTTGCTCCTTTCTTTGGGAAAGTCTCTTTTGGGTATTAACATGTTCACAATATAGTGGTGATGGGGATTCTGGTAAAGGTTCTCTGCAACCTATGCATGTTGTGAGAGGCGATTGCATTTATTGGGTGGTCAGATGAGATGCGTGTCATCATACTCCTTTGTGGAATGTTGATCATTACATCAATCACTAGTCTGTCTGGGTGCCGTTGTACAAAGCCATCTTAGCGCTAAGGTGATCGTAACTCCCATACCTTAACATAGACTTACGACAGTTCTAGCGCTAAGGTTGTTTTGTACAACGACACCCTGGTCCAGAAACAGTTATTATCAGGCCCCATCATATGGCTGACTCGCAGTAAATAACAAACAATGCCTGTATTTGATCACAGTAACTTTAGTGTGAGTGTATTTCTTGTGTGCTGATCTCCACCGCCATTGTTCTCAGACAAGAGGGCATCAGCACAATCAGCCTGTATCAGCTGAGTTACGGCAAGAAGACGTGGTACGCCAACTACGGGGTGTTCTTTGAGGTGAGTTGACACACCCCTAACTAGTGGTGGGACGATACACTGATACATCGGCTGATCGTGATTTGTTACTTCTCGATACAAGTGTCGATCACAGTCGCACACAAAGTAAAAAGAATCGATTCTTACCTTAAATGTTTTCTTGAATAAGTGTTACACCAAACACTAATTACTAGTGAAAATGAGTAGTGGAAACGTAAATATTTTCAGTCATTGCGCCATACCTGACACTGCCAACTGTTAATCATTAGTGTGCCAGGTATTTGGCAATCCTGTCTGTGGAAAAGATGGCACCACAGATAAGTGCAGATGCAAGTATCCCGATACATATCAGATTGTGAGCAAGGTATCGTGATACGTATCGAATCGCACAGTTGGTGTATCATCCCAGCTCTACCTCTAACAGACTTCATGAAAACCTTTTGCCTACTTGCACAAGTATTTAAGAAATAAATATGTCCATGCACCATCTGTTGTGTATTAGATGATACGCATCTGAATTGTTATCGTTTGTGTGCCATGACAGATTAACTGTAACATGTATTATATGAAAGAATTGGGTGTTCTTTAACTACTTTTGAGTGGTACGCAATGTGATGATTTCCCATCATCTGTGGATTTTGTGTAACTGTTAAGCAATATTGATACCCATTATTGAGTTTGATTATTGGTTGACATATTTAAAAGTTATGCTCGTCGTCAGAGGCGACCAACAGTATCGGGTGGTCAGGCTAAGTGACTTGGTTGATGCATGTCATCGTATCCCAATTGCGTGGATCGATGCTCATGATGTCAATGACTGGATTGTCTGGTCCAGACTCGATTATTTATGTTGCTGCCGCCTTCTGTGTTCAGGAGCTGCACTCTGTGTGTCTGCGCATCGAGCACAACCTCGCCGCCGACCCGTACAGCAGCGCCACCAAGTCCACCTGGCTGAGTCAGATCGTGTCCTGCTACACCCTCACCAACCCACTCTACACTCCTCCACCACTCCTGCACGACGAGTCCTACGAAGAAAGTAAGACGTGTTTGCTGTAATGCCTTGTGGGGTCTATGCTGTTTAGTAATGTCTACATGATTTCTATGTTGCAAAAATGTTTTGTTGTCACTCATGAGTATTGGATAATTTGTTGATAATTTATTTCTCAACATTGATTTGAATACTAACAGTCCACCTTAATGTAACTGGAACATCGCTGACGTGGCTTAAACACATTCGCTCACATAACCTGTGTTAAGTAGCTGTGACCTCTGTGTTGAGTAGCTGTGACCTCTGTGTTGAGTAGCTGTGACCTCTGTGTTGAGTAGCTGTGACCTCTGTGTTAAGTAGCTGTGACCTCTGTGTTGAGTAGCTGTGACCTCTGTGTTGAGTAGCTGTGACCACTGTGTTGAGTAGCTGTGACCTGTGTTGAGTAGCTGTGACCTCTGTGTTGAGTAGCTGTGACCTCTGTGTTGAGTAGCTGTGACCTCTGTGTTGAGTAGCTGTGACCTCTGTGTTGAGTAGCTGTGACCTTTGTGTTGAGTAGCTCTGACCTCTGTTGAGTAGCTGTGACCTCTGTTGAGTAGCTGTGACCTCTGTGTTGAGTAGCTGTGACCACTGTGTTGAGTAGCTGTGACCTCTGTGTTGAGTAGCTGTGACCTCTGTGTTGAGTAACTGTGACCTGTGTTGAGTAGCTCTGACCTCTGTTGAGTAGCTGTGACCTCTGTTGAGTAGCTGTGACCTCTGTGTTGAGTAGCTGTGACCTCTGTGTTGAGTAGCTGTGACCTCTGTGTTGAGTAGCTGTGACCTCTGTGTTGAGTAGCTGTGACCTCTGTGTTGAGTAGCTGTGACCTGTGTTCAGTAGCTGTGACCTCTGTTGAGTAGCTGTGACCTCTGTGTTGAGTAGCTGTGACCTCTGTGTTGAGTAGCTGTGACCTCTGTGTTGAGTAGCTGTGACCTCTGTGTTGAGAAGCTGTGACCTGTGTTGAGTAGCTATGACCTCTGTGTTGAGAAGCTGTGACCTGTGTTGAGTAACTGTGACCTCTGTGTTGCAGGCAGCCACGGCCCAGACCTGAGCCTGTGTGTGTTTGTGTGGGAGGTGCAGGACAATAGCCCCGGGGACAAGTCCCTCTACTACCTGGGGATGTTCGACATGAACCGATGGTACCATGCCCAGATGCCCACATCCATCAGGTACGTCACAGGGCACATCCACGGACACAATGCAGCATTTAAGTCTGGAATGAGCTTCCAAATATACAGTTGAATACAGAGATCAAACTTTGTAGGTTTGGTGTACACATTAAAATATTAAGTATAGGTTAGAAAACACTCATGTCTATGGACAGTAGTTGACAAGACAAATATTAGTGGAATGAGCTTGAACATTTTTCTGAGTTTTGGTGGCACATTTCCCACAAGTAAAGAGTAGTTAGAACTGATCTTCAGCAACCCATGCTTGTTCCCCGTGAAGATCCGGGTTAGAATTGATCTTCAGCAACCCATGCTTGTTCCCCATGAAGATCCGGGTTAGAATTGATCTTCAGCAACCCATGCTTGCGGCCAGAGGCGTCTAATAGGGTTAGGTGGTCAGTTGCGCTGACTTGGTTGATGAGTGTCATCGTATCCCAATTGCGTAGATCGATGTGTAGGATATCAATCACTGGATTGTCTGGTCCAGACTCGATTATTTGTAGACGGCCATCATGTAGCTGAAATATTGCTGAGAGCAGCATTAAACAACATCCCATTTTCTGCATCCCTTAACCCAGGGTTTCAGTTTTCCCCTGGGAAATTGTGGGGCGTTCAGCAACGAACAAATAAATACTGGAGGTGGTTATGATTGGCAAATCATCCAGAATTTATGACATCTACCAGAACCATGACAAACTTTCTTGTCTGTTTAAAAAATGATGATGTTGACAATTGTATATGCTTTTTCTCTTAGTCAGATAGCTTCATGTCTGTTGTGTTTGTTTTGTTTAGGGATTTGTTTCAACTGTTGACAGAATTGTGTTCAAAGTATGGTCCGTATATATATGTATTCACTCCTTCCAGAACGCGAGAGTCGACGATGGATCTGTGCTCCTTCTTCGCTGTGTACCAGCTGGGTGAACTGTGTGACCTTGCAAACCCTGACGCCTTGCTTGTGAGTTCATGTGTGACTTTGTTGATAACCATCTGCCTTGGTCTCAATCAATGGAGCTGTCTGCCTTACTCATCTTAGAACTAGCCCTCCAAAACACTCACCAGCCATTAACTATCTCGACTGGTTCTGTCACTGTTCCTGACTTATGATAGCCGCAAGCTCTCTGCCGTTTCTGCAGGCCCTGAAGTGAAATATGGATCTGCACACAAATAATGAAACTGATTTATTCGTTAAAGAAATGAAACAGTAAAGGACAGAAGACATATGCACCAGAAATCATGGATAAGCACCACTAGCCTGTACATTTTGATTAATTCTTGAAAAGCTGATATTGCGGTTTTGCCGAATGTAAGATGTGTGTTTTGTGTATCCCCAGCACCTGGAGGTGAAGCCCAACTCACTCAAGAGGTACATCAACAACTCCCCCCTCACTCCGGAACAACACTTCTACCCCACGGCCCTGGCGTTCGGTGAGTCGCGGTTACAATCATGGGTCAGTGTTTGGCTCCAGTGTGTACATGTCAGCCCTGGCGTTCGGTGAGTCACGGTTACAATCACGGGTCAGTGTTTGGCTCCAGTGTGTACATGTCAGCCCTGGCATTCGGTGAGTCACGGTTACAAACATGGGTCAGTGTTTGGCTCCAGTGTGTACATGTCAGCCCTGGCGTTCGGTGAGTCACGGTTACAAACATGGGTCAGTGTTTGGCTCCAGTGTGTACATGTCAGCCCTGGCATTCGGTGAGTCACGGTTACAAACATGGGTCAGTGTTTGGCTCCAGTGTGTACATGTCAGCCCTGGCGTTCGGTGAGTCGCGGTTACAAACATGGGTCAGTGTTTGGCTCCAGTGTGTACATGTCAGCCCTGGGTTCTCGCTAAACATGGTTGGGATTCCAGGAAGAAAATGTCACTCGTACCTTATCTTGTCTCTGTTGGCAATCTGGGCAGATATGTTCCTGTATTCAATGGTTGGGATTCCAAGTAGCTGTGTTGCCAGGTCTGGGAGACAAGCACAGGCAGAGATGCCAATCATTATGCTTTCCCTCCTCTCCAAATTAAAATTTTTAACTTTTTTTCCTGAATTATTTACATGTATAAAATAGCAGAGCAAGCAAATTGTTAATGCACCGATCACGTGGCACATTCTGCAGGTAGCTAATTGCCAGAACACTGATATTTCTTAGAAACCCCAAACATTACATTTTCTTTCTGCAATACAGTTAATATTGTCACATGATGTACTTTATGAATGTGTGGAGCTTTGACCATGTATTTTGGTGTTTCTGACGCTAAGGGGGTTTGGGGGGCTTGCCCCTGCACAACAGCTTGAATTAAATGATTTCATCAGTGATTTATGATTAATAATTACCAAAGTTATGCAAAATATGTGTTTGTTTGAAATGTCCTAATGTACTTTTCGTTGTTGATGTTCATTTATTTTGATGTTCGGATTGATATTCAATTTCGAAACAATGTTTTGTGTCTTCAGATGCTTGTCCGTCTGCAGATGACAGAATGTTTTTACTTTTGTCTGTGTGTATTTTTCTATTAATAAAGGTCATACTTTTATTGTATTAACAAATTTATTGCTGTTACAGATGCTGTGTGTATATTTGAAAGTGGGACGATATCTGCCCAATTCCACGGACGACAGAGACAGGTGAGTTGAAACAAAAACAGTTTTCAGGGACTACTTTGTGCAGACATGGAGGGACGTGTCAACAATAGAATTTCAAGTCACAGGTCTCACACAACATTTGTTAGTTATCTCCCATGGATTTCTCGTGTCTCACATGACATTGATGAATGATTGTGAGACGTTGGGCAGAAGTGGCACATGCTTTTCACCTGATTCGGGCTAGAAGTGATCTCCAGCAAACCGAGCAGGCGACTCAATGGAAGGGGGGGGGGGGGTCAGGCTTGTTAACCTGGTTGAGTGTGTGTCATGCTACCCAGATGGTGTGGACAATATCAGTCACATGATTGTCTGGTCCTCACGTTGACGTCCACCTACCGCGGCTGTACCAGATCCTCCGGTCCGATGATACTAGAGTCTTCCACTCAGGTTCTTCCTACCTCGTGGAATACTAATGATTTAACCTCCATCCCGGCGCAGTAGTCATGTACAAGGTGTGATGTCAGTGTGCCTCCTTCAGTCGCATCTTCCGTTCAGGCTTTTCCTCAGCCTACGACCTCGACAATCTCATCCCCTTCTGTGGACCATTCCCAGAGGAGGATTAAATTGATCGTCATGCCTCCCTTACTTCTTACTCCGGCAGTTTTGACACTGCAGATCCGGCTATGGTTTTGATTTTGATTGATGATAAACTCCAGCTTCCAATGAGTACCTCGACTGAAGACACCAGACTGGTTTTAGTGGATATGGTTACAAATCTGCATAAAGCCTTTGGGCCATTTTGCCGACTACTCCATGGATTACAGTCCCCCCACTTTGTGCTTTGTGTTGGCTGATGCAGGCACTCATGGCCTGTGACTGAATTGGACAGTGACTGAGCGACTTTGGCCCCCAAATGTTCGTTGTCCTGCTCAATGGTGGATGATAGAGATTTACTGCACCTAGACACTACCATTCGCTATTCTTCCGAGACGGAGGCTCTTACCTCAGTTTTGGATCATGCATCTTCTGCTGAGGAAGTTGTGTTTGAGGTTCGGCCATTTTGGATCTTCTTGCTCTCACGCGGGGTCAATTAATACCGGCATGATGTCCTTCAACACTACTCACAGGACAATCCCTTTAGAAATTGCCTATACCAACTGTTTGGGTCAGCTCCCTGACTTTTTCCTGGATGCATTCAAGACATTGCACAGGTGGTTCTTGTTCGTTAAGGTAGCCACCTGCTGAAGACCTGGGTTCAATTCCCGACATGGGGACAATGTGTGAAGCCCATTTCTGGTGTCCCTTGTTGTGATATTGCTGGAATATTGCTAAAAGCAACATAAAACCATACTCACTCACTCTAGTTCGTTAAAGAGCAATAGCAGAAGGACTGTAAACCACCTGCCTTCACTCCTACTCAGTTATTTTACTGTCAATCGATAACAGTTTTTTATTTAATCTAGATATGTGTATTCCTAACGTATAACTTCTCTTCATGATATGGCTGAAATATTGCCGATGTGACGTTAAATATTAACTCACTCACTCCCACTCAGTCGGATCTCCAGGAGTTTGTCAGTAGCAGATTCAGTTCCTTTCACGGCGGTGGACAGGTCGCCATGGGTAATGTAGTTGACTTACTGTGTCTTTCTCCAGACCAAGAGGAATCTCACAGATACTTGCACTTTAAGGAAGCTCTTTCAAGAACAAATCTGATTTTTCCCTCGCCAGCCTTTGTTTACATGAAGCTCTATACAGCAATAAATGTAACGTGGTGTTATTGTTCTGTGTCCACCAGGTGCTGTATGACATGGAAGCCAAAGGCCCCACTTGTCTCCTGCAGCCTCAGGATGTCTACAACATCTGTCTGTGTACCGGTCTCCTGCCTCGCGACCTCACAGCACACACCACACCCGCGGTAAGTACATCTGTCCGTGTACCGGTCTCCTGCCTCGCGACCTCACAGCACACACCACACCCGCGGTAAGTACTTCTGTCCGTGTACCGGTCTCCTACCTCGCAACCTCGCAACCTCGAGACCTCACAGCACACACCACACCTGCGGTAAGTACTTCTGTCTGTGTACCGGTCTCCTGCCTCGCGACCTCACACCACACACCACACACCACACACCACATCCGCGGTAAGTACATCTGTCTGTGTACCGGTGTTCTGCTTCGTGACCACACAGCACACACCACACCCGCGGTAAGTACATCTATCTGTGTACCGGTCTCCTGCTTGCAACCTCACAGCACACACCACATCCGCGGTAAGTACATCTGTCTGTGTACCGGTCTCCTGCCTCGCTACCTCACAGCACACACCACACCCGCGGTAAGTACATCTGTCTGTGTACCGGTCTCCTGCCTCGCGACCTCACAGCACACACCACACCCGCGGTAAGTACATCTGTCTGTGTACCGGTGTTCTGCTTCGCGACCACACAGCACACACCACACCCGCGGTAAGTACATCTGTCTGTGTACCGGTCTCCTGCCTCGCGACCTCACAGCACACACCACACCCGAGGTAAGTACATCTGTCTGTGTACCGGTCTCCTGCCTCGCGACCTCACACCACACACCACACCCGCGGTAAGTACATCTTTCTGTGTACCAGTCTTCTGCCTCGCGACCTCGCGACCTCACAGCAAACACCACACCCCCGGTAAGTACATCTGTCTGTGTACCGGTGTTCTGCTTCGCGACCACACAGCACACACCACATCCGCGGTAAGTACATCTGTCTGTGTACCGGTGTTCTGCTTCGCGACCACACAGCACACACCACACCCGCGGTAAGTACATCTTTCTGTGTACCGGTCTCCTGCCTCGCGACCTCACAGCACAAACCATGAATGAAAATAACCGGATATTTGACAAATATATGTGGCTTTGAAGATATTACATTAAGTAATACGTTACCACTGTTATACCGAGGCTGTTGTCTCCCACAACTGCTGCTATAGCGAAATCTACCACAGAGATCTCAATTACCTCATGCAGCACGTGCGTAGCCACCTAGCTGCCATGTGACACCCTTCACTCTTGTCTCCTTCGTCTGCTTAGCAAGACGTGTTTCTCCTGCTGAAGCGTTCCTTGAAGATTTGGTGATATTTATTATAGTTTATTCTCTAATAAACTGTGCTTTTATGGGGCGTTGCGGTAGCTACGCTTGGTTATAATTTTCCCGCCAAACGGAAAATTTTTCCCGCCCTTTTTTCTATATACTTGCGGGGTTCGCGTATGCACGTTGTGTTTTACGTTTCCCCTGTTCTTGTATGTTTTGGAGGTTAACATCACTTATTTCTTTAATAAAAGTTATATGTGTATGTTATATGTTCACATTGCTCGTTTATTTTCTTGTGAAAATGTTCGTTTGTGAATCATTGTGGTGCGTGCGTTGTAACCATGTTTTGTTCTTTGTTTATAGCAAACAATCAATGTCTGACATGGATATGTCCCCAGTATCCACCCCCTCTACCCCTGCTCCTCGGAGTTGTGGGGTGTGCAGAAAGTTTTTGTCGTCCCGGGATCCCCACGATCGTTGCCCGCGGTGCAGGGTTCCTTGCGGGGACACCCGGTGCATCCTGTGCGAAGGTCTGGGGCCTGCGGAGTTTGAGCGGTACCGGCTGTACGTACAGTCCGTCTCCACCCCTGTGGTGGCCGGTTCGTCCGGTCGGGGTCCCCGTGCGGGTACCACCTCCTCGGCTGCGGCGGATCCCCTTGCGGCCCTCGGGCTGTCTGGGGATTCCGTCGCCGCATTGTTGTCGAAACTTGTGGTCTCCAAGCTGGCGGCCTTATCGCAAGATAGGCCGCTGGCTGTTCCGTCCCCGGCCTCTTCGGTGGCCGCGGGGTCCACCGGTAAAGCGGCGGATCTCTTGGCGGCCCGTGTGCTGTCCGGGGATTCCGTCGCTGCATTACTTGCATAACTTGTGGACTCCAAGCTGGCGGCCTTATCTCAGGATAGGCCGCTGGCTGTTCCGTCCCCGGCCACTTCGGTGGCCGCGGGGTCGGACGCGGGGTCCACCGGTACGGCGGCGGCTCCCGTGGTCACCGGTCCTTCCCCCGAACCGTTGCTCCCGCTATCGGTTTAGGACCGCGTGGCCATGGTTTATGACCTCTTTGAGGACATGCCCCGGCCGGTACCGCGGGGAATCCACGACTGTGGGTTCCTCCGAGGTATACGATAAGTCTTCCGACACGGCTTTCCCCGCATCAACCTTGCTGCGCGGTTTCAAGCCTTCCTTGGAGAACGCCTTTGCGGCGGCCTCCGGTCGGGGTCTCCCGTTGCCTCCGACGTCGTGGAGAAAGGGTTTCTTCCCGGTACATGACCTTGCCTTTCCCGAGGCTGGTCCTACCGCGGAGGCCCATGTTGAGCGGTTGGGTGTCCGTGCCCCACCGGCTGCTACGGTAACGCAAGCTACCTTGCACCAGCTGGACGCCCTCGCTCGGCACTCCATGTCTCACGGAGACACTTACTTGGCTGCAGCGGCCCGTCTGGTCGAAGGTTCTCCCACGGACCGTGACCAGCGCATTTACAACTGCCTGCTCAGTTTAAATGCTTCCCTGGAGTACGTTGCCGAGGACTCTCGGCACACACTTGCTCTTGTTGGGTCCCTGCATAGGCGCCTGGGTGCCGCTCCTAACCGGAGCGCGCCCCAGGCTGCTGCGGCCGGTAGGTCTAAGGGGTCGGGTTCTTCTTCCTCTGGGAAGTAGCCCCGCCCTGAGGGCTCCGGTATGGGCAATCAGCTGCCCTTTCGCGGGAAGACCGGGAACTGGGGGAAGCCCAAGTCGTCGACGGACGGCAAGGGCCCCTCCAGGTGACTCTCATTGGAGGGGTTCGTATGCCGACAGCGCCAACTTCGGTTGGCCCTTAGGCGAACCGAGTCACTTGGCCCTGGACAGTTGCGCCTGCCGCAACCTGTCAGGGCCCCCTCTCCTTCCCCAGTGGGAGCCAGACTCCAGACTTACTGGGAGAATTGGGAACAAGTGTTCGACGACCCGTGGGTGGTCAACACGATTCAGTACGGCTATCGGCTTGATCTCAAAGCGAATCCGCCGCTCACCGTTGCCCCGTTGGCAGGTTTCGATTCGGAAACCGATCTTCCCATCCTCGCCGATGCCATCGGCAGGTTGGTGGAGAAGGGGCAGTACGGGAGTTAGCTCTACCGGGGTTTTACTCCAGGATATTTCTCGTTCCCAAGTAGGACAGTGCCGAACTCAGAATGATTCACACGTCCGCTCCCTGGCTGTTCACCCGGTTAACCACCCCCATAGTGGGGTTCCTCCACAGGAGGGGTGTCCGGTACTTCGCGTACCTGGACGACTCGCTAGTAGCAAATCGAATGACGGACACCCTGTCACGCCATCTCGTTTTCGCACGTCGGCTCTTGGAGCAATTTGGGTGGATTATCAATCTCCCGAAGAGCGAGTTAACCCCTTCTCAGAACTTGCTGTTCATCGGAGGTCGGTTCAACACGGTGTCCCATCGCCTCTTTGTCCCCCCAGACCGGTGGCACAAAATTCAGGCGATGATTGCCAAAGTCTTAGCGGTGCAACAGACTGTTCACTTTTGGGAACAGCTGTTAGGGCTACTTGTATCAGCCCAGGACTGCACCGCACGGGGTCGTCTCCAACTCCGCCCGCTGCAACGGTTTTTAATCCAGTTGTTAGCAACGGAGGTGAACAGTGCGACCGTCGCCCTCCCGGATCGGCTCCGACCGCATCTGGAGTGGTGGACGGTCCCTTACATTGTCTTATCAGGAGTCTCTATGCGGCCCTACCGGGCCACGTTGACCCTGTATACAGACGCCTCTCTAGTGGGCTGGGGCGCCCATCTAAAGGGGGAGGTGAGCTCGGGGCTGTGGTGCGTAGACGAACTAGGTCTTCACATCACTTGTCTCGAGTACAAGGCAGTGATCAACGCAGTCAATCACTGGAAGCATCGTCTCGTCGACGCCCGGCTCATGCTGGCGACCGACAACACGACGGTAGTGTCCTATGTGAACACACTGGGGGGAACCCACAGTCACTCGCTACTCGATCTCACGTTCGAGTTTTACGCTCTGGTGGACAGTGTCCCGTGCCAGATACGCGCCCGTCACATCCCAGGTGTGCGGAACGTACTGGCCGATGCTCTATCGAGGCCTCAGGATCCGAGCCCCACAGAGTGGATGCTGAACCCAGTAGTGTTTCAGTGGCTGTGCGAACGTTTGGGTCGTCCGATGGTCGACCTGTTCGCAACGCGGTTCAACAATCAACTCCCGTTGTTTGTATCACCAGTCCCGGACCCGAGGGCCATCGATCACGATGCTCTCGCGTTAGACTGGACGGGCTTGGTCGCTTATGCTTACCCGCCGACAGCGTTGATACCACACATTCTAAGCCGGCTCCGAGGAGTTCGCTGTCGAATGTTACTGATCGCGCCCATGTGGCCGAACAGATCGTGGTACCCCGACTTGCTGACCCAGGTCACGCAGTCGCCACTTCCACTGCCTGTGAGACCGGATCTCTTGATCCACCCTCACACCCGTCAGCTTCATCCAAACGCAGGGCAGTTCAATCTGCACGCGTGGATGTTGTCACCGAGCGTCTGAGGAGTAAAGTTTTTTTCTCGCCGGGCGTCTCGGGCATACGTTAGTATGCATCGTGATTCTACCCAGAAGGTGTGTAATGCACGTTGGGTTATTTTCACGAAGTGGTGTTGTAAACATCACATTCATTCGCCAGATAAGGTATCTGTGCAGGATATTGCTCGTTTCATGTCTCACTTGCGAGAGACCCGGAAACTCTCCGGGGGTTCCATTGCCAACTATGTCTCGTCTGTTGCTACGGTACGGGACGTTGCTATGGGTACCAGTCTCTCCAAAGAGCCGGTGATACGGGGTATTATCAAGGGTTTCAAACAGCACGATCTTAAGAAGGGCCGCCTTCGGGCACCGGCCTTGGATCTTTCCCTAGTGTTGCAATCACTTACGGAAGCTCCGTATGAACCCTTGCATAGTGCTTCGTTCCGGCATGTGACTTGGAAAACAGCATTTCTCCTCTCCTTTGCCACGGCGGCACGTGTATCCGAAATTCATGCACTCGATGTCGCCAAGGTACGATTCGATAGGGGTGACGAAGGAGCGGTCCGCCTGGGCCTGCTCATGGGCTTCGTCGCCAAGAATCAGAGAGTCGGGCAAACGGAGAGAGAATTCACTGTAAGATCACTCAAAGAAATCTTACATCCTGCTGATACTGAGGACAGAGCGCTGTGTCCGGTTAGGCCCCTTAAGTATTATCTTAAGGCTTTGAATGAACGTAGACAAGGGCGTGACCGTCTGTTCATATCGTGTAACCCTAATCGCACGGTTGACATAACTCGCAACTCGATTGCGTTGTGGCTTCGTTCTGTCATCAATCTGGCGTACCGGTCTCGGGGGTTACCGGTAGCGGGGTCAAACCCGCACGAGATCAGGGCGCTAGCGGCAACATTTGCCCTACACTCGAATATCTCTGTTCGCAGAATATTACGAGGTTGTTACTGGCGTTCTGACTCGGTTTTTGCCAATCATTACCTCAAACAGGTCGCTGATGCCGTCGTGGAGAGTGTGCACCGTCTTGGCCCGCGGATCGCGGCGCAAGCGGGCACCTAAGGGGTGTGCCCAGCGCAATTCCGAACTCCTCAGGCGTCTGACCTTGCACGGTGGTCAATCTGGGTCGACTCCAATGTTCCCACTGCCGTGGGTACAGGAGTTGGGGTCCCGCAAACCAGCGCACTCACACCACAGGTGAGGGCGGCTTTTTGTGTGCTTTGTCCTTATTTGTATTTTGACAATTATGTCTTTAATTGTCTGTCGTGTATCCCAACCTTGTGATGCATGCTTACAAATACTGGAATTAGGTCACGCGCCTAATGCATACTTTAAGTAGGCTTGCTCTGGGATATACGGTCTGAATGAAATTAATTTCCCTCTTTTCGACTGTTTAACCTGATCTAAGATTAAGCTCACGCGGATACAGTGTTCTCATCTGCTGCGGCGATGAAATACCTATCCAGTGGGGCCGTTTGGAGTCACCAATCGTTTTGGCAATGACGATTGAGCCTTACGGTATGCGCTTGACAGTGCTTTGGTATTCCTATAGGGTAACGCCTAGCTAGGTGCATGCGCATCGAGTGCTTCCGCCTTGGTGTTTACTTCCGCTGGTCGGAAGGAACGCTAGCAGTCAGGATTCGGGTTGTAGGTGCTCCCCACCGCCTACTGTGGTAGTCAGCCTCGGTATAACAGTGGTAACGTATTACTTAATGTAATTTGTAGAATTTTCCTATTCGGAATATTCTATAAGTAATACGTTACCACTGGGCTGCTGCCCGCCCGTCCGTCCCCCGAGCACTTGCTCTCGCAGGAGACAAGAGTGAAGGGTGTCACATGGCAGCTGGGTGGCTACGCACGTGCTGCATGAGGTAATTGAGATCTCTGTGGTAGATTTCGCTATAGCAGCAGTTGTGGGAGACAACAGCCTCGGTATAACAGTGGTAACGTATTACTTATAGAATATTCCGAATAGGAAAATTCTACAAATTGGTGTGTTTACTGACAGGCACAGCAGCGTCAGGCATTACTCAACATGGCTCTGGACCACTCCATGATCAAGTTCATCAACTGCTGCATCACAGCGTGGGCTGCCGGAGGTAAGGAGATCAGTTGTCTCTAGGTTCTTGTTTGGTGAATGATCAAACAGTTAATATGACTATTGGCATTAAGGTGAGTGAGTGAGTGAGTGACTTTGGTTTTACGCCGCTCTTAGCAATATTACAGCAGGGGACACCACAAATGGCCTTTGCACATTGTACCCATGTCGGGAATTGAACCCGGATCTTCGGCGTGATGAGCGAACACTTTAACCACTTAGCTCCCTGACTGCCTCTCCTTTGCATTAAGAGGCTGAAACAAGGACTGGGCGGCTTGGAGTCAGTATACTGTGTCTGAGTGGGGTATTCATGTTAAACTGCAACATGGTATCTCAGTGGGCGAAACAAGTGTGTTCACGTCGCTATATAAGTGCAATAATCTTGGATGTGATGTTAAAACTCAATTTCACCTCACCTATTAAAACAAGCTGCCACATCTTCGCTTCACAAGCTGAAGGATCCTGTGAGCCTTGCCTGCTACTTCAGCTGACAGTGTTTCTCATTGACATGATGTATTGCAGAGTCTGTGCAGCTCTGAAGATGACAGTGTGTCTCATTGACATGATGTTTGTTGACAGAGTTTGTGCAGCAAGGCTGTACTCTGAAGTTCCTGCTGGACTGGGCCTGGGAAAAAGTCGCTGCCACCAAACACAACATTGACACTGTGTGTAAGTACACCTGTACACTGACAACATTGACACTGTGTGTAAGTACACCTGTACACTGACAACATTGACAACATTGACACAGTGTGTAAGTACACCTGTACACTGACAACATTGACACTTTAAGTACACCTGTACACTGACAACATTGACACTGTGTGTAAGTACACCTGTACACTGACAACATTGACACTGTGTGTAAGTACACCTGTACACTGACAACATTGACCCTGTGTGTAAGTACACCTGTACACTGACAACATTGACACTGTAAATACACCTGTACACTGACAACATTGACACTGTGTGTAAATACACCTGTACACTGACAACATTGACACTGTAAATACACCTGTACACTGACAACATTGACACAGTAAATACACCTGTACACTGACAACATTGACACTGTAAATACACCTGTACACTGACAACATTGACACTGTGTGTAAGTACACCTGTACACTGACAACATTGACACTGTGTGTAAGTACACCTGTACACTGACAACATTGACACTGTAAGTACACCTGTACACTGACAACATTGACACTGTGTGTAAATACACCTGTACACTGACAACATTTACACTGTGTGTAAGTACACCTGTGCACTGACAACATTGACACTGTGTGTAAGTACACCTGTACACTGACAACATTGACACTGTGTGTAAGTACACCTGTACACTGACAACATTGACACTGTGTGTAAGTACACCTGTACACTGACAACATTGACACTGTGTGTAAGTACACCTGTACACTGACAACATTGACACTGTGTGTAAGTACACCTGTACACTGACAACATTGACACTTTAAGTACACCTGTACACTGACAACATTGACACTGTGTGTAAGTACACCTGTACACTGACAACATTGACACTGTGTGTAAGTACACCTGTACACTGACAACATTGACACTGTGTGTAAGTACACCTGTACACTGACAACATTGACACTGTGTGTAAGTACACCTGTACACTGACAACATTGACACTGTGTAAGTACACCTGTACACTGACAACATTGACACTGTAAATACACCTGTACACTGACAACATTGACACTGTAAGTACACCTGTACTGACTACATTGACACTGTGTGTAAGTACACCTGTACACTGACAACACTGACACTGTATGTACACCTCTACACCTGTATCTCGTAGCTATGTTATATATTGCAATACAATCTTGTTTATTGTGAAGTCAAAGCTTCACCTGTAAAAAGTAATGGCTGAAGTGTTGCTGAACTCTAGCAACTGACATACATGTTACCATGGTTACAGGTGCCCCTCTGTACGACTGGTCAGGGAACCACGCCGACCACCGACTACTGCAGGTACTCAACAGGTCAAAGGTCACATTGCATCACCTGCGGACCATCATGCTGACTCTACTGACGCAGTCGGCTCCGACAACGGAGCAGGGTATGTCAACTGTAGCTGTGTCGTGTGACTTTTTGGGGCTGTGAGTCAGAGGTTGAACCTGTGTAGAATGACTTTGGTTTTGGTGAATTTTGAACATGAATTTTAGCTGTTATATTGTTGACATTGTAGGAGATGAAAAGAATTCCTTGTGTTGGAGATGCAATGACATGGTTAAAGTTATAATCACAGTGTGTGTTGTCTGTGGACCCGTGAAGATCCGGGGTAGAATAGTTCTCAGCAACCTATGCCTGCCGTAAAAGGCGACTTTGCTTGCTGACTTGGTTGATGCATGTCATTGTATCTGAATTGCGTGGATTGATCCTCATGATGTCAATCACTGGATTGTCTGGTCCAGGCTCAATTATTTACAGATCGCTGTCATACAATTGGAATATTGCTGAGTGCAGTGTTAAACAATTTAGACTGTAGTCTGTTGTCTGTACTCTTGTGTCTATAGTCTGACTATGTCTGTAGTCTGAATGTGTATGTAGTCTGTGTCATGTCTGCCTTCTGACGTCTGTCTGTGTTTTGTCTGTCGTCTGTACTTTGAGTGTGACCTGTCTGTTGTTGCAGGTGTGGTGGAGCTGGAGACAAGGCTGAATGTGATCCAGTTCCTCTCTCAGCATCTCCAGATAGTTCTGTGGTTCATCGATGCCGGACTGCTGCCGGAGTGTGACGGTAGGCTTCACATCATCGGGGGGGCTTCACATCATCACAGGGGCTTCACATCATCACGGGGGCTTCACATCATCACTCACACATCTGTTCAGATTTGGGTGTTACATGTAGAAAGAGTGTGGTTTGAACAAAAGCTTTCTATGATGGTGCAGTGTTCTAAAGCTCCACAAATATGTTGATCAGAGAGGCATTCCAGGCACAATTTCCCTGCTACATGAAGTCCAGGTCCATGATGAAAATCACTGGATTGTCTGGTCCAAACTTGATTATTTACAGACCATCTATACATAGCTGAAAAATTGCTGAGTGGCCGTAAAACAACAAACAAACAAACTCAAAACATATTTGACCGCCATGTGTGTCCATTTACAGCTGCTACTTCTGTAGAGCTGGTCCCTTAGGTCAGAGCTCCTTCTGTAGAGCTGATCCCTTAGGTCAGAGCTCCTGTAGAGCTGCATCCCTTAGGTCAGAGCTCCTTCTGTAGAGCTGGTCGCTTAGGTCAGAGCTCCTTCTATAGAGATGGTCCCTTAGGTCAGAGCTCCTGTAGAGCTGCATCCCTTAGGTCAGAGCTCCTGTAGAGCTGGTCGCTTAGGTCAGAGCTCCTTCTGTAGAGATGGTCCCTTAGGTCAGAGCTCCTATAGAGCTGCATCCCTTAAGTCAGAGCTCCTGTAGAGCTGCGTCCCTAGGTCAAAGCTCCTTCTGTAGAGCTGCGTCCCTTAGATCAGAGCTCCTTCTGTAGAGCTGGTCGCTTAGGTCAGAATTAAATGGTTGTGGATTTGAATCCCAGATATGACCAATTATGAAATAGGTTTGTCAGCTCCAACCCATGCATGTGGTTTTCACCCAAATGTCTGAGAGCTGTATCACTTCTGGCTTCCTCCCCCATGCAGCTGACACTGTGATGGAACTGTCATACTCTTGAAAGCTGTGGAAAACCCAACTCACTCATTCAACTACTTTGTTACACAGCTACTTTGTTTGATTCAACAGCCTGTTACAGTATGTGGACTTTCATCAGAGAATGAAACTGTGTTCAGTGTGTATATTGTGTACTGGGACATTGTTATGGTCCGAGGCTTGGCTGTTTTCAATCTTTATGTTTTGATATATTTTGAAATTCTTTGTGAACAGAAATTGGTGATGATGTTGAGGGTCTGTACCGCTTCCCTGCTGGAAACCTGACACAGGCCTTCAGTTCACGCCGGGCCGAGTTGCAGAAGCTGCACAGGTGAGTGTCAGTTACCATGGTTAGAGGTGTGGAGGGTCTTCGATGCAGAAGCTGCACAGGTGAGTGTCAGATACCATGGATACAGGCACAGTGAAACCCTGTTGATCCTTTCCATTCCATTCCATTATAACTGGAGACTATGGCGGGCTGGATGACACCTGGCTAAACTTATTTCTTAATGATGAAATCTCAAATTTATGTCCTTGCATACATGTGGATGGTTGCTATTGTTATCAGACTGTTTTTTGTGTGGTGAGAGCCTTGTTCCACAAAGTGATCTTAGCGCTAAGACGACTGTAACAGTGATTCCATACCCTAACACGGACACAGGGATTAACACTAACATGGCTTTGTAAAACAGGTCCTAGTCATTTGTCCTGTGTCACTGATATTGATGTTTGTGGTTTTCAACTCAGTTTCTTTACTTGTGTAAATTTGTAACCTCAAAATACCATAAAGTCTAGAAAATTGAATGCCCATGGGTGTTTTTGATATGTGGTTTTGAGATTTTTACAAATACTGTTTTTCAGTGAGATCAACCCGACCGAACTTCTACTGATTGATGGCTTGGTGGATTGCTGTGGAGATGCCATCCCCGCCCTGTGGGAGCGGGAGGGAGGGAGTGGCCTCTACCCACCCCCCAGTCTGCATGTAAGTTATCCCCTCCCTGTGGGCGTGGCCTATACCCACCCCCTAGTCTGCATGTAAGTTATCCCCTCCCTGTGGGCGCGGGAAGTAGGGAGTGGCCTATACCCACCCCCAGTCTGCATGTAAGTTATCCCCTCCCTGTGGGCGCGGGAGGGAGGAAGCAAGCTATACCCACCCCCAGTCTGCATGTATGTTATCCCCGCCCTGTAGGACCGGGAGGGAGGAAGCAAGCTATACCCACCCCCAGTCTGCATGTAAGTTATCCCCTCCCTGTGGGAGCAGGAGGGAGGAAGCAAGCTATACCCACCCCCAGTCTGCATGTCAGTTATCCCCTCCCTGTGGGAGCAGGAGGGAGGAAGCAAGCTATACCCAACCCCAGTCTGCATGTCAGTTATCCCCACCCTGTGGGAGCAGGAGGGAGGAAGCAAGCTATACCCACCCCCAGTCTGCATGTCAGTTATCCCCGCCCTGTGGGAGCAGGAGGGAGGAAGCAAGCTATACCCACCCCCAGTCTGCATGTCAGTTATCCCCACCCTGTGGGCGCGGCCTATACCCACCCCCCAGTCACCATGTAAGTTATCCCCTCCCTGTGGGCACGGCCTATACCCACCCCCAGTCTGCATGTAAGTTATCCCCTCCCTGTGGGCACGGCCTATACCCACCCCCCAGTCTGCATGTAAGTTATCCCCACCCTGTGGGCGCGGGAGGGAGGAAGCAAGCTATACCCACCCCCCATACTGCATGAAAATTATCCCCACCCTGTGGGCGCGGCCTATACCCACCCCCCAGTCTGCATGTAAGTTATCCCCTCCCTGTGGGCACGGCCTATACCCACCCCCAGTCTGCATGTAAGTTATCCCCTCCCTGTGGGCGCGGGAGGGAGGAAGCAAGCTATACCCACCCCCCATACTGCATGAAAATTATCCCCACCCTGTGGGCGCGGCCTATACCCACCCCCCAGTCTGCATGTAAGTTATCCCCTCCCTGTGGGCACGGCCTATACCCACCCCCAGTCTGCATGTAAGTTATCCCCTCCCTGTGGGCGCGGGAGGGAGGAAGCAAGCTATACCTACCCCCAGTCTGCATGTAAGTTATCCCCACCCTGTAGGACCGGGAGGGAGGAAGCAAGCTATACCCACCCCCAGTCTGCATGTAAGTTATCCCCTCCCTGTGGGAGCAGGAGGGAGGAAGCAAGCTATACCCACCGCCCAGTCTGCATGTAAGTTATCCCCACCCTGTGGGCGCGGGAGGGAGGAAGCAAGCTATACCCACCCCCAGTCTGCATGTAAGTTATCCCCGCCCTGTGGGCGCGGGAGGGAGGAAGCAAGCTATACCCACCCCCCATACTGCATGAAAATTATCCCCACCCTGTGGGCGCGGCCTATACCCACCCCCCAGTCTGCATGTAAGTTATCCCCTCCCTGTGGGCACGGCCTATACCCACCCCCCAGTCTGCATGTAAGTGATCCCCTCCCTGTGGGCGCGGGAGGGAGGAAGCAAGCTATACCTACCCCCAGTCTGCATGTAAGTTATCCCCACCCTGTAGGACCGGGAGGGAGGAAGCAAGCTATACCCACCCCCCAGTCTGCATGTATGTTATCCCCACCCTGTGGGCGTGGGAGGGAGGAAGCAGCCTATACCTACCCCCAGTCTGCATGTAAGTTATCCCCACCCTGTGGGAGCAGGAGGGAGGAAGCAAGCTATACCCACCCCCAGTCTGCATGTCAGTTATCCCCACCCTGTGGGAGCAGGAGGGAGGAAGCAAGCTATACCCACCCCCAGTCTGCATGTCAGTTATCCCCACCCTGTGGGAGCAGGAGGGAGGAAGCAAGCTATACCCACCCCCAGTCTGCATGTAAGTTATCCCCGCCCTGTAGGACCGGGAGGGAGGAAGCAAGCTATACCCACCCCCAGTCTGCATGTAAGTTATCCCCGCCCTGTAGGACCGGGAGGGAGGAAGCAAGCTATACCCACCCCCAGTCTGCATGTAAGTTATCCCCGCCCTGTGGGAGCAGGAGGGAGGAAGCAAGCTATACCTAGATCTTGATCTTGTGGACATTCACTCTGGATACATTATTGATGGCAATATTTTCGGCTGATTTCCAACACTAGTAGGTTGAATGTTGTAACAAGATAAAAAGATTCTAATCTTGTGGAAAACCTGGATGAACATCAAAGCTGTAACTTATAAGAATTAATCACATTATGTAAGTGTGTCTACTTTACTGTGGTAAGATTGTGTGTGATGTGTGCAGGCGCTGCTGAACGTCTACCTGGTGGAGGAAGTGAGTATTGGAGTGAAGCATTCCATCGTGCTGTACCTGCTGCTAGACCTGGCCTCTCTTGTGGAGGAGCATCGACATGAACAGGTGAGTCCCAAACCCCCCCTTCCTTCCGCCAGCCCCCACCCCCACCCCCACCCCCACCCCCACCATCCACCTACACCCTCGCCTCACTGCTGGATCTGCCCTCTTGTGGAGGAGCTTCGACATGATACGGTTAGTCCTTCCCACCCACACCCCCACCAACTCCCTGCACCTGCCTTCCATACACCCTCACCCCCCTGGTGTAGTGGATAGAGCGTCTGCCCGGAGAGTGGAAAGTTGGTTCGATCCCTGGACGTGTCATACCAAAAGATGTTAAAAGATGGTACTTGCTGTTACCCAGCCTTTTTCTAGGCATTAAGGGGCAAAAACAAGGACTGGTCTGAGCGGGGTATTCATGTTAATCTGCAGCATGGAATCTCAGTGGGCTGGCAAACACGTTGATGAATGAGTGCAATAATGTAGACCGTGATGTTAGATCCTAGGGTTGGGAATTGGACCAAAAAGTGTATTGCGATATATTGCAATATTTCAAAAACATATTGCAATATTATTGCAATATATTGGGAAATAATTTCTACCAAGAGAAAAGCTTTTTTTCATATCCCTTTGACAAATATTAATATGAAAGCTGCAATGTTAACAATATCAAATACAGAGTATGAAGCATTTGTTTTGTCTTTGTTTTGATTCAATAAGGTAAGACTATACATCATGGCATATACATGTCAGTCAAAGTTTGAATAATGAGGGAAAAACCGATACGCCAAAAATGTATTGCGATTCATATCGTGATGAATTTGTATTGCAATATACCGGTATACCGATAAAACCGCACATCCCTATTAGATCCCATTCTCCCTCACCTGGCCTCATTGGTGGATTACCTCCCTTACCCCACCCTACCTTCATTATCCCATCCATTAGGTTTGGTAGAGTTTTCAGTATGTTTCACAGCTGTTCTGTTATAAATTAGAAAGGACTTTGAATTCAACTGCTTTTAGACATCAGACACTTTGATTCAAATTTAATCAAATCTGTTATGTCAGTATTTGTTTTAGTTTTGAAAAATTCGCAAGTTCTTACATAACTTTTTCACAAGTGCACCCTTCTTATATTTTAGTTTGCGGACAAGATCGCCAAATTTGCCAAGTCCTTCTCCCTCCCCTTGTCTGTGGTGAAGCAGATCCAGGCCTTCTGGTTGTTGGACCACAAGGACTTCGAGGTAAGTCTCATTTCTGTAGAATGCGTTCTATATCACTCACTGTGTCAGGAAGCATTCTGTATCTCCTGTCTGTTTCAGGAATGTTCTATATCTCCTGTCTCTCTCACGAAGCGTTCTATATCTCCCATCTGTTTCAGGAAGCATTCTATATGTTCCCCATCTGTTTCAGGAAGCCTTCTATATCTCCTCTCTGTTTCAGGAATCATTCTGTATCTCCTGTCTGTTTCAGGAAGCGTTCTATATCTCCCATCTCTTTCAGGAAGCATTCTATATGTCCCCCGTCTGTTTCAGGAAGCGTTCTATATCTCCCATCTGTTTCAGGAATGTTCTATATCTCCTGTCTCTCAGGAAGCGTTCTATATCTCCCATCTGTTTCAGGAATGTTCTATATCTCCTGTCTCTCAGGAAGCGTTCTATATCTCCCATCTGTTTCAGGAATGTTCTATATCTCCCGTCTGTTTCAGGAAGCGTTCCTGCACCTGCTGCACCCAATGGCCAATCTGCAGTTGGGCCAGTGGCAGCAGGGCAGAGTCATCAAGTCTCTGCTGTTTCAAGGGGAGAGTAAGCTGGCCCTGCGTTACATCAGTCTGCGCAGCGTCGCAGTCATGTCGCAGGAGGAGGTGAAGCTGAAACTGACGGTGCTGCTGGCTAATGGGTAATACATGTGTGCACAAATGACATTAGAAATTGACACTCCATTAGGTTTTTCCAATTGATTCATAATCTGGGCTGCGTTCCACTATGTGATCTAATCATCTTAGAGTTACGATTGTCGTAAGTCTGTGTTAAAATATTGGAGTTACGATCATCTTAGCGCTAAGATCACTTTGCGACATTGATTGAATGTTATTTTAAATTTATGACCCTAAGATTTTTTTATGTAATTGGTAATGACAGAAAAATTCATAAAGAAATGAAGATTTTCTAGAATGTGCTTATGCCTCCAGTAATGTCACTGATTCATACTTTACTGTGGGTGCAGCCAAGTCGTCTAAGGTGCTGCAGTTTGGTATGTGGAGTTTGTAAACAAACACATCGTAGCATTAGCTGTCTTTAAAATAAATGTAAATTAGCCTTTGGTCTTTTTGTGTTGGGGAGTCTGGGTTTGATTAGGTCCCAGCAATATCCTCGTCGTATGAGGTGACCCACTAGCCTAGGTGGTCCAGCGCGGTGATGCGGTTGCGTGTGTGTCATCCTTCCCGGTATGCAGACTTCCAATGACTCCTGGTTACTATTGGTCTTCAGCAACTGATGGTTGTTGTAAGAGGCGAGTATCGGAATCAGATGGTCAGGTCATTGTATCTCAATTGCGTAGATTGATGCTTGTGATATCAATCACTGGATTGTCTAGTCCAGACTCAATTATTTACAGCCCGCCATCATATAGCTTGCATATTGCTGAGTGTGGCATTAAACTAAGAAAGAAAGAAAGATTGTTTCATTCCAATGTTGTAGAGAGTAGATACTGCTTTATGAGTATATTTTTGTGAAGAGCATGTGCACGGTACCAGACACTGTGAATGATGTTCCAGGTTGATAACAGAAGCATTTGAATACCAGCGGGCATGCAGGGATAAAAGCAACATGGCGGATCTGCTGAATCATCTGTTTCTGGGCTGCCATCAAAGTGAGTCATGAGCAGACAAGTCACCAGATGGACAGACAATTGACAATCACCAGATGGACAGACAATTGACAATCACCAGATTAACAGACAATTGACAATCACCAGATGGACAGACAATTGACAATCACCAGATTAACAGACAATTGACAATCACCAGATGGACAGACAATTGACAATCACCAGATTAACAGACAATTGACAATCACCAGATGGACAGACAATTGACAATCACCAGATTAACAGACAATTGACAATCACCAGATGGACAGACAATTGACAATCACCAGATTAACAGACAATTGACAATCACCAGATGGACAGACAATTGACAATCACCAGATTAGCAGACAATTGACAATCACCAGATTGACAGACACTTGACATCACAGGATTAACAGACAATTGACAATCACCAGATTAACAGACAATTGACAATCATCAGATTAGCAGACAGTTGACAATCACCAGATTAACAGACAATTGACAATCACCAGATTAACAGACAATTGACAATCACCAGATTAACAGACAATTGACAATCATCAGATTAGCAGACAATTGACAATCACCAGATTAACAGACAATTGACAATCACCAGATGGACAGACAATTGACAATCACCAGATTAACAGACAATTGACAATCACCAGATGGACAGACAATTGACAATCACCGGATTAGCAGACACTTGACAATCACCAGATTAACAGACAATTGACAATCACCAGATGGACAGACAATTGACAATCACCAGATTAACAGACAATTGACAATCACCAGATGGACAGACAATTGACAATCACCAGATTAACAGACAATTGACAATCACCAGATGGACAGACAATTGACAATCACCAGATTAACAGACAATTGACAATCACCAGATGGACAGACAATTGACAATCACCAGATTAACAGACAATTGACAATCACCAGATGGACAGACAATTGACAATCACCAGATTAACAGACAATTGACAATCACCAGATGGACCGACAATTGACAATCACCAGATTAGCAGACAATTGACAATCACCAGATTGACAGACACTTGACATCACAGGATTAACAGACAATTGACAATCACCAGATTAACAGACAATTGACAATCATCAGATTAGCAGACAGTTGACAATCACCAGATTAACAGACAATTGACAATCACCAGATTAACAGACAATTGACAATCACCAGATGGACAGACAATTGACAATCACCAGATTAACAGACAATTGTCAATTCTCAGATTAACAGACAATTGACAAATCTCCAGATTAACAGACAGTTGTCAATTCTCAGATTAACAGACAATTGACAATCACCAGATTAACAGACAGTTGTCAATTCTCAGATTAACAGACAATTGACAAATCTCCAGATTAACAGACAATTGACAATCACCAGATTGACAGACAATTGACAATCACCAGATTAACAGACAATTGACAATCACCAGATTAACAGACAATTGACAATCACCAGATTAACAGACAATTGACAATCACCAGATGGACAGACAATTGACAATCACCAGATTGACAGACAATTGACAATCACCAGATTAGCAGACAATTGACAATCACCAGATTGACAGACACTTGACATCACAGGATTAACAGACAATTGACAATCACCAGATTAACAGACAATTGACAATCATCAGATTAGCAGACAGTTGACAATCACCAGATTAACAGACAATTGACAATCACCAGATTAGCAGACAATTGACAATCACCAGATTAACAGACAATTGACAGTCACCAGATTAACAGACAGTTGACAATCACCAGATTAGCAGACAGTTGACAATCACCAGATTAACAGACAGTTGACAATCACCAGATTAGCAGACAGTTGACAATCACCAGATTAACAGACAATTGACAATCACCGGGTTAGCAGACAATTGACAATCATCAGATTAACAGACAATTGACAGTCACCAGATTAACAGACAACTGACAATCACCAGATTAACAGACAATTGACAATCTACAGATTAACAGACAGTTGACAATCAGCAGATTAACAAACGTGTTTGTCGCCTGAGACCTCTAAACTGATTAGGTGGTCGGATTCAGTGACTTGGTTGCATGTCATTGTTCCCCGACAGCATGGATCATTGCTGCTCATATCAATCTCTGGTTTGTCTGGATGTGTCAGACTGCTGACAAATAGCTGGACTTTTACTAAGTGTGATGTTAAATAAACAAATAACATCATGATTACAATTATCAGTGGAGAGTTCCTACAAACCTATCAAAAAGGTTATGCTGAAAATATCAATCACTGGTTTGTCAGGACCAGTCGTGCTGCCACCATATTGCTGGAATATTACTGTCATCCCGCTGAAGTAATTACCCCACAACAAAATGCTCCAGTTCCAATCAGCTTACACATCATTTTTAACATTTGCTGAGCCCAAAACTAACGTCATAACACCATGAAATATAAAAACATTCACAATAACTATACCACTGAACCTCATCTCGCACAAAACCACGATTCATATGTACTTGTGGAATGTTAACTTTAAAGAGGGGAGATAATTCAGTAATCACTAAAAAGTGCAGACCACTAGAAAATCGCAAGCGAAGAGACAAGAGTGAAGGGTGTCACATGGCAGCTAGGTGGCTACGCACGTGCTGCATGAGGTAATTGAGATCTCTGTGGTAGATTTCGCTATAGCAGCAGTTGTGGGAGACAACAGCCTCGGTATAACAGTGGTAACGTATTACTTATAGAATATTCCGAATAGGAAAATTCTACAATTATTAGCAGTTATCTAAACAGATCCTCCTCTCTGCTTCAGCGCACACGATAGACCAGCTGCTGCAGCTGCCCCTGAGTGATGTAGAGGAGCGCCACCTACAGACCTACCTGTTGGAGAGCTCAGAGCCACACTCCGCAGAGCTCCTTGTGATGCACTACCTGCAGCGGGCGCGGTACATCGAGGCCATCCGGCTCAACGAGAAGATCAAACACCGGGTGATGGTGAGCTGGTTTAACTGAGGTGTCACTGTTGATTCAACTATTGATCATTACCGTGCCTTGCAATTGTGTAAATTGTGAAATTATTGTGAAAAATGCTTGTGTCCTTAGTATATTGTCATGTGAGGTACACTGCATGTGGAGGAAACAATGACATAGGTAACAAAGTTCACAAGCAATGTTATTGAACACTAGATAGAAACAGTGCTTCTCACCCATTTCCACATCAAGTGTGGTCCGTGTGTTTACGCAAATTAATCAAGCATCTATGACAGTCGTCAACTGTGTATATCGACGACGGATTTCTTGGTAACCTTGGCAAATACACACAGTAGTAAACTATGGTTATAACAAACTCAAAGTGATCACTAATTTTAATTTGTTATAGCCGTAGTTTGTTATAAGCGTATATACAGCATATATACAAGATATGGACAGGACCAAAAAACAGTTTGTTATGAGGGTGTTTGTTATAAATGTTGTTTACTGTAATCTTGTTATACAAACAAAACACTGCCCACCCACCCAGGCATTGAAGGAGGAGTCTTTATTTCCCCATTACAGACGGAGACCAGTGCTCGGGCCAGGGAGAGGGCTGCGGCAAGGAACTCGATCGTGGATGGATTTTTCCGCGCATTGCCTGCACCACAGAAGAAGCTAGTCGGCGATCATCCAAGCATTCCCAGAAAGACTGTCGGGAAGAGGATCGATGGTAAAAAGCTGGATTAGGACTCATTTCTTTCCCACTGCGTTTTGATTTTTTCAGATGTTTTTTCTCTCTTAGAACAGGGGGCACGGGTGGTCCAGTTGTCTAAGGCGCCGTGATTCGTTGTGCAGAGTTGCGTCCCCTGGACACGTGTGTGTGTTTGAATCCCGGTTCACCCTGATTATGTTTCTATGTTTGTCAGCACCATACCCGTGCTGGTGGGTTTCACCGAAGTGGTAAACGTCTGAGACCTGCATCACTTCGGGCTTTCCTCCCACATTAAGCTGACATGCCGTGATATAACTGGAATAATGTTAAAAGCAGCGTTAAACCCAACTCGCTCGCTCTCTCACTCACTCACTCACTCACTCACTCACTCACTCACTCACTCACTCACTCACTCACTCACTCACTCACTCACTCACTCACTCACTCACTCACTCTCTCTTAGAACATAATCTGTTATTCATAAAATGATTTCGCTGTTTCACAACTGTTATTGAGCTTTTACTTAAAAATGGTGTTCAGTGGAAGTATCTTTGCTCCTCAGTGAGACGACCAAAGCCCCTCTCTACCGTTGTGACGCAGTCAGAGAGGTCAAAGGTTGTTTCCCACTCCAGCCTCATTCTGGCAATGATGGAGAAAGTAGAGGAAGTGAAGCATCACCAGGAGTCCCCGAGAAGGTGAGATAACTCTGTAATCACATGAAGTGCAGACCTCTAGTAACAGGTGACCTGTGAAGATCTGGACCCCGTTCCACAAAGCGATTGTAGCGCTAAGACGATCGTACTTTAACTCCTGTACTTAAACATAGACTTACGGCAGTCTTAGCACTAAGATCGCTTTGTGGAACAGGACCCTGGGTAGAGAATATGTCTTCAGCAACCAATGCTTGCCTTAAGTCTATGCTTGTCGTATTAGGCGACGAACGGGATCGGGTGGTCAGGCTTGCTGATTTGGTCCAATTGCGTGGATTGATGCTCAGTAATGAGTATGTCACTGGATTGTCTGGTCCAGACTCGCTTATTTTGCAGACTGCTTTCATATAGATGGAATATTGCTGAGTACGGCGTTAAACAACAAACTAAACAAACAAACTATTGGCAGGTTGTGGCAATGCAGCTAAGCAGTATGATGACGACTTCATTTTTAATCAACACTTACACTTTCACTGCTATAATATTTTATTAAGTTCTGAATGATAAAAACTAGAAGTGATGTTGTGAATTCATTGTCAACATGGACTGGGTTTGTCCCACTTGCACATACACGGTCGACACCTGGTGTCCCAATAGTGCCGAGATGTAGACAGCTCCGTGTTCTATTTGTTCCAGGGAGGAGGAGAAGCAGAGTGACCTCGGACCCTTTTTGTGTACACCAATCACTCCACGGAAAAAACTGAGATTAAGGTATGTCAAAGTCAACTTGCACCATGGAAGTTAGGCTAAAAAAGTCACTTGAAGCCTGTTTTCAAGTCATGTTTTTAACTCTTGGGGGAAGAAACTTGGGGAGTTTTAGGTTCCTAGTACCCCATGCTTGTCGCAAAAGATGACAACACAAGACTGATGGTAAGGGCAAAGCGGTCAACTTTATCATCGACTTACGAGAGTAGTAGCTTTACGCTTTGTGAAACTGGCCGAGGTTGTGTGATTGGCTGATGATGTTTCATCGTACTCTGATGTAACATTATTTCTCATGATTTCAGTCTCTGGTTTGACTTGGTCAGTGCACCATGATTTGCAGACCATCTCGATATAGCTGCAATATGGCTGACCGGGTCTTTGAACAACATTGTTGCAGCGTTGACTTGTCATGTTGTAGATTTGGATTCTGGAGTGATGTGTGAAGTCACTTGAAGCCTGTTTTCAAGTCATGTTTTTAACTCATCCTGTACATATTGCACATTACTCTTTCTGCCAAAGTCCTTACGGAAAATGAATGAAAAGGGCTTTCATGATATCATTCCGTGACACTGTAAGTCTAAAATGAGACATGAAACATATTGTCTATGCATATCTGCACACCATATGGATACAGGAGAACAAACTTCAGCGTGAACGAGGCTGTGGTGTGATTGGAACTGGTGTAGCAACAGACAAGTCAACACTTACGTGCTGAGGAAATTACCAAAGGGGGCACTTGTTAAAACTATATACACGTCAAGTATGTTGTCAGATTGATTGGTAGAGAAGTACCGTGTATCGCTGTGTATAAAGCGACCTCACGTAGAAGCCGACCCCACCTGTACATGCCTTCAAAATCGACCCAAAATCCTATACTCCATGTATTAAGTGACCTGGAATGAAGCACATCACAAGTGCGCACACAAACTTGGTAGAAATGTCCATGTAACTAAACCTTTTTGATAATAGATACGAAGCAATTACATTCCCTTCCTACACTGCTGTGTTTTCTGTAGAAGTGTCTGTAATCTAAACAAGAAAATATGAACTGGTTAGTAGGGGTGTTGATTAAGATTCCTTACTGATTGGCCTTGAAGTTGATTTGGGGGTGCTTATATGGACAGGATGCTTACTGGAGAGGGTGCTTATTGGAGATACCCATGAAGACCCGGGGTAGAATAGGTCTTCAGCAACCCATGCTTGCCGTAAGAGGCGACTATGCTTGTCGTAAGAGGCAACTATCAAGATTAGGTGGTCAGGCTCACTGACATTGCTGAGAATGGCGTTACAAAACAAACAAGCAACAAGCTTATTGGATAGGGACATGTGTTGTGTGTTGTTGAAATGTTGTTTTATGTGTTGTGTGTTGTTGAACGTTGTTATGAGTTGTTGTATATGTTTCTGTTGTTGCCAGTGAGGTCCAGGATGTGGTGTACCCGACCCGAGTGTGCAACTCTGCCTCGGACAGACACAGCTTGTCAGCGTACCAAGTCACCCGGGACCCCGCGGTGCTCAACTCTCCCCTGTCAGTCAACAAATCTCTGCAGGAGACACTCCGCAGGTAGGACAGTTTGGCAGGCAGCTAGTTGGTCTGTAGTCGAACAATTCCATCAAGAATTGAGGCACTGATGAAACTTGGGGGAAGAAACTTGGGGATTCGGGGGAATTTTAGGTTCCTAGTACTCCATGCTTGTCGCAAAAGATGACAACACAAGACTGATGGTTAGTGCAAAGCGATCAACTTTATCCTCGACTTACGAGAGTAGTAGCTCTACGCTTTGTGGAACTGTCCGTGTTTGTGTGATTTGCTGATGATGTGTGATTGGCTGATGATGTTTCATCGTACCCTGATGTAACATTGTTTCTCATGATTTCAGTCTCTGGTTTGACTTGGTCAGTGCACCATGATTTACAGACCATCTCGATATAGCTGCAATATGGCTGAACAACATTGTTGCAGCGTTGACTTGTCATGTCATAGATTAGGATTCTGGAGTGATGTGTGAGGGCTCACTCACTCACTCACTCACTCACTCACTCACTCACTCACTCACTCACTCACTCACTTGGAAATCAGGTCTTAAGGGCCATTTGATCCCATTTTTCATTGTGTATTGATTGAACAGAATGGCTGTTGTACTTTTTCAGTAGGAAGAAGTCCCGGTATTCTACTGCAGGAACGATGTCGCTCCTCCAGACACCGAAGGTCCGCAGGAAGTCCCCGTCTCGTGTTTCCATGCCCTCTTCACTGCGCACGCCACAGTCTATACTCAAAGTGCGACGTCTCATTACAAAGTCACCCAGTCCAGCTTCCAGTACCCTCGGTAGGATGATTAGTGGCTTTAGTGGCAGCCAGCAATGAATTGTGTGACCCCTGACTAATGCATTGTGTGACCCCCAACTAATGCATTGTGTGACCCCTGACTAATGCATTGTTTGACCCCCAACTAATGCATTGTGTGACCCCTGTCTCATGCATTGTGTGACCCCTGACTAATGCATTGTGTGACCTCTGGCTAATGCATTGTGTGACCCCTGTCTAATGCATTGTGTGACCCCTGACTAATGCATTGTGTGATCCCCATCTAATGCATTGTGTGACCCCTGTCTCATGCATTGTGTGACCCCCTTCTATTGCATTGTGTGACCCCTGACTAATGCATTGTGTGACCCCTGTCTAATGCATTGTGTGACCTCTGGCTAATGCATTGTGTGACCTCTGGCTAATACATTGTGTGACCCCCAACTAATGCATTGTGTGACCCATGTCTCGTGCATTGTGTGACCCCCGAATAATGCATTTTGTGACCCTGACTAATGAATTGTGTGACCCCTGACTAATGAATTGTGTGCCCCCTGACTAATGCATTGTGTGACCCCTGCCTTGTCCGGACTACTACAAGCAGCCACACACGTGCTTGCACGTCGCTATAATAGTGCAACAATCTTGAACGGGACGTTAAACCCCATTTCACCTCACATGATAGTGTCGGAAGTTTTTTTATGCTTTCAATACTATGTATTCACTATTTTACAACTCGTTTGTATTTCAGTACATTTGGTCAAGAGTAGGCATTTGTTGTCTCTTTACAGATCTTTCTGACAAGACTCCCACCGGGGCACATCGCCCTAAGAGGCTTGGGTTTGCAGAGAAGCTGTCTATGGCAGGTGTTGCCGCCAAACTAAAACAGCCAGCTTCCGTACCCTCCACACCAAAACAGTTGTCCTTTGCTGATGTACCCAGCACGTCTGGACGGCGCTCAACATCAGGGTCGGTGCCATCAACACCCAAACATCTCCGCTTTGTGGAGCCGACAATGATTGAAGATAATCGGACGCCGGTCAAGAAGAAGCCTGCATCCCCCACATCACCGCCCAGCCCTCGGTCCGTCAAGAATAGGAGTCCCACGCCAGAAAGGTGGGGTTGCTTGTTTACAAATGAAAACTTAAGGCAAAGTCCTTCTAAGATGCTGTGATTTGCTTTGCAGAGTTGCTTCCCTTAGCTGTGGCAGAATCCTATGAGTTATCAACCTTCTAATGCAAGTTATGTCTGAATCCATAACAGATTAAACAGTAAAGCCAGGGCATATATTTTCTAAGGTGGAATTGTGTTTGCTTGGTCAAGTGTGACTAGATTTTAGTGTGGAAGAATTTGTCCTCCAATTTTGGGGAGTGAGCCTTGAGAAGATTTTGAAAAGTCCTTGAAATATGTGGGTGAAATTTTCCATGATTCCTGTCTACATATATGCCTTGTCCCCCATAACAGCCTGTCTCCCAAGATGGCTGAACGCATGGACAGTTTGATACGCCCCCCCATTCGAACTGACCGACAGCGTGGAGCAGATGACATTGCTGACCCTGCAGATCAAGATGTCGATGATGACATCACGTTCAACTTTAACCCAGCTGATTCAGGTACAGGCATATCTATTGCAATTTTACCCCCAAAATCTGACATTTACAAACGTCTTTTGTGTCTTTCTGAAAGCTCAAAGATGCCTTGTCCCAAAATGACATTTGTTTCAAGAAGATTTTGTGAGTAATAGAACAGTTGCCCCATCTCTTCTATCTTCAGTAAGGTTTTAACAGAGGTATAAATCTTAAGTCCAGCTCACTCACTCAACCGTCAACCAAGCCAGTTATTCACTCACTTGTGTTTTCAGATGAGATGGAGATCGATGATGACGCCCCCACTCCTCCCGACTTGTCGCCATTTCTTCCCAAGTCTGCCAATGACTTCCAAGGAACTGAACCCAATGTCCAGGCTTGGCCAGGTTTGGTCAGAAAAGCGGAGGTGGTGCAGGAGGAGCATGAAGAGGAACCTGCTGATGAAGAGGATGTTGTGGACCTTACAATTGATGACATGGAGGCTGTGCCTCAGGTTGTCATGGAAACAAGGACTGTTGTAGCCGAGCCATTTGTTGTGCGGGAGACCCGGGCGGACAGTACTGAGGATGTGGGTGTGGTGGAGGACGAGCGGGATCATGTGGAGGGGGAGATGGAGGAGGAGGAGCAGGATGGGGAGACCAATGTCACTTCCACTCAAGCTGATGATGGGGAGGACTTTTCCCCAGACACATCAGGGGAGGTAGAAATTAGGGCCTCCCCTGCACGGTCCACTCGGTCTTCCCCGGCCAGGTCATTGAGGGAATCCCCGGCCAGGTCATTGAGGGAATCCCCGGCCAGGTCATTGAGGGAATCCCCGGCCAGGTCATCGAGGGAATCCCCAGCCAGGTCATTGAGGGAATCCCCAGCCAGGTCATTGAGGGAATCCCCTGCTAGATCAACGAGATCTTCACCCACTAGATCATTAAGGGCATCTCCTGCAAGGTCTTTGAGAGAGTCCCCTGCAAGATCTTTAAGGGAATCTCCAGCAAGATCCTTAAGGGAATCCCCAGAAAGAACCCGAGAGTCCGCAGCTAGGGCATCAACATCTCGAGCCTCAAGAGAGTCTCCAGAACCTTCCTCACCAGGAGTACCATCGGAGCAAACAGAGGAAGCGAGATCTAGATCTCCCAGAAAGGATTCTCCAAGGAGACGGGAGCAGTCTTGGCTGAAGATGGAGTCTCCCGTCAAAGTGTTTGATGAGTTGTTTGCAGAATCCCCTGGCAAGTCAACACGGAGTGCAACTAAGAAGATAGTGGATGGAGTGAGTGAGGTTTCCACCTCCTCAAGCAGGAGAACCTCGAGAGATACGGCTCAGCTCTCGCCAACGAGGCGATCAAAGAAAGCAGAGACTGCACTTGAGAGTTCTCCAGAGAGGCCCAAGTCTGCCTCACCGAGTCGTCAGACATCTCGACAAAAAGCCAAACCATCCCCCTCTGCCAGGAAGTCAAGGAAAGAGGATGAGGCTTCTCCAGAAAGGTCCAGGGTAGATGATGATGTTGCTGATGCTAGAGCTGTTTCAGCTTCTCCCAGTAGGAGGGCCTCCAAGGCTGCTGCAAGGGCTTCCCCTGGAAGAAGAAAATCTAAGAAAGAGGACCTCCAAGCTGTTTCTCCAGAAAGAGCAAGTTCCACTTCTCCTGCAAGACGAACCTCGATTCGAGCCTCTCCGTCAAGAAGAAAGTCTGTGAAAGAGAAGGTGGAGGCCTCATCTCCACCGAGGGAAGGATCGGCATCTCCGAGTCGCAGATCACCGAGATCAGGAGCTCAGAGGTCCCCAGCCAGAGGAAGGAGAGGAGTACAGGCAGAGGAAGTGGCAGAAGCATCACCTGAACGAGGCCCGGAGCTTCCTGCTGCATCACCAGGGCGACGGTCATCCCGGAAACAGTCCAGCGGTCCCAAATCTCCAGGCAGAAAAACAAAGGAGACAAATATCGAAGAGGAAGTGCAGGCATCACAGAAAACACCTGAGAAGATTGAGGAAGAACCTGTGGTCAAGTCTCCAGCCAGGCCAACTCGGACTCGAGGGGCATCTGTAGAGAAGACTGAGGAAGCACCGGTGGTCAAGTCTCCAGCGCGGACAACACGGACTCGAGGGGCATCTGTGGAGAAGACTGAGGAAGCACCGGTGGTCAAGTCTCCAGCGCGGACAACACGGACTCGAGGGGCGTCAGTGGAGAAGACTGAGGAAGAACCAGTGGTCAAGTCTCCAGCACGGACCACACGGACTCGAGGGGCGTCTGTTGAGAAGACTGAGGAAGAACCAGTGGTCAAGTCACCAGCGCGGACAAGGACTCGAGGGGCGTCTGTGGAGAAGACAGTGAAGGCATCACCAGGTCGAGGTCGACCGAGGAAACAGATGACACAGCTGAAGGAGGTCGAGGAAACAACGGAGAAGGCAATGCAGCCATTGTTTATCAACACTGACTGTAAGTTATTTTGATGATGATTTTTAGGTATAATTTGACTACAAAATGAGATATTTGTAAATTTCATGGTTTAACTTTGAAGGAATTAAGATAAATTTTGGATTGGTGTTTAGGCTTGACAATGTGCTTAAAGAAGATATTGAAGATATAATCAATATTTTGGAAATAAAGGTCTGTTAAGAATTTGTCGCCTGTGTTTAAGTTCAGTATGGATATACTTGTAAAAAAATATGGCAGCTGTGATATCCTGTTTCATGTAATTATAATTTTTATTTCAACATTTTAATAATACTCATTGTGTCATTCAAGCTAGTCTGTCCTTTGACCAAGACTCAGTAACGGCAACAAAACTTGTATCTCTAGTGTCCGACTCTGATGTTGGACCGGTGTCTCCGATCAGACGCTCACCTCGGCTGATGATGAAGACTCTGTCCAAACAGCTGACGGACAGCGAGGGGGAGGGAGAGTCGGAGACGGAGGTACTGCACTTTGACACCGAGTCTGCAAAGAGAAGGCAGACAAGGCGTACATCTGCTCAGAAACAGAAGGTGAAATAACCAGGATTATTTTGTTCCAGTTCGGGTTTCTTCACTTTGTCCCTGTCAGAAATCTGGGGCAGAATAGATCCATGTACAGTTTGGGGTATTGCCCCTGTCAGAAATCTAGGGCAGAGTAGATCCAAGTACAGTTTGGGGTATTGTCCCTGTCAGAAATCTAGGGCAGAATAGATGCATGTGCTGTTTGGGGTATTGCCCATGTCCGAAATCTGGGGCAGAGTAGATCCATGTGCTGTTTAGGGTATTGCTCCTGTCAGGAATATGTGGCAGAGTAGATCCAAGTACAGTTTGGGGTATTGCCCCTGTCAGAAATCTGGGGCATAGTAGATCCAAGTACAGTTTGGGGTATTGCCCCTGTCAGAAATCTGGGGCAGAGTAGATCCAAGTACAGTTTGGGGTATTGCCCCTGTCAGAAATCTGGGGCAGAGTAGATCCAAGTACAGTTTGGGGTATTGCCCCTGTCAGAAATCTGGGGCAGAGTAGATCCAAGTACAGTTTGGGGTATTGCCCCTGTCAGAAATCTGGGGCAGAGTAGATCCAAGTACAGTTTGGGGTATTGCCCCTGTCAGAAATCTGGGGCAGAGTAGATCCAAGTACAGTTTGGGGTATTGCCCCTGTCAGAAATCTGGGGCAGAGTAGATCCAAGTGCAGTTTGGTGTATTGCCCCTGTCAGAAATCTGGGGCAGAGTAGATCCAAGTGCAGTTTGGGGTATTGCCCAGTCAGAAATCTGGGGCAGAGTAGGTCCAAGTGCAGTTTGGGGTATTGCCCCTGTCAGAAATCTGGGGCAGAGTAGATCCAAGTACAGTTTGGGGTATTGCCCCTGTCAGATATCTGGGGCAGAGTAGATCCAAGTACAGTTTAGGGTATTGCCCCTGTCAGATATCTGGGGCAGAGTAGATCCAAGTACAGTTTGGGGTATTGCCCCTGTCAGAAATCTGGGGCAGAGTAGATCCATGTGCTGTTTGGGGTTTTGCCCATGTCAGAAATCTAGGGCAGAATAGATCCAAGTGCAGTTTGGTGTATTGCCCCTGTCAGAAATCTGGGGCAGAGCAGATCCATGTACAGTTTGGGGTATTGTCCCTGTCAGATATCTGGGGCAGAGCAGATCCATGTACAGTTTAGGGTATTGCCCCTGTCAGAAATCTGGGGCAGAGTAGATCCAAGTGCAGTTTGGAGTTTTGTCCCTGAAGTTTACCTCGGCACTCCTCTGTCCACATGATCCAACAGGGCAGTGTGGGACACGATTTGAGAACATGGCAAGAAGCCAATGATGCAATCAACTTTTTAGCTCACCTGACTGATGGTGAGCTGAGGTGGTGTTATTATCGTTTTGTTCCATTTTTGATATCTCCTCAGAACTACGCCTTTGGAGCTATGGTGTTTCAAAACAGTGCTCATAGAATTCATATTTGACTTGAAATTTGTTGAAAATGTCATTTTTGACCATTTCTGCATGTATCATGATGAGCGTTGATGTGCAGCAAGTATGTAGTATGACCCTTGGTCATTTCTATTCATTTTAAATGTGATGAAGCTATTCACATCTGTATCCTAATAGTGGATGTGAGCAATCAATATATCCTCCATGAAGGTACGGGTAGAATTGGTCTGCAGCATGCCATGCTTGTGGTAAGAGGCAACTAATGGAATCAGGTGGTCAAACTTGCTGACTTGGTTGATGTATGTAATGATGCTCATGATGTTAATCACAGGATTGTCACATAGCTGAAATATTGGTGAGTGTGGCGTTAAACCACAAACATGAGGCGATTATGATTGACAGGTTATCCCAAATTTATGAAATTTACCACAAGCATGACAACAATAAGAATGTGAGCAACTGGTTGTGAACGTGAGACCATGTGTGTCAGTGTTATGACGTGTTTTTGTCCCCCGCCGCGCGAAAGCGCGAAGCAGGGGATATAGTATTCACGACTGTCCGTACGTACGTCTGTACGTCCCACCTGTTTGTTGCCGCGATATCTCAAGAACTAAACACTGGATTGTCTTCATATTTGGAACTATGGTGTATATACAGACTCCGCAGACACCAGTCGCTTTTGGTGACCTTGACCCCATTTTCAAGGTCACAGCAGGCAAATCTGCTTTTGGAGTTTGAAAAGGGTGTTGCCGCGATATCTCAAGAACTAATCGCAGGATTGTCTTCATATTTGGATCTATGGTGTATATACAGACACCGCAGACACCAGTCGGTTTTGGTGACCTTGACCCCATTTTCAAGGTCACAGCAGGCAAATCTGCTTTTGGAGTTGGAAAACAGTGTTGCCGCGATATCTCAAGAACTAATCGCTGGATTGTCTTCATATTTGGTACTATGGTGTATATACAGGTGGGGGACATTTCGTCACTTTGTGACAAATACTTGTTGTGATTGCAGGAAGAAAGCGCTGTGTTCAAGACTCCACCCCGCCCATCCCGGGCCACTGCACCCCTCACACCCCCGGAGTCCGGCAAAGACTCCCCCGACAAGACCGAGTTGGAGGAGGTGTGTATCTAGAGAAATGTCACAGTTCACTGATGTATGGAAGCATCACAAGTTAAACTATCCCCGAAACTCTTGCCCCCGTTTCAGTTCATGTTTCAATTCTGTATCGATTTTTACGGTAATACAGTAAACTACGTTTATGATGAACATGCTTATAACAAACTGACAGATATACCGAGCTGTTCTTTTGGTCCCAGCCATTTGACATATATTTGATCATATAAAGTTGATGGATATAATGAACACGCTCGTAACGTATATTACAAACCCACCTTGTGGTCCCACGTGTGCTCTGTCAATGATATGTTTTAGAGTAAAACGAACTATTATTCCCTGAGCTGAGCTACTTGCGTGTCTCCAATCTGCCTGTCAAAGCGCAGCTGTTCAAAGCGTCAATTAACAATTGAAGGCAATGGATTTACTCTTAAGTACTGACACCTTGTCCTCAAATTACACCCTCAATTAACAATGGTAACAGTGATTGAAGTGGATATATTCTGTACATGTACAGTGCACATTTTGTTAATTATTGTGTGACATAATGTCACATGACTTGATAAAACATGTCTGACTGTCGAAATACCTACAAAGAATGACGGATATAACGAACTATGATTAGGGGTCCCTTTGAGGTCGTTATGACCGTAGTTTACTGTAGCTTTAAGGTTTGCTATAACCTGGCCTGATGACTTCTTTGGCTGGGTGTTACGTGACCATGAAACAAACTGTGAAATCTGATTGTATATCATAAGAAGAAGTCTCCATTGATTGCGAACGGAACACAACAACGTCTTGTAAGCTGCACCTCATGCAACATGGACAAACTCACAGAGCGCCAGTTACATGGAGTGATACTTGTTGTGTTGTGACTTCAGTATCGTGATATGTATCGGCGGGTTGGGTGGGTTTACTTTGTCACCCCTAGAAGTGGCGGACATGTGACACGTTGTCATGTAGCGAGTCTCAGTTGCTGAAGAAATACCTGTTTCATCAAGTTGTGATGTGTCCTGTTGTTGTCAATAATAATATCAAGTTAGACTTATGAGGTTCCCCAAAATTTAGGAAAATGATTTTGTTACAGTTACTGTTTTCTGACATTTATCTGTGTATTTAAAGACAAAGTCACGACGCAAATCTCCAGCTAGGAAGTCTGTGGCCTCAGCTCGACACTCTACCAGGATAAGATCAAAAGAGGTTACCATGGAAACACAAGAGTCAGTTGCCTCAAAATCAGGTAAAGTTGATAAAATTTGTTGGAAATATGTTTATATAGAAATGCTGACTAAAGTCTGTCAGTGATGAATTTGCCCAATGACATGCGAGGCTGAATATTGTACCTTAAACATTTCCCTGAATTGTATTAGATGTCGTATCAGGTGGTTGAAATGTTGGTTGTGTATTTTCGTAATAAAACAATGTAGATAGTTGCTCCAAGTGGTGTGTCACACATACTCACTCACTCATCTTCCACAGAAGTTGCTGCTTCTGCTGCCAACACCTCGTCTTCCAGCTTCCTGTTCTCTGAGCCGATGTCGCTGGAGCCAGAACTACAAGGTGGGTACCTTGCCTTTCTCAGACAGCCTCGCTAAGGTTGGAACATGTCTTTACACTGACGGACTTACTGCCATCTGTTAGTCAACATGATAGAGTTGTCAGAAAATCTGAAGAGATGCAGAATCAGCCATGTTTTCAGCCATTTTTGACAGACTGTTTGTTCTTATGCTGTGTGCAGAGTTGAGTGCTTGAACTGTAGCCTCTTTGTTTTACTTCAGCGAGACTCAGAGAACCGGGAACGCCCATCAAGGCTTTCGTCTTCTCCCCGCCAATACAGAGGAAGAGGTCCGCACCTGTCATCAAGGAGGATCCTCCGACACCAGTTACCTCCCTTCTTCCCCCTCCCACAGGGATGGACGACGGAGCAGGACCTTCACAGAAACCAAAGACTAGGAAAGCAGTCAAGAAGGAGACGTAAGTACTTTGAACATTGCAAGAGACATGCTGGGGGATTTTGTGCTTTCTGCTCAACATCCATTTTTCTTGTGGGCTTGCACTATTACACTGGCATTCGTCAGAACGCGTACAAGCTGACGAACATGCACAGACACACACAGCTGATGAGGTTGCCACCTGCCATTATGAAATCAGTGTTAATATGTGATTTTCAATGTTAATAACATTGCTATTTAACTTTCAGGTTTAATAATATTTAACCATTCAAATGCAACTGGAGTGATTTTGTTGGTTATTTTTAGCTTAATGCCCCTCTCATACAAATAGCCGTTGCAGCCTCCTAGAAACATCAAACTATCATGTTTGTTTAAGGCTGCACTTAGCAATATGATGACGGCCTCTAAATAATCAAGCCTGGACCAGACAATTCAGTGATCGATATCGTGAAAGGCATCAGGGTAGAATGACACGCTTTCAAGCAAGTCCGAGGTATCTGGTGTAACAAAAGTGTATCAATTATTTCAGAAGCAAGAAGAAGAAGGTTGCAGAGCCTCCCCACAGTTCCCCGAGCGACAGCCCCATAAACTTTGTGAGCCCCGCCCCCCAACGCCGAGTGACGAGAGCCATGCAGGACAGGGAAGCTGCACCATCTGGGACGACATCATCTGCAGCAGTGACAACAGCATTCAAGCGCAAGACACGGAAGAAGGTGTCAAGATTAAATTGAGTGCTGTGAACATTTCCGATGCAGACTTCCGGTTACCCGAACAGTGTCATTCACGTGGATCTGAAGAGTTTTGGCCAAGTTTTTAAGAACCTGTCAAGGAGATTCCATGTTTGTGACATGGCGCTTTGTTGGAGATATTGTATTGTGTATCGTCCACCATGATGCTTGCAGGATGTAGTGGTCATTGCGGGATACAACATCAAAATATTGTCAAATTTTATTACTTGTATGATGGCATTTACATCTCTTGATATCATGGCGAAAGAGTTCCTGGTTTTCCATTAATGTGAATTGAACGGGCGGAATGTACCTGATTATGAATAACGCTGGATTGATCAACTACAACGTCAACTCTCAGGGTTGATCTCAGGGGTCGAGGGTGGGCACTGACAGACCAGTACTTTCTCTGGAGCCAGGCAATTTTTGGACACAAAACAACACAACACATGTTTGTTCAAGATATACAGTCAACAGATGTTTTTGTTGCCCCGAAATCACATTCTCCCCCTCCCTCCCTCCCTCCCCCCAAAGATGATGAAAAGGTCTGTCAATTATTGTGTACTGCGGTGGGGTGGTCGGGTAATACCCAGTTTCATTCAACACATCATGGCAAGATTTCTGTGTTCGCGTTATCTGAAGATTGTAGCCATGTGGTTAGGGTAGGACTCCAACAGGATGTAAAGACAAGGGAAACAAGTTCGGTACGGTAGTGGAATTAGCTGGTTACAATTAGGTGAGACTTTGGAGATTTGGCCAGTTTGTGTGATGAAGTGTCTGATGGCTGTGTTCTGGTGTTGGAGACTGTGTGGATGGTAAAAGTGCTTTTTGTGTCCAGTGATGTTTTTTGAAGAATTGCTTGTTTGAAGTCCTCATCATTAGATGATTGTTTTCACGTGTAATAATCTTGGGAGGAAGTGATATGGATGATGATGATGTTGGAGATTTAAGAGTGCTGACAGCCGCCCTGATTTCCCACTTGGCCAGATATGATGCACTCGCATCATAATTATAGAATCATAGAATGTTGCGTCTTGTGTTGGTTCTTGCGCCAATCAGATGTTGTCTCTTTCAATCACTTTTTGTGTCCTCGCAGCCTCAATTTTGAAGTTCGATCTTAGCTGATGAAAACCTCCACAGAATACAACTGTACCTCGTTTTAACACGTTTTTGCATGTACATGCCATGGTGCTCAGAAAAGACTGGATGTTTAAAATATAAACTATATAATAGAGCACATTTTGGCATTCGGAAATCCCCCATTGTGTTTGTGTTTGGGTCACGCAAGAGATACAGAAATAGTTTATGCTTTTCTGAATACTTTGCTCACACATATCAAGAAGTTTGAAGCCTTATCACTGATTGGCTGGTCAGAAAGTTCACCTGACATGGTCTCCAGGACTTCCATGCCGAGTGGTATCATATCGGAGTAAAGACGTGGTTTTAATGAACCCGAGATATGGAGGATACAGAATGGAGAACATCGTTCTGGTTATAAGCTTGCAGAAATTGGAAGTTATTTATTTGAAATATACTTAGTGGTCAAGTTACATAATAATTAACACAGATGACAGTTAGTTATTTCAACCTATTACTAAAATCTGGGATATTTTGTCAGCTCTTTGTGATTAAATATGTTTAATAACATGGTTACGTTTCATACACAATTAATAATTTTTCACTCATTTCGTATATAATGTTAAATTGCCAAGAGATTTTTGCAGAAAAAGATAACACTGGCACACGTTCAGCCCATCCGATATGTACTGAATTATGACTCAACTCCCTTATACAAAGTGATGGGTGGCAGCTCCATCACTCTGCGAACTGTTCTCGCTGATGATAATGTCAATATATTTTGTACAATTGTATTGTGGAACATTGGTAACCAAGGAAATATAATTACTATTGAATCATTAGGACAAGAAGGTTGGATGCTTAAATGATGTTGAAATTAATTAAATTAAATTCAAGTACAGATTGATTATCCAGCATTTACAGAATTAGTTTCTGAAATAGGTGGATTAAGAACCTGCTCCGTGGGGAAAAATAGAGAGAATCATTTCTGTTTATATTTATTTTATACAAGAATAAAGTTCAAGTAGAATATTCCTTTAGTTCTCACTGTTTTTGTTTCTATATTAATAAGGTACATCTGTAACAACGATGTATTAAAATGCACAAGATAAAATTGAAAAACAAGATGTATCAAATGGGTTTTTGTTGTACTGAAGATAATGTATTTTCTTTATGTTGTGATGTGCAATACCATATTCTAAAATCTATCAACATTTGAATTATTTAACAATGTGGATTATATTTTTGATCTGCTAATTCCTTTTTACATTATGACTTAAAAGAAATTTAGCTTGATAAAATAAACTGAAAAAGCAAAATAATCAAAGAAAATGAAAAAAGTTTCCATTAGGACACAAGCTACCTAAGGTTAGGATGTGTTGGTATGGTTGCTGACTTGAAGAAAATGAGTGAGTTATGATTTGCTTTGCTGAAGGCTAATATGTGTTATATAAGTTAAGATGTGAATTACTCCGAGGTTAAGGTGCGAGTTACTCAGCGGGTGGATGAACGTGACAATGTAAGCCTGTGTTGTAGGATTTGTACATTTGATAACATTTTGTAATATGTTGCTTTCGAGAATGTATTGTATGCTCAGCGTTCAGTGAACCATGTGCTGTAAGTCACTGACATATTTGTAAATTGTAAAAGTGTTCTTCTCTGATATATGTATTAAATGTGTATGGAATAAAAGCAAGATTTTCCTAAGTACTGATTTTTCTTGTTCTTGCAGACACTAACAATGAAACTGAAAATGTACTGAAAATATGGAAATTAATTTGGCCCTTGCAAATGTAAGAGATATATGGTACATCAGATTCAAGAAATCTTCGTTAAAAAAACCCTGCCACAATATGTTATACCAGAGACCATATACCGGTATATGGTCTCTGGTTATGGGGCGGTCAGGTAGCCTAAGGTTGAAGCGTTCGTTCACCACACCGAAGATCCGGGTTCAATTCCTGACATGGGTACAATGTGTGAAGCCCATTTCTAGTGTCCACTGCCGTGATATTGCTGGAATATTGCTAAAATCAGCGTAAAATCATACTCACTCACTCACTTACTCTCTAGTTATATAATGCTTGCCGTAAAAGGGGACTGCTTGTCGTAAAAGGCAACTAACAGGATTGGGTGGTCAGGCTCGCTGACTTGGTTGATGCACGGTCACCGATCCCAATTGCGTGGATCGATGCTCATGATATCAATCACTGGATTGTCTGGTCCAGACTTGATTATTTACAGGCCGCAGTCATATAGCTGGAATATTGCTGAGTGCGGCATTAAACAACAGACCAACAACTCTAGTTATACCTCAAAACCTCCCTGGGTCTGTTGGGTACATCTTCCGGAGGCAAGGGCGTTAACTAACTATAAAAGTCCAGTTTCCACCCTTGCAGAACTAGGCTGGAATTCTGGAGGTACATTTTGGCAGGACTAACGAGTCTATGCATAGTCCAATCAAATTCGTGTAACAAACTAGACATCCGGTCAGTAAACAACATGAATTTCAACATGCTGATTTCAGTCGACTGCAGGATTTGCAAAACATGTACTGCCAACTGGGCGTCGAAGGATATTTTCCAAATCTTTTCATGTTTTTAATCAAGGTGCTCAAGTGATCTGATGCACGTCGCAGGGTAAGACCGTTTTATTACAAAATAGATCGTGAGTATCAGATTGCCTTGACTGGGCGCCGCCATTTTGTTTGAAGCAAATGCAAGTGATATGAGCTGTTGAAAACAAGTGTGGCAGACTTGTTCCTTCATTGAGTTTTGTTATAGCAGTTTCTCGCACCAAAATAAGAGCGTCACGAGGATGATCTTTGGCCATTTTCTACCGGACTTTTGTCTACCTCACTTGCCAAGTGCAGATTGGATACCTATCTGAAAACACCAAATTCCTGCCAGCTCCCAACACTATTCCGGATTAATTTAATTAATTATGGGGCCTGTTACTAATTACTGCTGTAACGTATTTCAACCATTGTATTGCCCTTTTTGTTATAAACCTAAAAGTGTGTTTCAATATAATTTACTGATTGTTCATTCATCTTGTGTGGTCATTTAGTGATCTCACAATTTAGTTTTGTGCCTCGAGAAATTCTGCAGAAACAATTTTTATTTGACCCAACCCAATCCTGCTCATTTTTTACTTGGATGCAAATTTTAATAACATCTCCGACAATGTTCGAGAAATCTTAATACTCCAAATTAATACATAGGCAAACATATTCATTATGATTCATGACCATCTTGTGTCATTGTAGGTTACGGAAAGGGGCGAATGGTGACGAAATAACTGGATTGTCTGGTCCAGACTTGATTATTTACAGACTGCTGTCATAGAGCTGGAGTATTGAGCAATGCGGCGTTAAACAACAAACAAACAATACTTGTCAAGCTTAATTTCCTCTATTCCTTCATGTCTAGTTAGACTGGTATGTGTGCACCAATCTAGCATGGCCAGTGAGACTGCATTCAATGCTCCTTTGGTAAGTGAAGCCTAGAATAGCATCAATCTCTTACTCAAGTTGGATTTTTTTAAAGGCCATGTAATCTCACTCCACTGTATGCTTTTGTTTGAAGAGAGAACCTTTCCATAGACGACCCAAGTGTTTGACTTCCTGACTGCATCGTTGGTTAATACCAGTCGTCTTTACTTGGTAAAGCGCTGCAAGAAGCTATGCAGAGTTGCGCCCCTTGGGCACGCCAGAAACCTCTGGTAGAAGGTTCAAATCCCGGTTCGCCCCAATTATGTTGATATTTGTCAGCACAATACCCGTGCGTGGGTTTCACCAAAGTGGTTAAGGTCTGAGACCTGCATCACGTGGGGCTTTCCTCCCACATCAAGCTGACACACTGATATAAATGGAATACTGTTAAAAGCGGTGTTAAACACAACTAACTCACTCACGCACTCATGGGTTCCTAATTTGTTATATAAAGCCAACTGCCAGTGTTCTCGGAGAGTTACATTTACCTAGTCCTACACCATGACTGGAATTTATATTTTTTTAGTAGTTTCTTTTTACTAAAAGCTTCGGCAAGTCTTGATCAAACTTACCAAGTCTAGTTTGCTCGATTCCACACAGCAGAAGAGGAAAGGTTCTTACAAAAAAAAATTCTTTAAAGACTTGTTTTCATTGACCAGGTGTTAGTCAACATTTACCCGTCAAAGCAGGATATAGTACACGCAATACAGCATAAGGGAGGTAACTCTGTATGAATTAGCTCCTGTCGGGAGTTTGTTTATAACGTGCATGTTAACCCAGGCACTTCTGACCGACTTGTGCTTTGGAATTATCACATCTGCAATGTCCTGCGTAAGTTCATGTAACGAAATCGTATTTCCCGACATCTTGTGAATAGACAGACCAAAAGAAGCCGTGTTTTTATAATTTTATTCCCCTTTGAAGCTGCACACACCTCGTTATAACGCGAGTCTACAAAAGACTTGGCACAACTTCGTCATAACGCGAGTGTACAGAAGACTGTATAGAGGAACCCCTAGTTACGCTACGGGGAATTTATATGCGCAATCGGGATCAGAACATAAACACACCCAGCCATTAAAGTTCGGGATTGAGCTACGAAGTGAAACATTTCCAGACTCATTAGGGGACGATCACATGTTGCAAAGCCTGATTGATATGTTGAATTTTTTTACGCCGCTTTTAGCAATATTCCAGCAATATCACGGCGGGTAGACCAGAAATGGGCTTCACACATTGTACCCAAGTGGGGAATCGAACCTGGTTCTTCGGCGTAACACGCCAACGCTTTAACCACAAGGCTACCCCACCGACCACGAGACAAGGGAAAATACCTCCCCACTTTTGTTCTGTCTCTTTATCTAAGAAACCCTAACTCCCTCCCTGATGTTATCAATAAGAGTAATCTACATTCCAATGATGGAGTGAAGTAATCTCATCGAGAAAATGCCAGATTGTTGTCTTGTACTGTTACAATCATGGTATACTCATGGTATCGTTCTGACATGAATTCCGCTCCATATGGTGTTGGGCATGGCTGGCCATGTCGTTGCAATTTGCTGTGCGGAGTTGCGTCCCTTTGACACACCAGGAATCTATGATCGTGGGTTCGAATCCGATATTCTCCCTGATCATGTTTCTAGGTTTGTCAGCTTTATCCTGCATCACCTCGGACGTCCTCTCACACCAAGATTGCACGCCGAAATAGAACAGAAATACTGTTCAAAGCGGCGTTAAACCCAACTTACTCACTCACTCGTATATTGGTGCAAGCAGTCTGAAACGTAATACAAGTTTAGTGTCGATACTTGCGGAATATCGCCTTCGTTGATTTCACACACTCAGGAATGAATACTCAAACAACTGAATTGTGACAAAATATAAATTTCTTTATTTCTTTGTCTGATATTAATACATTTGATATACACCACTAACAGCCGAATTACATCGTCATGGTAACCAGAAAATACTGTTTGATTGAAGGCCGCTGACAAGTCGACACCACGATAAGCAGTAAGTCATGGGTGATGCTAAAAATGAGGATGTAAACAAATAATAAATAAAAATTAATAGACGAAGGAATATTACCATACACTTTATGAATAGAGATATGTGTCTTGATTTAAAATCCGACGCTTTACTAAAAATGAGAGACATTTGAAAACCCAAACGATTTCCAATCGTCGAAAATAATTTGTTTTGAAAATAATTTAATATATTAGTAAAATATCACTTTTTCGTTACCAATTGTAATTAAATATCTGTTTATATTTTAAGATATTAAACCTTTAATCAAATACCTTAACATGAGTTATTTTTATTTAAACGATGTGATGTATACCCCTGTTGCATGAAACTCACAAATGCTAGTTCCAAATAAACATTGTATTTAAACAATCATAAAATTGTGTTCCTGCTTGGTTTAATCAATGGTTTTCCTTTGAAACGAGAAAACGCCGTTTAGTGTTGAACAACGTGAAATTCTATCCGAAATTAATTTTCTACATGAGTAATTATTTACATATGAATAGCGTTGGACGGAGGAGATAAGGTCTTTGTACCCTTTACACAACACGGGACAAATGAAACATCAATCTGTGCGCTGCAGTTGGAAATATTCGCCCCACCCTGTAACCGTGTAACAAGAGGCTACCCAGAACATGATTGAAATTACGCTCAGGAATCGGCCGAAGAGATTGATATTACCGGAGCCCAGTTGCACAAAGCTATCTTAGCGCTAAGGTGATTGTAACGCCCATACTTTAGAGGCTTACGACAGTCGGAGGGCTAAGATCGCTTTGTGCAACGGGGCCCAGATCCTGACTGACAATCGTACACTTATCCGAATTAACAATCCACGAGATATGAACAAAACACACAATCTTGACGGTGTAAGTAAGATACCAGGCTTTCTATACAGGGTTTTAAAACTAAAAAAACACACTTCCGAATTGTCCAGTTAAATTTCACAATGTTTAGTCCATTTGGCCACAACAAACCAACCATGACCAAAGATGTTTAATTACCAGTACTGAACCTCTTTCTGTATGCTCACGGGATTATTCATAGCCCAAAACATGTATATAATTTAAATTATATCAGTCGAGCACCAGTTTCATTCAGCCTCATTTCTAATTCACTTAGCAGGGTTCCAGTGACTGCGGATCATCCTCTCCTATCCATGGCATTATATGTCAAATCAGTCATGATAAATACCCTGGATACATCCACCACCACAACTTCGTTCCGGAAGTGACGTCAACATATCAAAAGTTGAAACCGAAACTGAGGTAGTGAATGGTAATAAGGTATTTATGACATCAGAACTGAGATACAATGCCCCGGATATTCGAGTAAATCAGTTGCCGTAGCTAAATCTGTAACATGGTTGATTGTGTTGATCGCACCCGACAACGTGGACCGTTGCTCATGTTATCGACCATGTTGCTCATGTTGTGTGTCCCAGGCTGAAATTTTACAGACCGCCGTGATATGGTAAAATCAATAAACAGAGACTGTGTTTAACAGCTCTTAGTGCGATATTTCAGTACAACACGGTTGTCAGGTTGTGTGCTGAAAACCTGAAGTATCACAGATCATTTACAACTCGGGTGAAAACTCGGGCGAGTATGGTCCTGCTACGGATAAGGGACGTAACTCTGCACAAACAAACAAGGACGTGTGATGCACACGGGTAGTCGATATACGCGATATTCGAGAGAAAATACTCGATAATCTGGAAAAAATGGAATATCTTTTTTTATGTGAGTATAAGGATATTAAAACAGGTCCTGAAGGATTTCTTCATAAATACCAAACATTCAATATATTGGAGACAACAGATAAAAATAAGCACCACAGCACAACCATAGATATAATACATATATTGCACTTTTCGCCGACCGTATAAGAATATAGGTTAAAAACTAAAAACACAATATTCGACATATACAAACAACAAAATATACATATAGCTATTGATGTGGGTACATTGGAGAAGCCAAATGTGGATGCAATTTATAGAAAAAAAATCCTTTAAAATTTTTTTTATTACAATAACTCTTCTCTTTTTATTCACATATTTGTTTCATAAAAAATAATCCCTTTTGTCTGATTGCATTATAAGAACGAAGTCAAATTCCCCGATATAACGAATTGAAATATAGTTCGAGGTATCTGAATTTTCTTCGCAGGAATATTATCGTTGATAACAAAAGCTTCGATAAACCGACTATATGGACTTTACGACTTTTATTCAAGTAATCTGTATGCATTGTGACATATCTATGTACTGCTCATATCTTGAAATGTAAATGCTATCTAGAATTTTGATTGTATGCTTCTAACAAGCACGTCATGGACGGAAGATAACATGACATTTGTCGCGGGACGTCATGGACGGCAGATAACATGACATTTGTCGCGGGACGTCATGGACGGCAGATATAATGACATATGTCGCGGGACGTCATGGACGGCAGATATAATGACATTTGTCGTGGGACGTCATGGACGGCAGATATAATGACATTTGTCGCGGGACGTCATGGACGGCAGATATAATGACATATGTCGCGGGACGTCTTGGGCGGCAGATGTAATGACATTTGTCGCGGGACGTCATGGACGGCAGATATAATGACATATGTCGCGGGACGTCTTGGGCGGCAGATAACATGACATTTGTCGTGGGACGTCATGGACGGCAGATAACATGACATTTGTCGCGGGACGTCATGGACGGCAGATAACATGACATTTGTCGCGGGACGTCATGGACGGCAGATATAATGACATTTGTCGTGGGACGTCATGGACGGCAGATATAATGACATTTGTCGTGGGACGTCATGGACGGCAGATTTAATGACATTTGTCGCGGGACGTCATGGACGGCAGATATAATGACATTTGTCGTGGAACGTCATGGACGGCAGATGTAATGACATTTGTCGCGGGACGTCATGGACTGCAGATATAATGACATTTATCGTGCAACGTCATGGACGGCATATATAATGACATTTATCGTGCAACGTCATGGACGGCAGATAACATGACATGTGTCGTGCGACGTCATGGACGGCATATATAATGACATTTGTCGCGGGACGTCATATAACATGACATTTGTCGTTCGACGTCATGGACGAAGGGTAATGATTACGTTTATTAAAGGTTCGAAAATGGGATCGGTTTGATGTAAGTCTTGTGTATATAATTATGGAAAACTGCATGTCCTTATGAAGACAACAGTGCCAACAATACTATATATGTTGACAGTAATATTGCTTAACCCCTAATTGTACCGCGCACTTTGATATTGTATAGTGGTTACATGATGGAGGGTATTGCACACACACTCTCATACACATCCACACACGCACATGCGCATATGCGATCTCTATGCAGTAACAATCATTTGTATTGAGTAGTGTGATAAAGTGAAAAGACTGTTTCCAGCGATATGATTGAGCTAACGAGTTTGCTAATTCTTAGGAATTCAGTAGTTGTTCTTGATTCGAATCTTCGGAACCTAGAGAATATTATCAAACACAAACAAGAAGTGCTACTTAAATGTCGATAATCCCGAATTTGACACAAAGTCTTTGAGAGTTTCCTTTCGTGTTATAATGAAGTCAATCTCAGATGAATTCTTTGAAATGAAACAAAAATGGAACTGGCCTCATTAGCACAAGAATATTGTACGGTTACATATGTCTTTTCAAATGCTAATGTTACAAATGACTTCATAGCGGCACTCAGGGAATAAACACCCTGCATTAGTTAACATCTAACGAGAACTCATACCTTTTTTGAACACAACATAATTTTGGTCATTTAATTTGATCAAAGTAGATTCGTGAAGATGTTCCCGAAGAATCCAGACCGTTTTGAATGGTCACTTAGGACACCAGACACACACCACATCATAAACTCTCAGTCATCGCCCCCGGAAAGCATTCCAAACTTCCGGTATCTGTAAGGAGCTTCCGGGTGTTTGCGCATGTGCCAGTTCATAGCATTTCGCTGGCGACACCTATAGTCACAGAAGTCACACTTAAGCGGCTTTTCATCCTTGTGAATCAACAAATGAACCTTAAGATGGCGCTCAGCCGCAAACTCCTTGTAGCATCCGGGCCACGAGCACCGGTAGGCCCGGATGTTGAAATGTTTCACACGAATATGTTCTTGGAGGTGGAACTTCTTCATGAACTTCTTTTTGCAGCCATCATAAACACACGTGTACTCCTTCTTACTGGAGAACTCTTTCGCCAGTTCCAGTTCTTCAGGATTCATTTCTTCCTCACAATACTCTTCCTCCTTCTCCTCGTGGGTTTCTCTGTGAGCATCAAGACTCTTCTCCGTGAAAAACACTTTCCCGCATTCATCACAGCGATAATTATCAATTCCCCTCTTCTCATCGCCATGTACCTCTCTCCTGTGTTCGCAGAGATCGGAGAAAGATTTCAGTTGTTCGTCACACAGATCACATTGTAATGACTCCGTCTTGAGGTGAAGGCCGCTGCTCAAAGGGAGGTTACTGTTGTAGTTCTCACTGCATCGTTCGCACTGAAAGCTCTGAGGTGCATCCGGGTCCTCCCCTGCCTTGCCCTGAAGGAAACTGTAGTATTCCAAGCCGCAGGTCAGACAGAAGAACTTGACCGGAACGTGTTGCTGTTTGTGGGTCTGTTTCTCATCTGCTGGGACGATTTCGTTGCACACCTTGCAGTGGTAGAGCTCGTGGAACATATTCTTAGACAGAGGGGAATCGTCCACTGTGGAGGTGGGAGACACAGTGACCCTTTCCAAGGGCTCTGTTTGAGGAACTGGGGATGCATGGTTAATGTCTGTGCTGGCTGGTGAAGCAGGGACGGGTTCTGGCGGAGCTTGTGGAAGGCCAGCCTTTGGGGAATCTGTTGGAGCTTTGTGTCTTGAGCCTCTTGGTCTTATTCTAAAAGATGTACATATGAAGTTCTCGCCTGATTTGATAAGGTTGCTGGATTGTCGCTTTCTAGGTTTGATGTTGATCAGTGATTTGGAAGACAGGAGCATCTCTTGAAACATGGCACCGTTTGATCCTTTAGTTGTTGCAGTACCTTGGTCTGGGGTTTCAAGGTGTTGTGTCGTTGGAGCGGGGAATTGGTCTGGCGTGTTTAGCTGAAAGGTCTTTGAATCCTGGGATTCAGACACAGTTTGAAGTTTTTTTAATTTATCATCTTCAGTTGAAGTGTCTGCTCCAATACTGTGAGTACTGAGAATAGAGAGCATTGATCCATCGGCAGATATGGAGGAAGACTGACTAGGAAGGGTTGTCGCTACTGGGGTATATAGGCTGTCTTTCTTGGGCTTCTTCTCTGCAAGGAGGTGGGAAAGAACTGGAAGCTTCGGAGGTCGGCCCCTTTTTCTCACTGGCTTACCCAAAGCAGATATTGTAGCATTAGGGTACACCATCATCACAGACTGTGTTGTAGAGGGTGAGTGTGATGCTGAAGTTGCTAGTGTTGATTCTGAAGTTGCTATGTCCTGGGATGATGTAACAGGGAGAAGCGTCATGGAAGGTTGCGTTGGAGGAGGCACTGGAGGGGCTGGAGGATGAGCCTTGCTTCGAGATCGACGGCTCCAGGGCAGCTTGAGAATACTCGTATACACACCTGGGAACATCGTGTTCTCAGCAACAACTTTCATTTCATTTGACCTCACTGGTTTGGATGCCTTATTTCCCTTGTTGACTGATCCCGGCTTTCTGCCCCTTCTTGCTGGCACATGAGGTTGTGGTTGCGGTTGCTGGGGTTGTTGTTGCTGTTGTAGCTGAAACTGCTGAAGCTGTTGCTGTGGCTGAGGTTGAGGTTGTGGTTGGGGTTTAGGAGCAGCTTGCACCTGGACGGCCGGCACAGTCTGCAGGAAGGGGATGGCTACTATTTGCTGACCACTACTTGTTTCAACGTTGATATTACTCGTCATAACCCCTTGTCCACCGTCGACGTTGGTGACCGTCGGCAGCTGCATCGACATTTGCACCGGCATCATGATGTTGCACTCGTTCTTGTCACCACTGAGGGTAAAAGTCCCTGAGCCGGGCACAGCAGATGACATCACAACCCTGCACTGGTTCGGCATGGCAGAGGTCATAACCAACCCCCCTTGGCCTGACACGTGGGACATGATGACGTCAGATGTCATCATCACACAAGGAGCAGACGACACGGTGGGAGAAGCAGGACTCCGGTCTCCTCCAATCAGCTTCCTCTGTAGCTGTCCGACCAGGGTCTTCTTGTCTTGTGGACCAATGACACTCTCTGGAGTTGATCTCTCAGACTTCACAACGACTGACAGATCCAAGGGTTGATCTGTTCCAGTTCCAAAGGGGCTGTCACAGCCATGATCTATGAAGCCACTGTCCACGAGTGGAGAGCTCCGATTCATGTCCATGTCAAACATACCCCTCTCGGAGGAGTCCCTCATGACCTGCTTGTCGTCCACGACTGTCGGTGGTGGGCTTTTCTGCTCCTCCTCCTCCACCAGGGGCCGGTGCCAGGACGACCGAGCTGGAAGTCTGAGGAAGAGAAGACGAGAGTAAACTGGGGTTTGTCACTGATACCAAATTACAGAAATACGAGGTAAGAGAATTCCTTTTGGCTCCACAATGTTACTTTATAATATGACGTTTATGGGAAATGTCCACACGACTGACGTGCACGTTGTTGACGATACTACACTAAACTACTATAGTACAGAGTACATGTGGTAAAGACAGCTTGCTCATGTTGTAACAGTAGAGAACACTTTGTGATATAATCATAAATCAGTGTCCGAGATATGTCTAATTCTAATTTTACATTTATTAGGATTTCTTTCATGTTTCTCACTGATAAAGTATAACAGCTTGAATATTGGTGACTGGCGTTAAACAAAAAAGAAAAACACAAACAAGCCGGACAACCGTGTCCCTAGAGTGAGTGAGTGGGTGAGTTTGGTTTAACACCACTTTCAACAGTATTCCAGATACATCACTGCATGTCACCCCGAAGTGATGCAGGTCTCAGACGTTTATCACTTCGGTGAAACCCACGAGCACGGGATGGTTCTGACAACCTAGAAACATAATCGAGGCAACCGGGATTCGAACCCACATTCACAGATTCCCGGCGTGCCCAAGGGACGCAACTCTGCACAGCTAATTGCGGTGCCTTAGACGACTAGGCAACGACCAGACTTCTACACCACGACCGTTTCCCTTGCTGTGGACACTGACCTGTGGTAGTCGTTGAGCAGGTTCCTCATCAGGGTGGTCGTGTCAAGGTTAGTCGCGTGTTTCAGCTGCTGAAAGTCCTTGAAGATGTCGGAGGGGATCTCGATGGCCTGGCCCGGGTCGGCAGCTGGCGGGGACCTTTCTTCGCCCTCGTCCTCGCACGCCTGAAACATCATCTGAATGAGCAAAAATATTTCTTCGGCAGGACATCCAGTGGTTGATTGGTTTGTTTGTTTGTTTGTTTGTTGTTTTTTACGCCACAATGGAGAATTTAGTTTGTTTTTGTTTCTTTGTTGCTTAAAGTCGCACTCACCATTATTCCAGCTATATGACGGCGGTCTGTAAATAATCGAGCCTGGACCAGACAATCCAGTGATTGATATCATGAGCATCGATCCACGCAATTGGGATCGATGACATGCTTCAGCGAGCCAGATCACCCGATCCCGTTAGTCGCCTCTTACGACAAGCATAGTCGCCTTATTACGGCAAGCATGTATTGCTGAAGACCTATTCTAACCCGGATCTTCACGCTTCAGGACATCCAGTGGACAACATCAAGAGGTAACATTGTTTTTTTTCAAGTTATTTCTTGAACATTTTTTTCACTGTCGTGGAAAGAAACATACGTTATTCCCATGAATTTAAAATGATAATACATAGCAAAATAATCGATACTTTGTTAATTGTTCTAAACTAAGAGAGACATCATTCTTTTAACAGTCCCTAATTCAGTTTCTACTTTTAGGCATTTTGTGCTTGGTTTGGGAAATCTGTTCAATAAAGAAAAGGCTCAGTCGATGACTAAAATAATATAAAATGGCAAAAATGTGTGTTTGTGTGTGTGTGTGAGAGAGAGAGAGAGAGAGAGAGAGAGAGAGAGAGAGAGAGAGCCGGGCAAAATGAAGTATTTAACATTAGAGTGAGTATGGTTTTACGCCGCTTTTAGCAATATTCCAGCAAAATCACGGCGGGGGACACCAGAAATGGGCTTCACACATTGTACACAAGTCGGGAATCGAACCCGGGTCTTCGGCGTGACGAGGGAACTCTTTAACCACTAGGCTACACGACTGCCCATTTAACATTAGATTTGACTACATAATTACAAACGTTCTCAAACTATCCCAAGGCTGAAACAGTCGTCGAAACACTGCAAACTCAAGATCCAAAACACAACCATGATACCCGTGTCAAATACATCACCATCGAGTAACCATTTCTTGCTTGTTTCAATTTTAGCCACCATCAAACATGGACGTATCCTTTCTTTCGACCGGAAGTTATTATACTGAGGAGTTTTTTGTACCGAATGGAAGATAACAATATTTATGATTCTAAAGTTGGTGACGAAAGACCCGTAACTACATAATGACAACGCTTCAAGATCATAATTATAATTACATGCCGAAGCACGACGTCATCAGCTGCTATAAAATAAACCTTTAATCCATTTACTGCTGTAAGATGTGTGGGTGCCTGTGCTTTGGCGCAAAGCATTCTGGGACGTATGAACCGAACCATCATACTTTATCTATCAAACACGTCTTCCGCGATACATCACTACTAGTGACGTGCGTCCTCTTTAGATGTGAGTAGTAATATCTGTTAAATCGTTGCCCGGTTAAGTTCTGTGACACAATGATGGCCTGTTATGAACACAGTTAGAACTATTCCGAATTTTTGTTGGTCATTATCAGTATGTCAAAAAGCTTACAAACTTGTAAAATATTTGGTATCACTTTGACGCCTAAGATACTAGAACTATTTTGGAGTTTTATTTCCATAGAATGGAATACATCGCTTTGACGTTAACTGGTTAAAGAGCAGTGTTAGCCTCGTGGTGAGTAAGCGCCCCGCCTAGACTGACATTTAGTCTCAGGAATAAAGAAATTTAAAAAAAAGAAATTTACAAAATAAAATAAAAATCGAAATGGAGCCCAGAACAATGCTTAATTTCAGGCCTAGAGCTGAGGCAATCTAGACTTGCCCAATCATTCTAGACTTCTATTCGACTCCTTTTTAAATTCATTCTTTGGGGTTTGGGAGACATACTATCCCCGCCATGGCTTGATTGGTGCTAAAAGCGGCTTAAAACAATAGTCACTCACACCAGGAGCGACAGATTGTACCCCATCTCAGTTTGTCTACCAACAGTCGGAGTACTCATGGACTGATCGTGTCCTGCAGTCATTAGAAACGCCCTTGTTCCTTGACTGAGATTAAACGCTGTACGTTAAACATGCACCAAGACACGTGTACTCATCAATAAAAATCTATATTTCCATAAGCGGGCTCGGGGAGTCACTACCTTATTGACATCACTGCGTGACCAGAGGAGTCCGGAGTTCTGGATAAAATGTTTCATCATTATCAGAACTCTTTTTATGAAGAGGGCTTTTCATACACTGGGCTGATTATTGTTTAATGTTGTTTTTTTTATGTTTGTTGTTTTTGGGGGCTTGGGAGTAAATACAAGACAAGGAAAAAAACATGTGCGCTGGACATCCCCATAACAGTGAAAAAAATAGAAAAAGAAATTTAGCTCTAATTCTCTTTCAGAGAACTTTTTTTTGTATGTGGTGAAGATTATGGTGAAACGTTTTCAGTCTCAAACAAAAAAGCTTCTCTTTCAGGTTATGACACTGTCATATTCTGAGAAAATGGGGGGCTGTCATAACCTGTAACGAGTCATTAGTTTCACCAGATATCCGGATTCCTGCGACGCGAACGACACAGAAAGCTGTCTTCCATTGTGTGTGTGTGTGTGTGTGTGTGTGTGTTGTGTGTGTTATGGGGTGTGCTGGTATAATTACATCTCGGTGGCTTCCGCTGATCGTGTTTGACATGGTGCTGGTATCTGGGTCTTCGGCATGGCGAAGCCAGATCTCTAACCACTAGACTAAACCCGGGGAGATCCGGGTTAGAATTGGTCTTCAGCAACCCATGCTGGTAAGAGGCGACCAACGGGATCGATCGGTCAGGCTCGCTGATTTGGTTGATGCATTTGCGTGGATCGATGCTCATGATGTCAATCACTGGATTGTATGGTCCAGACTTGATTATTTACAGATCGTCGTCATATAGCTGGAATATCGCCGAGTCCGGCGTTCAACAAAAAACAAAAAACACAAAAACACTAGACTACATAACCTCCTTGACAGGCGGCCTCCTACCTATCGCCATACTTCGGAATACTCCACCAAATCAAGGTTCATCTAATCCGAACAGTATAACGACGGTAATGACGTCAACACCAAGCTGTGATAAGAAAAACTTGTTATGTTTTATGTTCCATGTTTTACTGCAATATTTCACTAATGCGGACATGTAACGTGCGGCTGTGAATGACTGTCAAACAATGACGAGGCACGGATAGGAAAGTAACGGACTACACAGGAACATCGCAGTACAAACGGCCGGTTCTATGACGTGTTCGGGTGTCTCGTTTCAACAATAGTGTGCCTGTCTTGGACCTCGTCCAGGGACAGTGCTATCGACGCGCACATGTCGCTTATATAACCGAGAATACTTTTACAGAGAGAGAGAGAGAGAGAGAGAGAGAGAAAGGGGGACCTCGTCCAGGGACAGTGCTATCGACGCGCACATGTCGCTTATATAACCGAGAATACTTTTACAGAGAGAGAGAGAGAGAGAGAGAAAGGGGGACCTCGCCCAGGGACAGTGCTATCGACGCGCACATGTCGCTTATATAACCGAGAATACTTTTACACAGAGAGAGAGAGAGAGAGAGAGAGAGAGAGAGATTTTGTTATGGAAATATATCCCTCAAATACACCCCACTCTTTCGCTCTGCGCATCCCAAATTATTCACACCCAAAGCGAATTCAAAATATATCAAAAACATATTTTTGGCAAATAGTAGAGAGATTTCACATTACTGCGAATGGAAAACAATGCAATTTACACTCGTTCATTTTATCATCCGATTTAAACACAATAAACAATCCCGATATAGAAGCACCGTTAAAACAAGTGATACTTCGCAAAACACGGATTAGCCAGCCAAACCCAAACGAACATCCAATTTGCCCATTTCCCGAGAACATAAACATCTTTCAAATAGCAGTTCATAAATAGATGAATAAAAATAGAATATAACCAGTAGCTATAGGAGCTCGCGTGCATTCCGATGCTATATGATGAAATAGAGCCAGTTCGGCAGTCCCTTATAAGGAAGTGCACAGTGAGAGTTATCTCATAGTATTACTGATCTGGAAGGGAAACAGACCCGCACCAAAGGTCGTCCCTCTCAACAGAGCTCGTTGGAATTTTGTGTCTAACCTGTTTCATGTTTTGGATTATTTTCTAGGAGGTTTAAATTTACAAACCGGAAGTTTAACGGATACTATTTTCGTAAGAATGTCATAGGTCTGAACGTCAGGTACCATCAATGGACAAAGACATAATTGGATATGGCAGGGTTTGTGATGCAACAATCTAATTGAAACGGGGGATCTTCTACGACAGAGGGTGATCCCCTACCGCCCCCCTTTGACCGGTTGATAACTCCCACATGTGCAATTACCCCCTCCCCCGTTGACAGACGCACCCCCCCCCCCCCCCCCCCCCCCCCCCATTTCCCGGCGTGAGTGGGTTGTAAACAATGGATCTAGGTGTTGCTTCGCCTGCATTTAAACTAAACAAGGCAACGAGCTCAGACTCAGCCATATATGAACGTTTTACATTCGAAATAAAACCTGCACTAAATGTGCTGTAGTGCTAACACCTTTATAATCGTTAAGAGATGTATGTATATATACGTACTAGTATACTGATATATTCCTCGTAAAAATGTCACATAAACTTGAGGCGATAGTGAGAACATAGACCATATGGTGGGAACATGCTTTTGAAACTGACATGCAAGGAAAATGATAAAAAGTATATATTTCAGTGCGGAATACAATATTTATTTTTTTAAAGAATGTAGAACATTTTCTAAGAAGTATGTTTCAAATATATCATGAAACTATTGACAAGTATCACACCAAACCTGAAGTGACATAATGAAATAACTTTTAAGAGCACAACTGGTTCACGAAAATATTCCTCAATGGGGTTTCCTGTTTTTGTAATTGAGTGCACGTGCGTTTTAGTTACTGCGTGTTACGTAATGATACATACTTCTTAAATTATGCAGTAGAGGAGGCACGGCGAATGATTCAGTTTCCTTTTTTCAAACAAAACAACTAACAGCAGAAAACTTCAAGCACATAATATAAATAAAATACAAATAAAATAATTAAATATGTTATAGGATACCTAAGTAAACGTTCCGTTAGTTTCAGCGAAGCACACGTTCTTGGTCAATAAGTCAATTGTTCGATCATTCCACAAACAAGGGAACATGTTCATTTCAAGCGGTGTGTATTTCAACACTTCAATGCATTTCATATTCACGACAGAATGGAATAAATATCAATATTTCAACTGGGTGTATATGATTATCAACATTAATTCACTCCGAAAATACGTGATTGATCACGTGGTTGATACACACAATAACCATGAAACAATAACAAAATCTCCAGTCATGTCTATTTCACGTGATGTACATATCGTGTATATTTCAGTCTGACATGGCGTTGGTGGTGTACTTACGGACTGTGTCGGAGAATGATCAAAGGTGTGGGGTCCATTTCGCCAATGCTTATTCGTGGGTCGAGCACTTTTTCGCCTGTGAGACATGGTCAAACTCTCAGAGTTATTCAAGACCAAACTTTAAACACATCCTTCCGTTCTCATAGTATCCTCTGGCATTATCTGGTGAAATACAGGAATGTCTTCAGATGCCCCAATATCCAAAGTAACTGCTCCTAGTTTCCGAATACGAGTCGACACGCATGAAGTTAGCTTGAACCCCACAACACAAACTTTTCCGATTCTATCTAAAGTAATGTGCCCCCAAACCCTTGCCATCTCCATAGCAACGGGAGCTTTATTTTCGCCTCGCCTCGCGTGCATTTCCAAATTGGTAAGAAATAGGCCAAACCAGAGTACCCTGCCCATATATGGTGGTGTTAAACGCAGCCGGATCCCCTTTCAACAAATGCTACCTTTTCAGCGTGGAGAGCTCCTCTCCCGTAACGATGGAATGGTAACTGCTACCCCGTTATAACGCAGCTCTTGTCAGCGCTGGGACGGGATGGTTTCGTTAAAGCGTGCAGTAACTGCGATTCGTTGTTGGTTGAGAGATGTTGGAGGCTAAGGAAGCTGGAACATTGGATTTATTATCACGGGACAGCTGATTTTCTAACCGCTGATGATTTGCAAGAAAATGGTGTTGTGTTACAAAAGCAAGCTCTTCTCTTCAGCTGATTCACGGAAAGAAAAAAAGAGAAAGTTATGAGAAATATGTAACAAATCTGGTTGCAGGTAGCAGGACCTACAGAAATAGGACACATGTACTGATCGACTGAACGTGAAAGTAACAAGGTTTTTTCGATTATCTATATGAAGATTTTATCATTTGACATATCGCTATCAGAACAGAACTGAACTGATGGGTAATAGAAACTATACCCGGCTTTTCATTTTTTCGTATGTTTGATTTTCATTTGAAAATATCTTAAGTTTGCGGCATTATATCCAAAGAATTAACTGTAATGGCGCTCAAAGAATACTTCTTCATGGTTTTGATTTGTAAAATATAATTTTATTTAAAACTATTAAATTTTATTTTTTTAAATCCGCAAAATACACAATTGTTGATGAGTATCTTAGACACCTTATCTTTTAAAATAAATGCATGTGCTCTTTTCGGCACAAAATTATATAATTTCAAACATGGTAGGGGTCATTTGGTTGCAGATTAATTTCTTACCCCTTTGTGCATGGAACCAATTTATTTTTACACAGAATTACCAAGCCACCGATTACTTTTTACAACTGCGGCATAAATGAGTGATTGTTAAAAAGACACAATCAAATTTAACCACATTTCTTTCAATTGTCAATTACATAAAAAAAACACTCGGTATACTTTCTTTTGCCCCTCAGTTTACAATAATAATAATAATAATAATAATAATTTTAAAAAAACTAACATATTCAGCAAGTAATATTGGTCAAGACTCCATTTTAAATACCCGATGTTTAGTTAATAATAGAGGATAAACATTGTCAATAGAGAATTAAGTTTGTTTGTTGCTTAACGTCGCACTCACCAATATTCCAGCTATATGACGGCGATCTGTAAATAATCGAATCTAGACCAGACAATCAAGTGATCGATATCATACACATCTATCCACGCAATTGGGATACGATGACATGCATCAACCAAGACAGCGAGCCTGACCATCCGATCCTGTTAGCCACCTCTTACGACAAGCATAGTCGCCTCTTACAAGCATGGGTTGCTGAAGACCTATTCTAACCCGGACCTTAACGGGTCAGGAGAATGTAGCTTTAACGAGGCTAAATAAAAGATCTTATTCTCCACTATACATTTGACGGTCTGTGTAAATAAGTACCTGAGTAATCGTTTAACGTTAACATCAACACACGAATTCCAACGACAAATGAATTCTCAGCTTTTAACAGATATTCCAAATATATGCGTGGCTACTACATTTTAATAGTGAAATGTTAAAAATAAAACCGACACCAAACCCTTTGTCCCAAACTAATCACAAAGTCCCTAGAAAATGGTCGGTCAGAGTTGACCAGTACTAGTCAGTGTGAGTGTCCACCATAATGCACACGTTGGTCAGTGTTAGTAGTAATGGTAGTGGTGGTGGTAGTGGTAGTGGTAGTAATAGTGGTGGTAGTAGTGGTAGTTTTAGTGGTAGGGTTAGTGGCAGTAGCAGTGGTAGTGGTAGTAATGGTAATGGTTGTAGTGGTAGTGGTAGTCGAAGTAGAAGTTTTAGAAGTAGTATATGACGCAGTGGTAGTAGTAGTGATAGCAGTAGTAGTAGTAGTAAAAGTAGTAGTAGTAGTAGTAGTAGTTGTAATACTATTGGTATTGGTAGTGGTAGTAGTAGTGGTGGTGGTAGCAGTAGTAGTAGTAGTAGTAGTAGTTGTAGTGGTAGTAGTGGTATTAGTAGTTGTAGTAGTGGTGGTGGTGTTAGTAGTAGTAGTAGTTGTAGAAGGGGTGGTGGTAGTGGTCGTAGAAGTAGTAGTGGTAGTAGTAGTGTAGTAGTAGTGGTAGTAGTAGTAGTAGTGGTAGTGGTAGTAGTAGTAGTTTAGCAGTAGTAGTAGTGGTAGTAGTAGTGGTAGTAGTAGTGTAGTAGTAGTAGTAGCAGTAGTAGTAGTGGTAGTAGTAGTAGTAGTGGTAGTAGTAGTAGTAGTAGTTTAGTAGTGGTAGTAGCAGCAACAGTAGTAGTAGTAGTAGTGGTAGTAGTAGTAGTAGTAGTAATAATAGTAGTAGTTGTAGTAGTAGTGTAGTAGTAGTAGCAGTAGAAGTCGTAGTAGTAGTGGTAGTAGTAGTGTAGTAGTAGTAGTAGTAGTAGTAGTAGAAGCAGTTGTAGTTGGAGTAGTAGTAGTAGCAGAAGTAGTAGTTGTAGTAGTAGTAGTAGTGGTGGTAGTAGTTGTAGTAGAAGTAGCAGTAGTTGTAGCAGTGGTAGTAGTAGTTGTAGTAGTAGTGGTAGTAGTAGCAGTGGTAGTAGTAGTAGTAGTGGTAGTAGTAGTAGTAGTAGTAGCAATTGTAGTAGTAGTTGTAGTAGTAGTGGTAGTAGTAGTAGTAGCAGTGGTAGTTGTAGTAGTAGTAGTGGTAGTAGTAGTAGTAGTAGTAGGAGTAGTTGTGGTAGTAGTAGTAGTAGCAGTGGTAGTAGTAGTAGTAGTAGCAGTGGTATTAGTAGTAGAAGCAGTGGTAGTAGTAGTTGTAGTAGTTATAGTAGTGGTAGTAGTAGTAGTAGTAGTAGCAGTAGTAGTGTAGTAGTAGTAGCAGCAGAAGTAGCAGTAGTAGTAATAGTAGAAGTAGTGAAATATCTATTTTTGTGTAACACACGCATTAAGTGACTTGAAATACACTAAAATACATGTATTGTTGTACTGTTTTACATTTTAAATTAAATTTTTAAAAACGTAAGTACGTCACTATGTAGATAGGCACAAAAATAAATAAATATGATCTTAACATTTCAAGCTCTTGTGTACAAGTTGTCGAGCAGATTGTAGTTTGGCAACTCTTGTGCAGGAAGGCCATTTTTGAATTCGAGACGTGAGATATATTTTACTGCCGCTTCGCTCACTTCAGTCGCCCTCGTGTTTCGTTGAGTTCTCGAGAGTTGCTGAACATCACTGGGACTTTCTTCCGCAAATATCATGACGGTCTGTAAACACTTCACATGCGTCTGCACAACGTCTGTGTATTCCAGTAAGAAAACGACACAGCATCACGATGATGAGGTTATGCAATTGCGATTGTGGTTTGAAAACCCAATGGGGAAATGGCGAGAAATACTTCCCATGTCTTTACGAGGTCACGTAAAACTTGTTCGTTCGTTCGTTAGTGAGTGAGGTTTTACGCCCCTTTTAGCAATATTCCAGCAATATCACGTAGGGGAACACGAGAAATGGGCTTGACACATTGTACCCATGTGGGGAATCGAACCCGGATCTTCGGCGTGACGCGCGAACGCTTTAACCACTAGGCTACCCCGCCGCCCCTAGCAAAGAGTCATGCTGCATCCAACTTAGAAACCGACCCCATCCCCCGTTGTAAAATTATTTCGAGTGTGAAACAAGTGCATTACGTTGCTGTGATGGACTCGACCAAAACGTAATCAATTTCACATGTGCAACACGAGTTTCACGCGACAGGTTGTAGTTTGCAATATCCTCCTTCATCAAAAGTTAGAGACAGTTTGTTGTAATGTGGGATTCGTCTGAGGTTGTTCACCGACTTCGAGTGACGTCTCATGGGTGCAGAGCCTTGTGGGCTTTGAGGTATTGTTCCAGCAACCATAGATCTGTCAGAGTGAGACAATCCATCATGGCGTTCGGTTGCATTATCCAAGCACATTAAAACCGTCTAAATCGAGTTTCTGTTTCCGATTTTAAATGCTTCAAAGATTAATGTAGACAGTAAAAGGATTTGTAAAAAACGAATGTTTTATGACTTCCGGCATTAAAATATACTTAGAAATTTCTTACATGGGGTTATAAATCAGGACATAACAGATGATTTCATACCTGCCTCACATGTTTGCAAGATAATAAAAAAAAGTAGATAAAGTGTTTTTAACACATCCGAACATCCTGTGTTTATGTGTTTGTTGTCAGCTATGATCCTGTAAATAGTCAAGTCAGAGCCGTCGTGAAGGGCGGCGCAAGTCGCTGTGCAGAGTTGCGTCCTTTCCGCGCCCCAGAAACCTATGATCGTGGGTTCGAATCCCCGTTCGCCTCCATTATGTTTCTAGGTTTGTCAGCACCATACCCGTGCTCGTGGGTTTCACCGAAGTGGTAAACGTCTGAGACCTGCATCACTTCAGGCTTTCCTCCCACATAAAGCTGACACGCCGTGATATAACTGGAATACTGTTCAAAGCGGCTTTTAACCCCAGTCACTCAATCACTCGTTCTAGCATTAAAGTCACACAATAACATAAATACAATCAGTTTTGCACGTAAATTGTAAAGTTATCTGTTCTAATACCATAAACGCAGTGATGAATATCTAGTACCTCCTGGGGGTACACCTGAGATAATATCTTAGAGCACACCTGTCTTTTACACCTACACATCATATGATTGTTAAATACCTATTTCTCACAGCTAACCCCGCCGCCTCCGTGGTCCAGTGGATAGAGCGGAAGATTCGATCCCCGGCCGCGTCATTCCAAAAGACGTTAAGAAATGGCACTTGTTGTTACCCTTCCTGGCGCTCGGCATTTAGGAGCTAAAACAAGGACTGGTAGGCTCGGGGCCAGTATAGTGTGTCTGGGTGGGGTATTCTATTCATGTCAAACTGCGGTATGGTATCTCAGTCGGCTGGCTTTATATAATCGGCATTTGTCTGGAGTTGAACAAGCAGCCCCATTTGACATTGAATTGTTAAGACAACTGTACATTACATTTTCGTTATTTGTATTTACCCCAAACAATTTCGAATTCAAGTGTTTCTTCGATTGGATTCACCATGGTCAATTCCACCCACCATCATGCTAATGGAAACAAAACAAAATCATTTAATTTGTTTCAATTTCTATCACTCATTCTTATAAGGCAGGTGCGGTAAACTGTAATAAAACCTGCGGTAAGCTGTAATACAACCCGCGGTACACTGTGATAAAACCTGCGGAAAACGGTAATAAAACCTGCGGTAAACTGTAATAAACCTGCGGTAAACTGTAATAAAACCCGCGGTAAACTGTAATAAAACCTGCGGTAAACTGTGATAAAACCTGCGGTAAACTGTAATACAACCCGCGGTACACTGTGATAAAACCTGCGGAAAACGGTAATAAAACCTGCGGTAAACTGTAATAAACCTGCGGTAAACTGTAATAAAACCTGCGGTAAACTGTAATAAACCTGCGGTAAACTGTAATAAAACCCGCGGTAAACTGTAATAAAACCTGCGGTAAACTGTGATAAAACCTGCGGTAAACTGTGATAAAACCTGCGATAAACTGTAATAAAACCTGCGGTAAACTGTAATAAAACCTGCAGTAAACTGTAATAAAACCTGCAGTAAACTGTAATAAGATCTTTCATTACATCAGATTAAAAAAATAATGCGAGTTCCAGTGTTTGTTCGACTTTTCCACGATCAAGACCCGTGAAGATCCGGGGTAGAATAAACTGCGGCAAACTGTAACAACAACTGCGTAAATTGGAATAACAACTGCGGTAAATTGTAATAATACCTCTCATTCCTTTAGATTCCAAAGAAATTCGTGTTCCAGTGTTTGTTCGACCTCGCCATGATCAATTCCGAATACCATCCTATTAAAGGAAACCAAAATTATTATTTTTTTGCAATTTCTATTATTCACATTAAGAGGAAGGTGTGGCAACTTGTAATAACACCTCTCATTCCTTCAAAATGGAAAGAAAATCGAATTTCAGTGTTTGTTCGACATCACCATGGTCAATTCCGACCACCATCATGTTAATGGAAATAAAAAAATAAAATTCTTTTCACTTTCTATCATTTGTACAGAGGTCTTCAGCAACCAATTCTTTTCGTAAAAGGCGAATAACTGGATCGGGTGGTCAGGCTCGTTGACTTGTTTGATGCATGTCATCGTATATCCCAATTGCGTAGATCGATGCTCATGGTGTCATTCACTGGATTGTCTGGTCCAGATTCGATTATTTATAAGACCACCGTCATATAGCTGGAATATTGCCGAGTAAGGCGTTAAACAACAAACAATCTTGCAATTCTTTGACAGTGAAGATCCGGGTTAGAATTGGTCTTCAGCTAGGAAAGCTTTTCGTATGAGGCGACTAACTGGATCGGGTGGTGAGGATCGTTGACTTGGTTGATGCATGTCATCGTATCCCAATTGCGTAGATCGATGCTCATGATGTCAATCACTAGAGTGTCTGGTCCAGATTCGATTATTTACAGACCGCCGTCCTATAGCTGGAATATTGCTGAGTGCGGCGTAAAACAATAAACAAACAAACCAAACTAGGATTCCAAGAAAGCCCAAAGCAGCTCATTTATTTCTTTTTTTTTCTTTTTTTTAAACTCACCGACCCAAAATGCATCTTTCGCAGTGGTTTTTATTTCGATTTTATTTTGAAAAGGATTACCGTAAACCAAGTAATAACAAACCTCATGTACACGTATTTAAATAAATTTGTTTATTTGGAAACCAATAACAACATGATCCGTCATGATGAACAACAATATAATATCTAAGGTATATACTCCCGTAAAGCAGGAAATGGACCCCCAAACATTAGGTTTAAATTATTTCAAGAAATCAGAAAAATGCCGTATGCAATAAAAGTTAAAACATGTTTTCATAGTAAATAGAACGCAATGTTCTCGACTTCCGAGGCCTTGTAAAACACCCTGCGGTCACCTGACGAAACAGTGTCGCATGTCCCAGTACCTCCATCTTCCCGAGGCAAGAGAGTTCACTGACTCTAAAAGTCCACTTTCCACCCTTGCCGAACTGGACTGGAATTACTGGGCTCGATCGTAGCGCCACCAGTGGCTATTACCAGTTATGTCCCTTTTAAGCCTCTCCTATGGACCAATCAGATTCCATCACTTCCGTTTGCTTCACACAAAATGGTGGCGCCCAGTCAGGACGATCTGATCGATAATCAAGATCTATATTGTGATAAAACGGGTCTTACATCGCGAAATGCATCAAATCACACAAGCACCTTGATTAAAATCATGAAAAGATTTGGAAAATATCTGCTAACAACGAGTTGGCGGTGCATATGCTTTGCAAATCCTGCAATCGATCGAAATCTGCACGACAATTTACGAACCGGATTTCGATTTCGGTGAGCGATTTTGATTGGACTATGCATAGACTCGTTAGTCCAGCCAAAATGTAACTCCATAATACAAGCCTAGTTCGGCAAGGGTGGAAACTGGACTTTTATAGCCAGTTAGCTCTCTTGCCTCTGAAAGATGCGGTTCCTCATGTTTAGCATGAAAACCGGGCACCGGGCATTGTGGCATGACCTACGTCAGTTATCCAACCCGGACGGTGTGGGCCGTTGATCATCCACTGGCTTCACACATTGCACCCATGTGCGGAATCGAACCCGGATCTTCGGCGTGCTGATCCAACACTTTAACCACTAAGCTACCCCACTACCCCTGGCGCAATGGGGTGACTCACAGAACCCCAACACTCCAGTCTGACGCTAGACTGGAACTGTCTTCATTTTATTATAATCACATGTAAACAGGGACGGTCGGGTAGCCTAGTGGTAAAAGCGTTCGTTCGTCACGCCGAAGGCCCGGGTTCGGTTCCCGACATGGGTACAATGTGTGAAGCCCATTTCTGGTGTCCCCCGCCGTAATTTTGCTGGAATATTCCTAAAAGCGGCGAAAAACTATACTCACTCACTCACTCAAATGTAAACATACAACGTCAACGTCTGATAACCTAAACAAACAAACAAATAAAATTTGCATTTTGAACTCACCAGGGTAGAGTGTGAGTGAGGTTTTACGCCGCTTTTAGCTATATTCCAGCAATATCACGGCGGGAATCGAACCCGGGTCTTCGGCGTGACGAGCGAACGCTTTAACCACTTGGCTACCCGACCGCCCCTCCAGGGAAGAGAAGACGGGTATATTCTATATAGAATGGTTACTTTTGGAGACAAGGTCCAGTTTGACACTAACCCTCAGAAGGTAATGTTTCTTGACCAACACAACCATCATGGAAGTCGAAATTTTATTCATATGGATTTCAAAGTTCAAATTATATGACATATGTTACTTGTGTGGGAATACAGATGCCTTTGAATCAGTTATGATCAAACAAACCACGGCATTGCAGCTCACTTGGATTTGTAGTCAACAAAATATTCAAATAGTTTTTACATAAATACACGAGGACTAAAACGTAACACTAAAATCTAAGGATTTGAGCAACATGTGACGTCACCATAGTGAGTGAGTGAGTGAGGGAGTGGGTGAGTGAGTGAGTGAGTGAATATCGTGATGTCATCATAAAAAGAAACATGCATACCAAAGTTCAGTTCAAAATTTCAGATGGACGTTTCCAGAGCCAAATATGCATTGAAAAAAGAATGCAAAGTCATGGTTTTGTTTGTTTGTTTGTCTGTTTGTTGTTTAACGCCGCACTCAGCAATAGTCCAGCTATTATGACGGCGGTCTGTAAATAATGGTGTCTGGACCAGACAATCCAGTGATCTACGGCCATTGGGATATAATAACTTGCATCAAACCAAGTCGGCGAGTCTGATCACCCCGATCCCGTTTGTCGTCTCTTTCGACAAGCATGCCTGGGTTGCTGAAGACCGGAACCCGGATGTTCACGGGACCTGGAGCATAGTAATAGTAACAAATGCAAACATTTAAATATTACAAAACAAAACTACTAACTATCCACATGCCAAATATTACATTTTGAATACGAATGGCGAAGGAATGGCCGTTTGAAGTTTCAGTTTACAGAATGATCGAATAGTAAAGGTCAAGGTTATAATTTATAATATCGCAACAAAAACAACAACACTTGAACCAGGTGAGTTAAATAAATAAATAAGTAATAATGTACATATTTAATACGCCTGTCTATATTTAACACTCGTATTAAGTGTTTCAAGGTTATAATGGAGTCATGTTACAGAAAACACAAAATTATAGATACATTAACCAATCGGCAGCTGGATAATAGCCTTTATGTGTGTACATGAACATTTTTGGGACACTAGAATGATCAAATATATAAATTTGGGAAACGTCAACAAGCGGTACTTCTAAAATATTGAAACCAAAATTTGTGGATTTTGGTTGTAGCAGATTTTAAAAGGACATACAAGTGTCTGAAGAGGTTTGTCATTTTGTAAAAAGAGTTTGGGGCTTCTCGGACATGTTAATTGTATTTTCTCAATATTTTCAAACTCAGGCTTGCTATATTTGTTCGTTGTTTAACGCTGCACTCAGCAATAGTCCACCTATCTGATGGCGAACTGCATATGATCGGCTCCCCTGCAGACGCTAAACCACTAATGAATACAATTAATTACTGAAGTATATATCAAGCCATCCATTGCATCCAGATTTAAACTATTCTTCACGCCAAATTAATAATTATTCTACCATGAATTTGGAATTTACTCGATTCTGATTGGTCAATAAAAGGCTATTAAATCACAAGAAACCCCCTCTGATTGAAACAGCTGGTTTGACGGCCGCATCACCGCGGAAGTTAATATTCATAGAATAGTACTATTTTCAGTCATTGTCGGTAGGCATGTTTAAATAATTATATCTACAATTACAGGTTACAAAATGCACAGATGCGGTTACTAAAATATTAAAAGGATGTGTGGCAATACATTTCGTGCAGAAAAACACGACAGAAATCAACAAAGGGAATGTATTTACGTTTTGGAGACAACAGAGAGCTTGGAATTTTGGCGCTTTTCTATATACGACTGTGACGTCATAATTTTTGCGTCACAATGAGCGATATGACGTCATAGTGGTGACGCGCGATGTAGAGCGAGAGACTTGCAAAGCTTGCTTTGTTTTCTTTAGGGATGCCAACCTCATGTTAGCTTACCAGGTTGCCGTGCGTATATGCTTTCAATGCCTGTCATATGTTCGAGTGAAGTATAACGGTGTAAACAAACCATATTTTGTTCGGTGATTCCGTAATTCAGATCGATAACCCACTCAAAACACTGAACTCAACCCATGCCGCTTCATTCAGTATATTTGGTAACACCAAAGAGTTCGCGTTTTACCTAGTCATGGTAGAATGGAGATAAGCATACTGTGTTTTCAATGTAGAGCTAGGTTACCTGTAGATTTAACCGCGCTAAATTTAACATTTGAAACCTCACGCTGCGCGTTCGGTTCCAAATTCAATTTAGCGGGGTTAAATCTACAGGTAACCTAGCTCTACATTGAAAACACAGTATGTTTATCTCCTAATTGTTATTTTATATACTTTCAATATGGAAACGATATCCTCTGGCACGCCTCGTCACCTGGTAGTGTACAGGGTTGTAAAAATCACGATGCGATTAAGATACAATAAAACTAATCTTAAAATTTAAATAAAATAGTTCGGCGCATTCTCTAACTTTTTCGAATATTGACCAAGGAGGATCTTAACATGCTACTTTTCAGGGTGAAATCCACTAAGCTCCGGAAGTTATGGAACGTCATTGGCAAGAAGCAATAATGTTTGCTTTATATTGATATTTTCAAAGAATCTTCGTGGTAAATAGTAAACATTAACAGAGAAGCCGGAAATGTTGATCCTCTCAGTATATAAACCTCTGATTTATTACCTCCCTTAGATCAGTAATACTTGAAAGATAATCCGGGTATTCAATTGCTGCAACGGCATACATATACACTTCTAAAAATAACACACCAAATAAAATTATGTTCATCCAAAATGTCTAAGACGATACCATAATCCCAGAAAAGAGGGTACCTGGATTTAATCATGGACTATTGGTGTTTCCATGGAAATAGAGCCGCTGGATATTGCTCGTAACCAAATATCTTAAAGTCCCACGTGTAATACTTCGCTATTTTTTCCATCGTTTCTCGAGATAGATTTTTATACTCGTTCAACATCATTGTCCTTTTCTGCAGCTTATACATCACACTTGACATGTGAGATTGTTTATTTTCTTTGGCTATCAGCTGAGTTAAGATAGCTTTAATCGTACGCGTGTCATTTGTCTTACGAATTAACCCACTTAATTCTTCCTTTGGGAATTCCGCTTCTGGCTTTAGGTAACCATTGATCTTAAACGCCGTCCACAAACGTTCTGCTAGCAGGAGGCTGTCGAAACACTTCCGTAGGTTCACGTTGAAATCTCTGTACGCATACGTAAAGTCAACCATTTGCGTAATTTCGTCTGAGATGAACGTTTTATGAGAATACTTTGTCAACAGATTCCCCAGTCCGACCTTGTTTAAAATATATTTGGCGTCTTTGGCGAACGACTCTTGTTTTCCAATGAATTGAGGGAACAGCCGACAGGGGTCACATACCGACGCTATTGGCAACCAGTGGGGGTCCCGATATTTCTGTGACATGGTTATATTCACAAACTCAGGAAATGTGACCAGTGTTTTTACACACGTTTCATTAACATTTCTTGTCCCAGCTCTGGCCGCTGTGACTACTTTGCCGTATCTCTCCCATCCTAGAAACTGCGGAAGAAGAAACTTGTCCACGTACGCAGAGAAAAGTCTTGCGTAGGGATCCCTCGCAAACAGGAAACGTTGTGCATGTTCCAAGACGTCCGTGGCGTACTTCGTGGCAGTAAGATGTATCATGGGTTTGAAATACACCTCGAAGCGAGAAATATCAAAGGGACTTGATATCTGAGACTGACTTCGTGTCTTGTTGAGAAACATCAAGATCCTCCTCCAAAACGTGCAGCCAACTTTAGGTACAGGGCAATAGCCCATGCTGGTGTTCGTCCCTCCATCGGCGTAGTATAAGATGGTGTTGTAGCCAGAGGTTCTAGTCTTTCTCACTGCGCACGCATCACGGTATCTTTGGAGACGGGCTTCGTATTCAGTCTCGAGAGGGCCCATTACTTCCTATAATAATAATAATATTAATATTAATAATAATAATAATAATAATAACAACAACAACAACAATAACAACAACAACGATGATGATAATTCTTCTTAAACAACAACAACAATGATGATAATTCTACTTATAACGCGACACTCAATTCTTATGACGCTACATTGTTATTATCCCCTTTCACCATTGATCAGGGTGCTCTCGATTTTCATTCTCAGCTCCCTTGGTAGTATACAACCTATGCTGCCCGTGAGTAGATCTGAGTAGCTTAATCTTATGCATGTATTAAATTCAATTCAAGATATCTTGAAATAAGTTATACATATCCACAAATGCATTACAGATATCTTTAATTCAATTTGAGATATCTTTAATTCAATTAGCAATATCTTTAATTCAATTCAAGATATCATTAATTCTGACCGTTACTGATATCAAAAATCCAATTAAAGATATTGATAATTTTGATGATATCTTTATATCAATTATTGATATCAGTTATCTAATTTAAGTAACATTATTTATGTAACATCTTTATAAATGGCAACAATTGAAGATATCAATAATCAATTATTGATATCTGTATTTAGTTTCAAGACATCAGGAATTGAATTATTGACATCATAACAAAACATGACATTTTGATATCATTAAACTATTTTTTTTATATCAATAATCGAATTTAAGATATCAGCAATTATTTTCAAGATATCAGTAATACGCTTCACCATATCCTTAATTCATTTCGTAATATCTTACATTTTATTGCAGATATCTACAATTATCTGCATTTTAGATATCTTCAATTCCATTCAAGATATCTTCAATTCGATTCAAGATATCTTCAACTCAATTCAAGATATCTGTAATTCCGTAATAAATGTGAAAACGGCTTGCCATATGAGCGCTCATTTGTCTGAATACTCGTTGGATTCGATCTCACTGAAACCAGGCCGTCGCTTGATTCCTTTGTTTCAAATAGAGACTATACAAGGCTTTTATGTTTTATGTATCCACGGATAATGGAGGCACGGAGTGTGTACATACCCATGAAGTATTGACATTGCGCTTAGTGAGTGAAGGGGATTTCACGTCAGGTGGATTTAAAGGGCAAAAGAAATATATAAAAATAATTTTTAAAAATTGCGATTTTATTGCAAATATCAATTTTCCTGGATACATTAATTACATTTCCGCGTGAGGACAAAATTATAATATTCGTAGAAAGTATTTCATTGTCCAAGTGGAAGTTCTTAAGTCACACGCTCCGAAATCGGCTTCCAAAACAAAACTATTTGGGGGTGTGGCCTAAAGCTACCGGCACGGTCGTGACAACTGTTTTATTGTGATATGTTTGGGGGTTTATCTATCTTGTGATTCTTAGCCGTTATACATACATGTATACTGTTTCTCCTATCTCTGTTAATCCTACAAAAAATAACAACATTGCATACATTATTGAATGTGTGAAACGACCTTTGATCTTGATATTGTGCATAATTTAATTACCAATTAACAATCGGTAACTAGCGTTTTATTACTAACATCCTGTTTTATCACTAATTATATAACATCCTATTTAGGTAATAAACCATCAGCTGTTCTCAGTCCTACTCCACACACATTGATTACCTGTCAGAGATTAATCCCATGAGCAAACAACTGAAGGCATCTTCAGTATTGTTACTATGGTAACATAAGGTGCCATAAGATGTGGACTCGGTAATCAAGTGAATTAGCAGACAGAATGATCGTTGAAATTGCGCAGCGCGTCAAACACCGGGAACCCGTTTTATTACCAGTAAGGGGAATCCCCTCAGTGGCGGATGTTTTCGTTTGGGGGACGATTTCGCCTGTCGTTTTTTATCGTGTGTTTTACGCTATTTCCGTTTTTCAAATCACATTTTGGTCACGAATCTGGGATAAAGTAAGCCCTCAGGTATCACAATGTGCCCTGTTCCTATGTTGACTTGACCTGCCCTTTAACTTTAACATCGCCCTAACAGTATTTCAGTTACATCACGGTGTGGCAGCTTAATGTTCAAAGAAAGTGCAAAGTGATTTCGATGAAATTCATCAGCCCGGTTTCGGTGAATATAAACCGGATATCATAACAGAGACCATATCCCGGCATAGGGTCTCTGATCAATAGTTATCTAGATCCATCATGCGATCTGTGAGATCAGAGGCTTCCATTCTTACCTGGTCTACTTTCGAACTAGCAACAAAAAACCTTTCTTGAATTTTCTCTCCCACTACCGGACCTAATAACAGAAACATATATAAACTGTGAGTGCATGATTGAGAGGCTATCGTTTGGGAAGCATTCTTTGACGTTTTCCTTCTGGAATCCTTACTCAAAGTTCACTTCTGACGAAATTGGAGGAATCCGATTTAGGTAGAGGTAGGTGTATATACAGTCAAGTCTCGTTAATCCGACAATTGGGTTTATCCGACCCAAATGATGGGAACCGATTAAATCAGTGCTATTTAGACCCGTTAATTCGACAGTCTCGCACTCCGTCTCCGACACTACTAATTAACAATGAATAACCGAAATCACCAATTAATCAGTCTCGTTAATCCGACACAGTGATCAGCGTACTCTGTGGTCATCTGCCCGCGAGTACACAGCCCGTGTTTTGATGCCAGACAGTCGGTTGGTAGCTGCATATTTCAAGTCCTGTTTTCTTAATTCTAAGCATTAATTTTTATTGTTAACAAAATACTGCCTAATATCTGAACGACATAGCTACAAAAGAAGAATGAATCTTCACAGTTCACAAACTGACTGACTGACGGCCGGACTGACGGCCGGACTGACTGACGGACTGACTGACTGACTGACTGACTGACTGACTGACATCTCACTCGCAATTACAAAGAACATAACTATTATACATATCATTCAGTAAAAGTAAATTGCGACCAATCGCCACGTGATTTATGAGAGATGATAAAACCACACAGTCACAAAATAATACCTAATAGATGAACACAGTCAGTTATGGAGTGTTGAGATATATACCCAATGGCACAATTTATCTGTACCTTAAAAGGCGTCAATGTTCTGAGATATTGCAACAGGTTTTGGCTCGGGAAAAAAAATCATGTCGTCATTTGATAAATGTAGGGCAAGCCGCTGACTCGAAAACGCGTTAAAACCAGGCCATATGTTATAACACTTCCGTAAAATATCTTCACGTAAAACCGTATATAAAGGACAACTTGATAAACAACTGCGCCTCATCTTCCACACAATTAACACAAGTGAAACAGTATCTGTGTTCTGCCGGAATATTCTCGTAGCGTCCAGTCTCTATTCTTATGAGGGCGGTCGGGTAGCCTGGTGGTTAAAGCGTTCGCTCGTCACGCCGAAGACCCGGGTTCGATTCCTGACATGGGTACAATGTGTGAAGCCCATTTCTGGTGTCCCCTGCCGCGATATTGCTGGAATATTGCTAAAAGCGGCGTAAAACCATACTCACTCACTCTATTCTTATGAGGGCTACACCACATCTAAGTTTGTCAAATGCGCTCCTCTACTCCCGTGACAAATGAACTTTGACATATTTTTCACATTCGAAGTGGTGTTTAAAAGTCTTGTAGGATCGAGTTTTCGAAGTTTATTCTCCTTTTTAAATAATATCTTCCCATTCTGACTTGTAGTTTGTAAACCTTGATCGTAAGCCTATGTTAAAGTATGGGACTTACGATCACCTTAGCGCTAAGATCGCTTTGAGGGACGGGGCCCAGGTGGGATAGGTGAGTGTGTTTTGGTAACAATGACATCTCCACCAGTCACGTATTTTAACCCCAGGTTATTGTAAATCTCCCATGCGGGAGATATTCTTGGCAGCCATTCATCACCGTGGTGTGCTGGACCCGTCTGACAGTCACTTCTCGTCAACGCGAGGAACGTTGTCACACACAGACGACAACCCTTGACATTCCTTCTCACTGCGACCTCTACGTGTTTATTATTACAGGACATGGTGACGTACTAATAAACATATTTTATACAATCATATGTCTAAATGCCATGTTATTACAAGTGGTTAAGGTGAAGGTCATACCGGCGCTAAGTCAACATTTCCGATGCGCTTCGTTTGATGCATAATTCAAAATTAATGTAGAATTCAAGTTCATTTGATGTTTTATATTCGGGTCAACAAACGTGGTTGTGGGATCAAGAACCAGAAATGACTAAATTGAGATCCATTTGGAGACAAATTCATTGGAGACGAACGAATGTGAAACTGTCTCCATCAAAATGTAACGGTCAAGTAATTCCTTGTCCAGTCCTTTAGTAACTCCCCGTGTGAAAAATGTAATGTACTTTCTGGTTGAGACTGAGTGTTATTTTTATAAATCATTTTGACAAGGTGTATCCTACTTTGGCCGTTTAACCCCCTGGATGCCGCGTTAGTTTTTACACACATTTATAAAAAATATGCAGAGATGTAGAAGCACTTGAGGCACACGAAGCACATGAAGCACGTGAAGCACTTGAAGCACATGAAGCACTTGAAGCACTTGTCCCATGTGGAGATTTAAAATGAATTTTAAGACTGGTTTGAAAACCAAACATTTTGTTATGCGTGAAAAACGAACAAATTTCGCCTCTTTCAGACTTACATACGCACAGAAAAAATACCCTTGTCGTTATTCTTGATTTTGCGTCAGTCATGGCGTCACGCAGGATGAAAACTTTAACATGTTTTTTTTAGTATACTCAATCATGTTAATGTATGCATTTTAATTCCCATTTTTTTGCTACAACACTCTTCGCATGCATATTCCCAAATAATTGAACCATTGTTTACAACGAATAAATGAATAGGTCATTAAAAATAGGAAAAAATGCTACACTGTGTAAAATCTGAAATTTATTTTGTTTACATTTCAAACTAGTACAAATTTCCGAGCGAGGACTTTTTCACATATTATTTATTTCGCTTGACTTAATCTTGGACATTTGTTTAAGTGACAAAGACAATTTATCATTTGATTTTAAAATGTATGCGTAATTCTTGGATGTAGGTATCAGAGCTGAGTGTGAAAGATGTGGTGTAATAGGCGTCTCATAACCGTCTAGCTCCTCACAGGCAACGTGGGTTGTATTCTCCCCGGGGAGCTGAGAATGAATATCGAGTCCACATTGACCGGGGTAATACTAGTGTAGCACTATGAGCAGGAAAGGAATTATTGAAAGGAAATATGCGCATTATAAATGCGAAACGTGATTTTGTAAACGAGTTTGCGTATTTTCTCAAACATTCCTGTGCTGTCGGCGACGTTCCACGACCATTGTTGATTTGCTTCATTACAGATACCCGTGATCACGTCTATCCTATTTTTTGCAATTGAATTTCCTCAGTAGAAACCCGATATTTTTATTTCAAAACATACATTAAATAACGCCGTGATTGGATTTAGTAATACGTCAAAAGTAGCCAAATTTACGATGAAACTAATTTTCAGAGGCCGTTTTCAAGAATTTGCTTTTTCTAAAATGACGACAGATGATATCACAGAACATAATTTTCCGCAGAATTAAAATCCGTTGCGTGTATACTTTTCAGGTGAGGTTTGAAGAGGAAGGCCGGGGCCCACATGTCCCCGTGGCGGCAAGGGGTTAATACACTCTGGTAAAAGTAGCTAGTTAGTAGTTTGGGAATACTCGCTTTACATACAAGCTTCTCATCGTGGGTTTTCCAAATAATAGGATTATTGATATGATTAATAACAAACGGAATTCGACATGATAAATTAAAACTTTGAGAAGAGATGATGAGGAATATTTGTGCCTCAGTCGTATTACATAACATTTGTACTTATAAAAGTAACAACACAAGTACTTACTGGAAGGCAGATGATCCTGTGATATATATCCATATAAGGTACAACCCACAAGACAAGCCACGGTGAGGAGTGTATAACCGCAGACCCTTGCAGACAGCGGCGACGTCATCCTCGTTCGCTGACACCGACACGAATGCGGTGCGAGTTGGTAGCGGGGCGCTTTTGATTAGGCTTCAGGCAATCTGTCTGTGGACTCGCCCGGGGCTTGAGAATGACACATACAAACCCTTAACGATAGTTAGATTGACTTGTCATAAAAATAGCAGGAAGGAAAAAGTATGTGTGAATATACCTTGTATGTGGGTGAGTGGTTAAGTGGTTGAGTGGTTGAGTGAGTTAGTGGTTGAGTGAGTTAGTGATTGAGTGAGTGATTGAGTGAGCGGTTGAGTGAGCGGTTGAGTGAGTGGTTGAGTGAGTGAGTGGTTGAGTGAGTGAGTGGTTGAGTGAGTGGTTGAGTGAGTGGTTGAGTGAGTGGTTGAGTGAGTGGTCGAGTGAGTGGGCGGTTGGGTGAGCGGTTGAGTGAGTGAGTGATTGAGTGAGTGATTGAGTGAGTGGTTGAGTGAGTGGTTGATTGAGTGGTTGATTGAGTGGTTGAGTGGTTGATTGAGTGAGTGGTTGAGTGTGTGGTTGAGTGAGTGGTTGATTGAGTGGTTGAGTGAATGATTGAGTGGTTGGGTGATTGAGTGGTTGAGTGATTGCGTGGTTGATTGAGTGAGTGGTTGAGTGAGTGGTTGAGTGAGTGGTTGAGTGAGTGGGTGAGTTGTTCTGTACGGTCTCATTGCCCTCTTCAGTCCAAGCCTTGGCGTTATAGTACATGAGTATGTTAATCTGAGTGAGTGAGTGCATATCTAAGTGAAACTGAGCGTGTCGTGTTTGACGTCTCTTTGAACAATACTTCAGCTGTAGCGTTTCGGAGTTAACATCCAATCTTTCATGGCCCCATTGGTGAATGTATCTGGGCAGTTTTCGGGTTTACACCAGAATGGGTCTATTCAGCCCCCAGACATAAATTAACGTCGTAAATTTTGGGCCGTAATATTTGGTCCGGTATAGACAGAAATCCACATTGTCCGAGTCTGGATAAGACAGATTCCACTGAACATGTTATACATAGATTGGTAAAACGTAAAGCGGTGTGTGCTGATGCCTGAACGTGTTCAGCTAGTTCAGCACATTGTTGGCTCAGCTTCAACAAGTTTCCTTCTTTCGAATCAGTGCGATTGGTATTTCAAATCCTGTTATGAACTAAACGTTAAACTGATATTTATGGGAGAAGCAGAACTGTAACAGATTGCCGAAGGTTTCCAAGTACAAACCCATCGCTCTAATTCAGAAGCAAATGTGATAAAGTTCAGTGAGCAAAGTGATGACTCTCTGTGTCTCTCTCTAGCTCTCTCTCTCTCTCTCTCTCTCTCTCTCTCTCTCTCTCTCTCTCTAGCTCTCTCTCTCCCATCTGTCTGTCTGTCTGTCTAGGCACGTTGCTCTCTCTCTCTCTCTAAAGCTCCCTCTCTGTGTCTCTCGCTCTCTCTATCTGTCTCTCGCCCTCTCTCTCCCTGTTTGTCTGTCTGTCTGTCTGACTGACTAGGCACGTTGCTCCCTCTCTCTCTCTCTAGCTCTCTCTGTGTCGCTCTCGCTCTGTGTCTCGCTCTCTCTCTCTCTAGACTTCGCTCTCCCTGTCTGTCTGTCTAGGCACGTTGCTCTCTCTCTCTCTCTAGCTCTCTCTCTCTGTCTCTCTCGCTCTCTCTGTGTCGCTCTCGCTCTGTGTCTCGCTCTCTCTCTCTAGACTTCGCTCTCCCCGTCTGTCTGTCTGTCTAGGCACGTTGCTCTCTCTCTCTCTCTCTAGCTCTCCGTCTCTCTGTGTCTCTCTCGCTCTGTCTCTCGCTCTCTCTCTCACTAGCTCTAGCTCTCTCTCTCCCTGTCTGTCTGTCTGACTGACTGTCTGTCCGTCCGTCTGTCTGTCTAGGCACGTCGCTTCGCGTGCCCAGTTCGAGTCCAGGTCTAGACTTGGTAACCAGTGCTCCGTGTGAAGCTGGGACCACGTCTTATCATAAACCCGATTGGTGTTTGAATAACAATTATCAAACTTCAAACTGGCCAAGCTCTCCTTTCATATCACTCTCATGAATTCTCTTCAGTAACGATGACATAATACTTCGTGATGCTGGATGACCGACATATTCCAGAAAGGCACGTGGGATCCCAGTAACCAATAGGTGTTTGCCCCGTGCCGTCAGGCCATCCTTGTTTTTATGCGTTTCTCATCTCTAACCCCAACCAGCAAGAGTTTGATTTTTTGTTTGTTTGTTTGTTTGTTGTTTAACGCCGCACTCAGCAATATATTCCAGCTATATGACGGCAGTCTGTAAATAATCGAGTCTGAACCAGACAATCCAGTGATTGACATCATGAGCATCGATCCACGCAATTGGGATACGATGGCATGCATCAACCAAGTCAGCGAGCCTGACCACCCGATCCCATTAGTCGCCTCTTACGTCAAGCATAGTCGCCTTTTACGGCAAGCATGGGTCGCTGAAGACCTATTCTACCCCGGGTAGCCTAGTGGTTAAAGCGTTCGCTCGTCACGCCGAAGACCCGAGTTCGAATCCCGACATGGGTACAATGTGTGAAGCCCATTTCTGGTGTCCCCCGCCGTGATATTGCCGGAATAGCGCTAAAAGCGGCGTATTATCAAACTCACTCAGTCTAACACATCGGGGCATACTTTTCCACAACGGCGGGGATACTTGAGATACAAAAGCGTTATATTATTTCTCGTCGGAATGAAAGACGGTGGGAGATGGAAAACCCATAAAAAACATCCGGACAGCCTTAAACTAACCTCATGCATAATGAGTGACTTATGACTGGCTTAGGGCTAGAGTGAGTTCGTGTTGACCAGAGCAAGATGGACAGCGCGGCTCATCCCTCATCTCCCCGCAAGGGAAGCTGGACGTGATCATCAGCATAATACTCAAGGAAGATGTCAACAAAAGCTCATGTCACCTTTTGTACTTTCAAGCCTTTGAAGTCATTTATAAAGCACCTTCCCGAAGCAAGGGAGTTAACTGACTTTAAAAGTACAGTTTCCACCCTTGCCGAACTAGGCTGGAATTCCTGGGCTCGATCGTAGCGCCACCAGTGGTTATTACGAGTCATGTCCCTTCAGAGCCTCGCCTATGGACCATCCAGATTCCACCTCTCGTATCACTTGCATTTGAATCAAACAAAATGGCGGCGCCCGGTCAAGACGATCTGATCGATAATCAAGTTCTATTGTGTGATAAAACGGGTCTTACATCGCGAAGTGCATCAAATTGCGTGAGCACCTTGATTAAAAACCTGAAAACATTTGGAAAATATTTGTTGACAACGAGTTGGCGGCGTACATGCTTTGCAAATCCTGCAATCGACCGAAATCTACACGACAGTTTACTGACCGGATTTCGATTTCTTTGCGCGATTTTGATTGGACTATGCATAGACTCGTTAGTCCAGCCAAAATGTAACTCCATAATACCAGCCTAGTTCGGCAAGGGTGTAAACTGGACTTTTATAGTCAGTTAACTCTCTTGCCTCGGGAAGATGTTTATAAAGTTGAGAAGAAATCTTAGGCGAATATATGCAGTCAGTTGTGACGGGAGAATTGCGGGGATCACACCGAATCTGCCAATTGGGAGACTCGCATAACCATGTTTGTTGTTTAACGCCGCATTCAGCAATATTCCAGCCATGTGACGGAGGTCTGTAAATAATCGAGTCTGGCCAGACAATCCAGTGATTGACATCCTGAGCATCGATTCACGCAATTGGGATACGATGACATGCATCAACCAAGTCAGCAAGCCTGACCACCCGATCCCGTTAGTCGCCTCTTACGACTAACATAGTCGCCTTTTACGGCAAACATGGATTGCTGATTGCTATTCTACCCCGGATCTTCACGGGTCACGGGTCACGGGTCACGGGTCACGAGAACAAGTGTGATAATGAACGTGTTTTCTCTTCAACATACGGAACCTCATGTTGGCCATATCGATTATATATTTTTTCTCTTCAACATACGGAACCTCATGTTGGCCATATCGGTTTTTATTTTTTCTCTTCAACATACGGAACCTCATGATGGCCATATCGTTTTTTTTATTTTATCTCTTCAACATACGGAACCTCATATTGGCCATATCGTTTTTTTATTTCTTGAAAATTCAACATGTTGACAATTCCTGATACTATTTTCAAGACACTACAATTAATTTTTTATTATTGCACTCGCAGTTTCAATGTAGTATCTTGAAATTTAAACATTGTATCTTGAATTTTCAAGACCAATAAATGCATAAATGAGAGAGAATTTTCCATCATGGATCAGTGACACATCGGTTTACTTACAGACTGAGCTAAACCTACTCCCCGGAGACCGCCTCCGTGGTGTAGTGAATAGAGTGTCTGCCAGGAGACCGCCTCCGTGGTTTAGTGGATAGAGTGTCTGCCCGGAGACCACCTCCGTGGTGTAGTGGATAGAGTGTCTGCCAGGAGACCGCCTCCGTGGTGTAGTGGATAGAGTGTCTGCCAGGAGACCGCCTCCGTGGTGTAGTGGATAGAGTGTCTGCCCGGAGACCGCCTCCGTGGTTTAGTGGATAGAGTGTCTGCCAGGAGACCGCCTCCGTGGTGTAGTGGATAGAGTGTCTGCCCGGAGACCGCCTCCGTGGTGTAGTGGATAGACTGTCTGCCCGGAGACCGCCTCCGTGGTGTAGTGGATAGATTGTCTGCCCGGAGACCGCCTCCGTGGTGTAGTGGATAGACTGTCTGCCCGGAGACCGCCTCCGTGGTATAGTGGATAGATTATCTACCCGGAGATCACCTCCATGGTGTAGTGGATAGATTGTCTGCCCGGAGACCGCCTCCGTGGTGTAGTGGATAGATTGTCTACCCGGAGACCGCCTCCGTGGTATAGTGGATAGATTGTCTACCCGGAGATCACCTCCATGGTGTGGTGGATAGAGTGTCTGCCAGGAGAGAAGACGTTCGGTGGTTCGACCTTCGGCCGCGTCATACCGAAAGCCGTTAAATGACGGTACGGACTAGTACAAACAGTCACACACACGTGTATGCGCGTCGATATGTGGATGAATTAATCTTGAAAGCGACGTCAAACCCCATTTCACCTCACACGTTGTTCTTATGTG